ATAAATCTGCCAACATGTGCAAATTGAAACAAATACGTTGCCAATTCGTAGTCACCATATGTTGTCAGATATTACGAGTGCCTTGGAGGAAGAGGAAAAAAAAAGTGCAAAACCAGTGCCCCCGGGCAGGTGGAGAGGCATTGACAGTGAGCCCACAGAGCGTCCAACAGAGCTGAGAGAGTCAGCTGTCCGCTTGGGCCTGCAGGTGAAGAATAACCAATGTTCTGGGATCAGGGATACTCCTTGTAGCTCCAATGTCCTCTTCTATAAAAAGGGGTAAAATGGATTTTTACACATAATAATCTGAGTAAGGCGCCCTTTTGGGGGGGGGTCTTGAAGGAATGTTCCAGGCTGCTCCATATTTTGCTCTTATTGAGTATTCGAATCTCTTACTGCTTCTTAATTATCAACCTCTGGAGTTGAAGAAGTTACTTCTCGTCTATGTACATTTATGTATTGACTCTTCCAAAAGATAAAGTTCCAAATTCTTATTGGCAGCCTATAGAGAATAAAAATAATTCTGTTACGTATGATCTAAGACAGAATTTAGATAAAGTGTCCTTGCGATGCCTTTGTTAGGCTTATTCTGTGCTCTTATTTCCTAGACTGAGGGCACTAAAATGATGGAGGGTGTGGCCGGGGCTGCAGCAATGGTTCTCTAAAAATTCTAGAATTCTCCTGTGAACTATGGTTCCTTCCCATTCCTTCTTTATCTTTTCCTTTTTCAAAAACAGTAACTTTGCTATCCGTTAGTCTCTACTCCTGCTGTAACCACGGTCACCTGCTATAACTTCGTGGTATAATTTAGCCTTAGTGCTTTTAATTCATTCGCAAAAGCTTACACTTAAAGCTTGCTATATGCTAGGCGCGTCCATCAAAGCGAGATGACAAAACGCATATCCCTTTTCAAAGAAATTAGAATCAAGCTGGGCAGAGATAAGCACATAAACTAACAATAATCCAACTACAAATTATGACTGCAAATACTGTTCTTGTTTATGCGTTGGGCAGGACAAATTTATTCCAGCTAGAAATCCTACATTTCCCAGAGGTGGATTCCCTAAATCCCAAGAGGTAGACATTGATGATGTCCAGGATGTCCCCCCAAAACAGAAAGGAACAAGAAAAAGAAGCCAAATGAAGAGTGTTGGAAATTAATTTTAGAAGATCAGCTTTACATTAACTATAGGCCATCCAGACCAAAAGAAAGAATGAAGAATTAATGCTTTCAGCAACAACAACCATCATCAATGAGCATGAAGGTTCAGGTGATGGGTTATGGTGGTAATATAATCATGTATTCCTGGGCTGCTAATGTCCTGGGGTCCCCTGCAGTAATTTGGAGTGGTTGAGCATACTTGGAAGGAGTATGTTGATATGTGTAGGTTATGGGGTGCAGTTGGGGTGGGACTGGAGTGGTCCTGAGAGATATCTGAGAGTCTGAGAGTCTGCCTGGCTTGCTGCCTTGGTTTTGCATTTCCAAGGAGAGGACAGAGCCTTCCTGGAGCACATACCCCAATCACTGATTTGGCAACCCATGAAAAGTCACAACTATCTGGAAATCACTCTGGTCAATCAAGAAGTAGCAAGGCCAAAGGGACTGAGATTTTATGGTAAACCACAAATAGCCCAGCATAGCTTGAGTTCATGGTGTCTGGGAGGAAGGAGAGGAGACCTGGCTGCTTGAGGCCTGGGAAATAATTTGCTGGGACTTGGGGTTATTCTGCAGACAGCGAATGAAAAGGAAATAGGAAATGGGAAGAAGAAGGTGGCATGCTGAACTTGAGTTTTCTGAAGGTGACTCTAACAATGGTCACACTGTAGAGGAGAGAGAAACTAGAGACCACCCTTTGTGCTACAATTGTTCAGGAAGAGAAGCTGAGGACATGTTCTGTGGATAGGGATGTTGGGAGTGAAATAGCAGAGCAGGACAGGCCAGATACTGAAGCAGGAGCCTGTGCCCCAAGGGTCTGATATGTTTCTACTGGAAACTGACCATCACAGAGGAAACTGTCTTCAGCCATCCTCTGAAAAATAGAAGAGTTTGTGAGATCTTAAGATCTTCTGGAAAATGCTCTTTCTTTGTTCATGTGCTTACACCCCTGCCTACCCCTAATTCTATTAGGTTTTATAAGGAACTGGATTTTCAGAGACGGTGAGCCACCTACCAAATGTACACTTGTCTGTTATTGATAGAACCAGCCTGGGGTCCAAGTGTATTCCAAATGCATTGAAGAGAGAAGCTTTATCTTTCTGATTCTAAATGAGCAATAAACAGGAATGCAGAGCTCCATGGCCGTGTCACTATTTGCTTCTCAGGCAAAGAGACATTTCTATGGAGAAAGATATAAGATAGTCATTTTTTAGTATTTTAATGACCAATGAACAATATGGGCATTTTTATTCAATCAATGTGAACTAGGACCACTGTAAATACATGAGCAGTTATATGGGAATCATCAAGATGGAAGGAAGTTTATATATATCCAATGAGGCAGCAGTAACAAAAATAGAGGATTGTTCTCACTGTGCCCAGTTTATCTTCCCAGCCCAGCCGCACAGCCTGGCAACATCTGATAGGACTTCTCTTTTCTCTCATTGACTCACCCATCCTTCTTTGACTATCCTGACATGGAACATTCTTCCTCCTGACTACCCTCTCCAGACAGAAACACCTCCAGATAGAAGGGGTTCTGTAACATCTTGCTCTCCTCAAACAAGCATGTCTCATCCCTGTGGTGAGATCGAGAGTGAGTTTCGTGGAGGCCAGGTCTGATAATTTCACTTTTCTTTGTATTGTCAATATTAAGAAGCAATTCTGGATAGGGAAGGTTCACAAGAAAAAACTGAGTAAATTAAATAATAGTTGGGTGTTACACAGCATCCTAGAATTTTTGTGCCAGAAATGATGTGAAACTTTTAAGTACAAACCTCCCATGTTATATAAAAATTTTTATCTAGAGCATCCAACCTATTTTAAAAAAAGAAAAAAGAACAGAGAACTCTTAGTTCTTAACCATATTTGTCTAATACTGTTAGAAGTTCCTTAAAGGATACCACAATCCCTCATTCTAGAGCTTCTGACCCATGTTAGTCCATACTCGTAGTACAAAACATGAGACTGATTCTCACTATTCATATGTAAGTGTGCAAAATCAGTGTGGAATAGCTATAATATTAATGGTAAGTTGTGGAGTGTCCATGTAGACTTTTAGGAGGCATGTGGTTCAGTTTACAGACAGCTGCAGAAATTACTACTGACTTTCTGACACAGGTTTATATAAACTGGTGATTGATGATGTCATTGTTAGTGCATGCACCAGGTGTGAGACAAGAAGAGGAATGAGTTGGGGGCTGAAACCTATGCCTGATTAATCCAGAGACTTTCAGCTAACGTTTGATTAGAAATCTCAATGCTTTCAGTTCTGCACATTACATACCGGAAATTGACATTTTAATCTAGGACAGCAAAACCATTTTCAGAGTGTTCCACCATTCTAAGAGGGACATAACTCTTTTTTTTTTAAGATTTTATTTATTTATTTGACAGACAGAGATCACAAGTAGGCAGAGAGGCAGGCAGAGAGAGGAAGAAGCCGGCTCCCTGCTGAGCAGAGACCCCCCCCCCCCAATGCGGGGCTCGATCCCAGGACCCTGGGATCATGACCTGAGCCGAAGGCAGAGTCTTTAACCCACTGAGCCATCCAGGCGCCCCTGGACATAACTCTTTTTGTTAGCAGGACATTTTTCCTTCTAATGCTAAGTACAAAGAATCTTGCTAGACTTAGAAGAAAAGCCTTGTAATAAGAGCAAGTTCTACTATAACTTCTATTTTTCTGATAAAATTGAAGAAAGTTTAGTTTCTATTTAGCTTACTCTAAAATCTATGTTGAACGATTCACCAATATGACATTTGCCTTGTGATAGAAAACAGTGAGAACCCTGGGAGATTTTATAAGTGAGGGACGTATAGTTCTTGAAGATCTTACAACTGAATGAAGAATATAACATAAGCATTAAAGGAAGTTCACATCTAAGAGATACAAACAATAGAAAGAGACTCACTTAACGTAAACGTTTTATTCATTTAATAAAATCCTTTCTTAGAAAAAGTTCATGTAAAATGAATTCCCAATGAATCATATTTATATAATTTCCCATGATAGAGTCAGAGACCTTCTGATCCTATAGTAGGAATAACATAAAAAGTCTATCATTTCAAAATTTAACAAGCCTCATAAAGTTATATTTCAAAATAAATAATTAATCATAAAGTTTTAAAATGAGAATTTGCCCATAAATGAAATTTGACAGAAATATATATCTTCAAGAAATTCTAGTATATACTATCTGGCTTTTATGGCTGAATCATAGAACTGTGTCCAATTTCAATATTTGCCCAAGAATATCAATATTAGCTGAATAGCTAACACTAAATCCTGCCAAAAACAAAATAGGTGCCCATTTAGCTGACCTTAGTAACGTGTCCCCACATACTTGGCATTTCAGTAATGCAGGCATCTAATAGGGTTGATTGGCAATTAAAATGTAAATTTCTAATAGGTGTGCAAGGAGTTATTATTAGATAAATTAGTCTGATTAATGGTATTAGCATTATATATTAGATTAGATAGTATTAGATAGATTTTTGAGTCAGTGTAAAGATTATTGATTTTATATACTTGCACACACATTAACACACATTTATATGATTTAAGGATGTATATTTTCTATATATGTATATATTATGTATATATATGTATATATGTGTATTATATGTATATAAAATATATGTATATTTATATAATATACATTATATGTATATGTACAGATGTCATTTAGGGATACAGTTGTATATACAGAAAAGTAATGAAATATCTACACTGGGAAGGCTTAGCCTAGGGCTAGCTCATAAGCCTCTTAAAAACAGGATGTTTTTACTAAGTTAGGGACATGTAGTTTATTGCGTCTTCCTAATATTTTCTTTTGTTTTGAAACAGGTTGTTTGGTATCAAATCAGTCATTCACACAGACTGTTCCAGCACCTGGAAGATCATAGCAAACCCAGACCTGTCATGGTATCACCATGCCAACCCCATTGTCCTGCTGGTGATGTACTACACGCTCGCAACGCTCATCCGCATCTGGCTACAGGAGCCCCTCGTAAGGATCGAAACGTTTGGTGATCTTACAGGCTGAGTAACCTGGAAATTCCAGGGGAACCAGTCCATTCCTATTTTTTTAAATTTTTTTATTTATCCATTTAATAGTGCAAGAGAGGGAGCACAAGCAGGGGGAGGGAGAGGGAGAAGCAGGCTCCCAGCCGAGCAGGGAGCCTAATGTGGGGCTCGATCCCAGGACCCCGAGATCATGACTTGACCCGAAGGCAGACGCTTAACTGACTGAGCTTCCCAGGCACCCCGGGCCATTCCTATTAACTGCTGACTTACCAGTGCTAAATTCCTAAACAGCTATAGTGTTCTGGTTCTAATATTTTATTTTTGCGAAGAGCACGATGGGAATACATGTGCTATTTAGAACAAAGCCTGGTTTCCCTTTGATATATCACCAGCAAGAATGGTCAGTGGTGAGGAAATTCAAAGATACCTTCATTGAGGACTTACTAAATGCCAGGTCATACATGAGGCTGTGCCTCTACATTATCTCCATTTCATGCACTATGTAACTCTGAATAGGTATCATACCCATCCTAAAGATGAGGAAAGTGAGGTTAGAGAGGTAAATTGGTCTGAGCAGTAGGAATTAGCTTCAAACCCACATTTGACAACAAAGCTAGGGCTTTGGGGACAAGCGAGACTGTTATCTTGGTGCCCGGACTTCCAGAAACTTCTCAGACCTCTAACATCTGTGGATGGGATAGGGACACCCCAGCTGTCAGTGGTACCTGGAGTTTCTCAAGTACCCCATTGTGAGGTATGGGGACCAGGGAGTTTCCTTTAAGCACAACAGAGAACTGGTTTCTTCCCATGGGGTATTATTAACAAGGCGTATGCCACCTTTGAGGGCCAGGCAAGGGAGCCTAGGTAGCTTCTCTCTTTTCCCTTTTCGTGAGAGAAAACATTAGCCACTTACATTTCTTATCCTAATTGACTATAAGAAGCTCAGTCATCAGGTAGCTCATCAGCACACAAGGCAGGAAAGTAGTGTAGACGAGGGTTGTCACACCTCTCATCCACCACCTGCCAGGGGAGCATCCACACCTGAGAAGCCATTCTTAATGAGCACGGCTGCGTGAAGTCACACGTACTCTCCTGTCACTTCTAGATTGGGCCTTTCTGTGTTCATACCCTCAAGACTGTTGTTCATACATTCACTCAGGCAGCCGACAGACAGGATATTTATTGAAAGCCAATTACCTCAGATGCTAAGGTGGGGGCTAGAATATTGCCCAGAGGCGAGGGCTCCACTCAGAGGAACTGGACATTGTACCAGAAAAAAAGCTCACCCAAAACAAGTAAATGGGATCTGAGTCAGTACAATGGGACGAGGGGAGTTGGATGTCCCCATCCCTCCCCAGCTGAAGTGCTTCCTGCAGAAATGGGATTCTGTCCTGTCCTTCCTCCTGTGTGACACCTTCTCCCCACTGGGCAGACAGTCCCGGGTAACGGGGCCACAGAGGCACTTCTGCTCGCAGGGTTCTCATAGGGCGTCTTTCTTGGGGCCCACTGACGGCAGCTGCATGCAACAAAATGCTCTCTGGGGTCATAAGGAATGCCAATCATTTTGTATTACATTTTTCTCCAACTCGCTCCCAAAACTTGCGTGTGCCCATAAAATGCTTTAAAGTGATGTCATTGTGTTCACTTCCTCCATAAACACACAGAAGGTAAGGGATGGGCACACAGGTGCAAATAAAAGTATATACCAAAGGAATTAAAATATATTGTGGGAACGGTTTCTCAACAGCGTCTTACAAGGGATGGAGATAACTTTAAGGCATCCAAGTTAATAAGTGTTCCGTGTGTTCTTCACTTTCTCTGTGAGACTTCAGGCAGCCCCACAGAATGACAGGAGCTTACATACCCATGTTGTCATGCTTCTGTATGGGTGAAGGCTGTGTTACAGCCCCTCAGGCCCATGAGACATTCGGCTTCCTCAGCCGAGGGCCCTCTGGGGACAAAGGAAAGTAGACTTAATAGCCGTCTTATAGACCGCCGTGTCTAGAGGGGTGTGTGGAGAACAGGGCCTAATTCATACCAGCATCAACATTTCAGGTGGCCAGTATTTTAAATGGGCTGGGACACAGCACTTTCTCATTGAGGCAATGATGGAAGACAGGTGGCTGATTATATCATAGTTCCAGATGACCTGGCACATTTCATGAAAAATGCCAGCCAGCAAATGTGAGTTCTGAGGTGAAAGTCTATGATGCATGTTTAAGAAAGAGAGAGAGAGAGAGAGAGAAGCAGGTGTCAAGAATTAAATAGTGTATGGGCTTCCACCTGGCATGCATGAACTCCCACCCAAGGCATTTGGGTTCTCCCTGTGGGTGCTCTACCCTGGCACACCAGAACCCAGAAACTGGGCACCAAGACCTTGAGTTCCCTTCCTGCACTCCACTATCGGTGGTGTGTTAATGCCCTTTTTGTTGGAACACCTTTGTTGGGAAACCATACAAAAGCACTCAAGGGCATTCTGCCCCTTATACTCTCTCTCTTTCTTTATGTCTCTTCTAGACCAATTGTCCAATGTAGGCCAGTGTCCTGTAAGGCAAGGTGATGGTTTTGTGCATTAGATGAGTTCTTCCTTACTGTTGTGTGTAAGCTCTCAATGATTCTGCCTTTACTTAATTTTCTTTTAATTAAAGACTAACCATGGGTGGGTCACACAGTCCACTGAGCACTTTTTTGAAGGTCCTTCCTTTAAGAACCATTTGCGTGGTGAGTGGACTTTGGAATACCTGGTGGGAAGGTGTGGATAGTTCACATGAGAGCTCATCTCTGTTATTTATGGGGCTTAGAAGGGATCAGGATGTATCATTGATGTGCTGAGAATTTACAAGGGAGCATTGGTGTCATTCTTTAAAATGTCTTGATGAAATCCCACCTATCATATACATTCATTTAAAAAATTGATCATTATCAAGGCATGGGGGAAACACTTTCTCAGGGTCCCCCAGGCCACTAAGGGAGCTGCTCTGGGAAGCAGAGCTGGTCCTGTGGGTTATTCTGTGTCTCAGGTGCAGGATGACAGGACCAAGGAAGAGGACAGAGCCCTGGCTTGTAGCCCCATCCAAATAACAGCGGAGAGGAGGCGAAGCCTGTGGTATGCCACCCATTACCCAACTGACGAAAGAAAAGTAAGCCACAAGAAAGCAATTTCCATTCCCTAATTTATTTTGCTTCTTTTGTGTTACATTGCTGAATATGAGTCATATATCATACGCAAACTCAGATTGTGCATAGTTTACAGAAGGAGTTTGATTTTGAAGTCTCAGTAGCAGAAAGCTCTATGCAGAGAGGGGAACCCAGTGCTATGAAAACACCAGTTTACATTTGAGTGCTTTCTATGAAGTCTCTTCATCCTTAAAAGAAAGACTTAATTTAAAAAGAAAAATAGATTTGTGTTTAGAACACACAAAAAATAACAAAGCAACTGTTAGCACAGGCAGGGAAAGTCTCAGTGTCAAAAACATTGCAGAAAATAATTTCATTTCATTGGCCAGCTGGCCACAGTAATAACTCAAGCAACCACTTAGAGAGAACAAAACCGTCTATGTGAATATGATTAAGGATCTCTTACTACTCCCAGGCAACAGTATGGATTGACAAGGAAAAGCAAGTCACGATGGGTAATTCATATAACCCTTGGAGCAATTATTGACCATGTTGAACTCAACTCAGGGCTATACTGACTCATTAAAAATGCCCATTTGCAATGTCATCATGACAGATACAAGCCACTTGCTTGGTAGCATGTTAGAGAATTGAGGAGTAGATTCTCTGACTTATTTGGTGGCCAGTGGGTTCTTGAAGTCAAATGGTCTTGTTCTCAACATGGCCGCCATGTGCTGAGAGAGGGCAAAGCAATGAATGAGCTGCCTCAGGGAGGTGGATGGCCTTGCCAGCCCATGGGGTGCCCTAAGATGTCTGAGGATTTCCAGGGGCCTTTCTCTCTCATCACACCATGTGTCAGATTATACTGCTTCTTTTACAAACGACAGATAGCCATAGAAGATAGCCCAGGAATTTTTCAAATGGAGAGACCTATGGACTTCTGGGGAATTCCTGAGACCCTCCATAAGCTCAAAACTCTTGTTTAAGTAATATTTAAAATACGTGCCTTCTTTTCACTATGCCGACTTGCATTCTGCTGATACAAAAGCAAAAAGCAGACCCAGGCGATGGCACGAATCCCCCACACCCACAGCCCTACCCTTGGTGGCCACGCACTCCGAAGAAAGAAAGCGGTGAGGCCGGTTCACTTATGAATGTCCTTGGTGAACCAAAAATGGATATCCATTTTCTTAAATCTCTACTTCAGAACTCACCGTATTTTTAATACCCTGTGTGGCAAAGAAGTCCAACAGAGTACCACGTGTGAGAGGGTGATGATGTCTTGCTCAAAAGCCCTTGGTCAAGTGTAGGAAGGGTGAGCTGAGCTGGCTGTCGCCCACCGCACACCACAGGCTCTGGGAGGAACCACAAGTGGACGAGTTACGGGTGTTCAGAGATGAGGATTTGGCAGAGAATTCCTGGCAAGTACATGAAGTGAGCCCATCACTTCAAGGCAAACAACCGACAATGTTTGTTGCCAGTGGTAAAATTTGAAATTTTGAGTGAAAATTAGAATATTAGAAAACTTGGATCCATTCTTCAGAGCTTGAAAATGCCCCCATACTTGAGGACCTCCATGATGAGATCAGTGATAGAACTGTATTAACAAATGAGTTTTTTTTAAATATTGTGTAATGAAATGTGTCAATATTTGGTAGACAGTATAACTCACTGAGGCAAATCACCAATATGTGATACAGCAGTGGGATTTTAATGTAACAGAATGAAATTCTCATTGATACAATTTCAGATTCCACGTAGCAGCTAATCTTGAGGTCACTACCACTTGTTGAGTTTGGTATGGCATCAAAACAAACAACTGTCCACAATGACCTGGCTAGCCAATTGACATACTCTTTCTTTTTCCAACTACAAAGCTTGGTGAAGCCAGATTTTCTTCATATATTTCAGCCAGAATAACATATCACAGCAGATTAAATGCACAAACAGATATGAGAATCCAGCTGTCTTCTTTTAAGCCAGATATTAAAAAGATACACAAAAGCATATTTTTTCACTGTTTTTTTTTTAAATATAGCTATTTGAATAAAACGATTTATGTGAACATGTTAAATTTTGAGGAAAATTTAATGGAGCTAATAAATATTTTTCAAGGCCTCAGTTTTAATTTCTAGTATAGTAGATATTGATAGACAGGACCCACATCATTAAAAACTCCTTGGGACTCTCAGTGATTTTTTGTGATTATAAATGAGTACTGATCCAAAAAAGTTGGAGAACCATTAGCCCAGAAAGTGCTTCTTATTTGAGGAAGGCCCAAACCACCTGGTGCTAATATAGTTTAAAAGCATAGTCATAAAAAAAAATAAAAAAGTAAAAAATAAAAGCACAGTCATGTAATAATTAGTTTGTGGTAGATAATATGTAAATATTAAAATATTCTCAGCGTGCATTACAAATCAATTTTTCCTGCGTATGAAACATCTATTTCTTGAAAAGTAAATGTTTTCAGAATTCTGCGGAGGTCTCAGGGGTTTGGGGGCTACTAACAGCAGAAGCTTATTCTAGTAAAACAAGACAGTTAAAAAATACAATCAGCCTTTGTAATCACGTGGTTCATGACTAGTTATTTGTTGTCACAATTAAAAGTCAACACCAGAAGCTGGAGAGTAGTTATAACACATAACGACATCCAGTTCAATTATTTGTCCCTTTATACTTTGCATGGCAATTTTAACATACTAGCATCTAGCTAGTTGAAGGAATGGTAGATGTGTAGTAAAACTTTACAGATATATATAAACATTGAAATGCTTTTTCCTTACCTACTAACAATGCTGTTCTGCATTGCTTTTGCAGCTTTTATCCATGACCCAAGATGACTACAAACCATCTGATGTTAGTATATTCTTAGAATTATCTTTTATGCTCGTATAAGTGATGCAGAAGTGATATAAATGGGATTGGCTCCTTTGAGTATATTTTAATGATCTATAAAATTTCCCTAAGTTTTTGAATATTTTTCTTGTAGAAATTATATCTGGTTTATTGCCGTTATAACACTACCTCATATAATATGAGCTCGACTATAGTCATACAGAATGTATTTAAACTTTTTAAAAGCCGGTTGGAGGGTTCTTAAAAACATTTTGCTCTGCAGATAGACCTATTACATAATTTGAATAGGAAGTCTTGCATGTTCATGGACACACACACACACTCACACACACACACACACGCTTATACCCTAAAGCCAAAGAGACAGGGAAAAAACAAGAAATCGCACTAAGCGTTTACAAAGTTCAACATGGGAATTCCAAGATGGCAGCCTCAGCAAAGACCTTCCGAGAGGGCTCTAGCTAACCCAAGACTGCATTAGTCCTCTGCAGAGCTGCACTGGGTTGTGGACAGGGTGGGGAGTGGCCAAGGTAGGGGTGCTTTGGCTGGGAACTAGGAAAAGTCTGGAATTCCAACAGCTGGAGGAGGGCTGGGAGGAGAAACCCTAAGAGCAGAGGCTGGAGAGGGGATCAATCCAGACCAGGAAGCCTCAGCCAGCCCTTTCCAGGGTTTCCCCTTGGTACTAAGAACAGAGGGTGCCTTGCCTGGGGTTTAGCAGAAGTACAAGAAGATCAGATTCCATTTTTACTGGGACCACTCTGGAAAATAGATGTGAACCGAGGAGTGTAGATGATTCATTTTGCTCAAGTGGGTAAATGACGACCTCGTTCAACTGTCAATCAGTTATCCGCTGTAGGGTTCTGTCTAGCTAGCACAAGGCAAGGAGGCAGTGTGCCCACATTGGAAACACAACTGTGCCTTTGCCCCGCGCTCCCTTGTCAGGGCCTGCTGGTGACTGTGAACGGCAATCCTGTAGACTACCACACCATCCACCCAAGTCTGCCCATAGAGAACGGCCCTGCCAAAGCCGAGCTGTACTCCACCCCCCAGTACCGGTGGCAGCCCTCCGAAGACTCCTCAGGTAAGAAGCCAGCCCTGCTGCTTTCATCTCCTCTCATGCATGCACCTGGAGTCTCTTTGCGTTTCATTGTTTCTTGTGTCCGTTCTATTTTTTTCTAACGGGTATTGTCTTCCATGCTCAGCATAATGAAGCTTCTTTCCTTCAGTCATGTATATCGCCCCACCATATTGCTATGGCTAGTTTGTCCTTCTGTACAAAATAATGGTATAATTGAAAGCTTTGAAAAATAAAGGGATAAAAAATTATTTTAAATATGTCAACTCATTTATAGTGTTAAACCCATGTGTGTATGTGTGTTTTGTTTTTTCTAGAATTTGATATTATAATCATGGTCAGAAATTCTGCTGGTTAATGGATGAATGTTTTCAGAAAGAGTTCTTTTTGTCTAGTAAAAAAAGTGGGGGCGGGGGAGAATGGGAGGGTGGAAACTTATACTAGACCTTTTCCTCCCGTCTCTCTCAGTTTATTATGTTGAAGGAAAACAAGCCATTCCTAGAGATGACAAATTGGTGTCTGTGACTTGGGTCATGTTTTGTCTGGTTGGCCTACGCAGCATTTTCTGAAGCGAAAAAATGAAAATAACCAACATTTTGAAAGTGCAGCTCTGACTGAGATATGGAAGTTTCTGGAATCCCTTGAACAATGTGAATATTTGGCAATGCTAGACCCTCGTTCCTGCAAGGCAGCAGTTGACTCAACCACTGTTGTCACTGTCCTGCCAGAGACCATGCCTATCATCAATTCATAGAGGGAGAATTAACTAAGTTTGCTACTGAGGAAGAAAAATAAAAGCAGAGTACATGCAGGTGTTTTCTGTTTATATGGGATTAAACCTAGAGTTGTGACCCATGATCCTACCTTGAGTAAATGGCCAGCAACTGGGCAACTCTCCAGTCTGTATTATTGATACAGTCAGCTTAATGTATTTTTTTTTCATAATTCTTTGTCGGACTTACTCTACTATAGTGTTCTGTGTAGTTATAGTACTCCCTGCAGTTGTCCTTGACCTGGTATCCACTGAGCAGTACAAAGGGTTAGTCACACTCTGCAGCCTTCCTCAGTAAGGTCAGACCGAGTTCAGGTCCCTAAGCTAGCAGCCCCGCCCATCCCCCCACCCCCAGGTGGCACCTGCCATCTTCATGGAGCACCAGACTCCATGGGTTAATTACCCATTTCTGCTTTCTACGTGCGTGTGTTTCAGTTCGTAACTTGGGCTTAAACCAAGGTTTTCACTTACCAAATAGCTCAAGGAAATTACTCTCTAAAGCGGGTTCTTCCATTCTTTGGCATCTGAATTACAAAGGACAGGCCCAGGAACCAGCATTTGCAACTTCTAAAGGTTGAGACACTGAGGTCACGGCCAGGTGTCTTTTCATTACCCGTGACTTAACATAAAGAGAAATAAGCAGAATTTGGCTACTGACAGGCACGCACACATTCTCATGTCATAACCTGGACTTCCAAAGGTAAAACAAAAGCTGGAAAGTTAGTTTTTTTTTTTATTTGAATCTATATACACAGACAGTGTTACAACCAGAAAAGTAGCACCAGGAACTGGAAAAATGCCTCAGACTCCATTTCTTCCTGTCTCCCATCTGTGGACTTCCCTTATAGCCCCCAGTCCCAACATTGGAGGGGTGGAAGGCAGTGGGCTTGTGCATGAGGAAATACTGCCACATCATGCCACACTCACTTCTGGAGAGTGCTGTGCACGCTCACTGGGTTTTCGGTGGTTTATGTTTCCTCTTTGTGGTATAGAGCAACTCCCTGATGCAACCCACTTACATGCAACCCATTTAATTTGAACAGGACAGAAAGGATGTTTCACATAAGTGTGTCACTCATTACTTCATGTTTGAAATCAAATTAGTTTTCCTGACCTGTAAAAGAGGATCTTGAGGAGAAACCTTTCTTTCACTACTGTGCCAGTTCTTTTCCATTGCTGGTCCTGTTCTCCTCAGCCCTCCACACTTTTTCTTGCTTTTAATGTGATATTTCCATTCTTAGTATGACTTTCTGCCTCAGCATGATATGGGTTACCGAGCTCACACTGGCAAAATGGTTGCTCAGTTGGTTGTCTGGTTGGTTTTCTGCACCTTCACTATATCTGTACTCCAGATACTCTTTTATTAATTATCTATTACTGAAAAGCAAAGTATTCCAAACACTAGTGGCTTAAAACATTTACTGTCACAGTTTCTGTGGGGTAGGGATCGGGTGTGACTAGGGTGAGCTTCTCTGGCTCGAGGTCTCCAATGAGGTTATAGATAAGCTGCTGGCTCAGGCTGTGGTCTCATCTGAAGGCTCACCTGAGGAGAATCTGCTTTCACACACACCCACGTAGTTATTGACTGGCCTCAAGCTCTTGCTGACTACTAGCCAGAGACTAGTAAGCAGTTCCTTGCCTCCCAGACCTCTTCTTAGGGCAGTTTATAACATGGCAGCTGGCTTCTCAGAATGAGCAGGAAAATGAGAGAAAGTAGCCAAGGCAGAAGTCACGATCTTTTTAAACTTGATCTTGGAAGTTCTATACCATCCCTCCTATTTGTGAGGTCCCACCCACACTCAAGGGGAGAGGAATACACAATCATGAGGTAGGATCATTGGGAATCATCTTACAGGCTACCCTCCATCATCTCTTAAGTTCAGATTTTCTTTCTGGGATTTCTGAGTGCAGGATTCCATTACACTGACCAGGCAATACTTACTGAATCTGTTTGAATCTAAAGGCTTTGTTAGTTGGAAATCATCTCTAAAATCTTAAATAAAAGTCTCTATTAAAACCATATATGTGCTACACTGCTGGGGACATTTATCCAGAGTTTACATATTAGCATCAAGTTATATAAATTATCTCTCTATCTAGAAAAGAAAGAGGAAGAAGAGGATGAGAAGGAAGAATTTGAGGAGGAAAGGAGCCATGAGGAGAAACGAAGCGTTAAAGTTCACGCCATGGTCTCTGTGTTCCAGTTTATTATGAAACAAAGTTACATCTGTGCCCTCATTGCCATGATGGTATGTATGAGAGGGGACAGCGGGCATGCTCCACAAATGCCCCACAGCCCTCTCGTGGCTGGCACCAGTTTCTAATCTCCCTAATGTCTCAGCGGGGGATGGTTGGTTTATTTTTATTTTTCTTGGGACCCTCATACTACAGATTTCAAAATCCTGTTCTGTTCTATTTAGCCTCTTTTTAAATATTAGTACATTTCTCTCAAATTAGCCTGTCAAATGTGACTGTTTCCTTTTTTGCCAGTTTAAAAGGATCTATTGCGGTCCCCCTGGGTGGCTCAGTCAGTTAAATGTCCAACTCTCGACTTCAGCTCAGGTCGTGATCTCAAAGTTGTGAGATCAAGTCCCACATTGGGCTTTGCCCCAGGTGTGAAGCCTGCTTAAGATTCTCTCTCCCTCTACCCTCCCCCTGCTCTCTCCCTCCCTCTATAAAATAATAATAATAATAATAATAATAATAATACATTTTTTTAAAAATTAAAAGATCTATTGGGTAGTTTTTCTGTGTGGTATTGAAGGTGTCCAAAGTTAACACAGACTGCTTTTATTTTCTTCAGACAGTGAGAGTTACATTCACATCTTACCCTAAATTTGAGTGAGAGTTTACTCCATCTTAGCTGCAGTAAATTTTTACCAGTATGAAAGTCAAGTTCATATGAACGTTCATATGACGTTCAGTATGAATGTCAACCAGAGTTCCCAAGAGCTTTTCTGATTGTGCGTGCTCAGTTGATGTGTGTTTATACTCACTTCTTCCATCTCGGGCATCACAGCTTCAAAAAAATAGTCCTTTAGCCTAGAGATAGAAAATAAAAGACCCTCTAATTTATAACCTTCTTAAAAACAAGCTTGTATGGGAAATCTGATTTATTTTTGAGATGCCTAACACTTAACTAACACAAAACTCTTCCCTATTGGGGCAGGTGGCTCAGTTGGTTGGGCATCTGCCTTCAGCTCAGGTCATGGTCCTAGGGTCCTGGGATTGAGTCCTACATTGGACTTCCTGATCAACAGAGAGCCTGTTTCTCCTGCTCCCTCTATTATTTCCCTCCATTGTGCTCTCTGGCGCGTGCTCTCTCTCTCTGTCAAATAAATAAATAAAATCTTCCCAAAAATGACAAAAATATTCCATATTTAGTGGTCAGTGGTGAGATCCCATGACAACTTTGATGATAAAAAATGAAAATATTCTATACCTCTAAAGGGGAAATACCTAAACACAATTTCTCCAGTCACACCCTCAAGATGTCTTCCAAATGTACCTGCATGTTTAGTCAATGTCAGCTTCTCGTAAGGACCACTGCACATCTGAGAGAGGGCTGGCAAAGAGAAAGCTCTTGGAAATTAAAGATGGCTCATTTAGTGATTACAAACTCTGTTCTTTAAATAATATTAATTCTGTGCTCTTGGTACCTTTTGACATTTTTGATATATCAACCTCTAATTTAAACTGTAATAAAATTCTAATTTTAAAATACCAATTATAAATGAAATATACAATTCTGACTCTGAACTCAATAGAGTATCTATATACTTTTCTTCTTTCTAAAAATAAGCCAGTTCAGTTTGATCTTTTTTTTTAAGATTTTATTTATTTATTTGAGAGAGAGAGAGCACGTGCACAAGCAGCGGGGAAGAGAAGGCAGAGGGAGAGGGAGAAGCAGACTCCCCACGGAGCAGGAAGCCCAATGCAGGGGGGACCCTGATATCATAACTGGAGCTGGAGGCAGATACTTAACCGACTGAGCCACCCAGGTACCCCTAGTTTGGTCTTTCTTTGTAAAGAAATAGAGCTTAAAAACAAAACAAAACAAAACAAAAAAACTTGGAATACACATTTTGCTACTTAGTAGAAAAAATATATTGTAAAAACAACATAACAGAGCAGATCCTTCATTAAAGACGTGCCCTTGTCTGGTGCCATTTTCATTGTTTTAACAGAGCCATAATATTAGTGTTTTTAAAAGTGCCTGCCTTCCACAGAAGCACCCTACTGCAACAGAATTTTAATCACAGACAGAAAGGACAGTCCTGGGGAGCCAAGTCTGTTAGAATGATACATGTATTTATTCAAAACTACAAAGTACAAATTTGCTACACTATCAGGCAATCTGGAAACTGATCGTAATGCAGAAATGGCTGAACCACCACACTGAAAGGCATAGGTGACTTAGACACTAAAAAGGAAAGAGGTTTTAAAAAAAACCCTCTTAACTTACTTTCCTTCCTCTATCACCCTCACCTTCCCAAGAGTAGTTTGTGGGGAGGAGGGGGACAATCTACTAGAATTATGATATCTCTGAAGATAAGATTATTCTGGGTCACACACAAAAATGACAGTCTCGTCTGCATTTCATATTGGGATAAATGCATTAAATACACTATTTAATGCAAATGCAAAAGCATTTAATGTAACCTAACTTCTGATAAACAATACTTTCAAGAAATCATATTTTCATGCAAATAATTCAGCCTTGCTAGTGGTTATCAGTCACTAATATAATTTTAATAAGAGCAATTTTAATTTCCAGCTTGTGTTTATCATATGTTTCAACCAAAAATTTTAAATAATCTGCCACTTAAAAAGCTAGCTGTCCTTTAGGACAAATTTGCAAATTGCTGAGAGGAAATAACTGTTCCATGTTGACTTCCTTTATCTTAATACTTCTCTATTTTCCAGAAACAAAAGAGACTTGTAAAACATTTTGGACTGTCCAACTAACTCTTGGTAATTCATGATATTCAGGAATACAGTTGACTCAATTAGCCTCAAATATATCTAGAAAATGCTTTTAAACATCTTTTTACAAAGATTTAGTATCAGAGATCATGGTAAGAAAAAATAGATTTCCGAAAGTTGATAATAGTCTTGAGCCTGATTTAGGTATTGTTCCAGTAGCTGCCCTTTGAGATACATTTCTGATTCTTTGCAAACTTCATGTGAATGGAAGGAGATGTATCATTTGTCCAATGAGTCTGATGGCTCTTTAATCCTACTCCTTGCAGGACAGAAGCCAAGGCTGACCTTCAAATGAACTTGGTTTTATTGTTTGGAGTGTGCAGAAGCCAATGACACACCTTCCTTGTGTAAATTTTCTAATTTCTATGGTGCACATCTTCTCAGATAATCCCAGAGTGATCTCTGATGCCCGACTTGTGTTCTTACCCTAGTGATGCCCATGACTTCCATTTCGGAGCCCAGCTATGACCACATTGACCTGCCACTCTTAAATGACTTAAATCACTCTCAAGCTAGTTTAGAAAAAGAAGGGATGAAGCACTTACAGTTGCCTTCAATACTGTAAAGTAGGGTGAAGATCAACACCCTTCTACCTAAAGGGGAAAAAATTTAGAAGGAACACACCCGTGCCCTCGGCTCCATTCCCTGCAGGAAGTTAAAAAACAATGATATTCTTGACGAGATCAGTCTTTCTCTTCAGTTTGTCCTTATGCCCCAGGTTGGGATGTCTCTCCATGATTTCACACTCCCTCTTCTCCCTGGATTGAATATTATTCACTTTTTCCTTTTAGACAACTTCTAACTCAGCAGAGAGCGGGGACTCCACATTGTACTCACCATCGTTGTGTTGTCTCTTTCCTTCTCCCTCGAGGCTTGGAGCATCACCTATCACAGCTGGTTGACCTTTGTGTTGTTGATTTGGTCATGCACCCTTTGGATGATTCGCAACAGAAGAAAATATGCCATGATCAGCTCTCCTTTCATGGTTGTCTACGGAAATCTGTTGCTGATATTACAGTATATATGGAGTTTTGAACTTCCCGAAATTAAGAAGGTCCCAGGATTTTTAGAAAAGAAAGAGCCAGGAGAACTTGCCTCCAAGGTAAATTAATAGGAAAACAAGAAAACAAAATGTTGAAACAAATCCACAATAATCATAAGAAGCATATCTGAGCACAGACTTACTCACATGGGTTCCAAATATTTGAGGCTTTACAAAAATGAATAGATTAAAAACTCTAGGAAACAATTTATATTACTTAGTGGTCTCTCTAATATTACACCACACTTTCAGATTTTATTTACAATAACAAGGCTTTCCACTTAGAGGAAAAATACTGTCTGCTATACTTTAATGTCAATTACAGTATAGTAGAAATTACAAGGGGAAATAAGAAAATACAGGGTAAAATGTGTGCAAGGGTTAGAGGACTTTCTTTGATCTCCGTTTTTCAAAAAAGGCTGAATGCATTGTTGTTACAGATAATCACTGATTATTAGTAACAACATTTTTTCTTCAATTATGTCTTCAAAAACGCTGTTAGCAGCAAAAATTGAGTATGACACTTCTGGTTTTTCCTTCTGCAGATTATATGGTAGGCCTTCATAGGTAGCAACAAGGTTCATGATCTCCCAGTACTCATTACTTTTGTGGCCTGTTTTAATAGCCTTGACTTCAGATTATGTGCCCCAACCATTCTGTTTTGTGGACAGTGTAGTCGACTTTAAACCACATGTGTCCATTGTGTTGATAACATTGTGTTAAGACCTGTGAGAGCAGTCCTGTGTCATTACTCCATGAGCCTTAAACACCTTTTTCCTCCAGGCAGAGAATCATTCTCTGAAAAGGACATGAATTTATATCTCACAAAGTTCACCTTTTCGGAGAGCAAGCTCCTTTCTTACAGGTTACCAAATACCCCATATCCAAGGCAACTAGGCATGAACGGGGAACTAGTAGACCAAGGACTGGTTCTCATAACAGACCTTTTGGTGAAGTTTATTGGGGTAGAGGAGAAACTCCTAGCAGGTGAATAGTGATGACAATAATTAGCTCATAATCCCCTGTGTTCACAGACCATGGCAACCTCCTTCCTTTCTTTCTCAAACCCCCTCTCCATGCTGACAGTCCCACGGAGTATTTTCACTGACAAGTCACATTAGTCTCACACTCTTACCCACTCCTTCTCTCCCTCCCTGACCTTCCCCCCAAACACACACCCAAAACTGAGAAGCTAGTCTTTTCTTTATAAGAGAAATTCAAAACCTCATCTTTTGACTATGCAAATCCATTCCAACCTGGCTTGGAATATTGGTGAGACATCTGAAAAGTATCCCAGCTAGCTGGTTGAACAACCTCCTGTCTAATCTAAGATGAACAGCTCTTGGAGGTCAGGGAATTAAATGTATTACTTGTAAACAAAACAAAACAAAAAAACAAAACAGTGTTATTCTGAAGAAAGTAGGGTCTCCACTTATATTTTAATGTACCCAGGAGCTAAAAAAAAAAAAAAATGCAAGTCTTTATCATAGATAACAACACAACCTAAGATCATAAAATATCACAGTGACATTTGTCAAAGTACTTTATTAAACACACTCTTTGCAGAGTACTGGATGGGTCGCTGTGATGGAAAATGAGAGGAAAGAAAGAATATGTCCCAGGTCCCCAGAGGTCTGACACTCTGGGGAAGTAAGACTCAGATCCTTGGTAATATCCTTCAGTTGCTAGTGAGTCTTCCCCACTCCATCAACTACACCAACCGCGCTTTCCAAATCAGGCTTGTTGATCACCTTTTCCAGGAAAGGGGTCTCATCTGCCGCTGAGCATTCCTAAGCTCCTTAGACATGCACTAGAGAAACATATTTCTTTCCCAAATTGCAGCCATAGTTCAATTTGTTGTGACTCTCAGAAGTAGAATGCCAGGTTTTCAGGAATGGAGGCACTCTGGATCTTGGCTTCCATTGGCCCTAAACATGTTGTCCCAGACTGATTGGGACCGGTTTATGCTGAAGGCAAAGGAGAAGTGGGTAATTATGGACTATCAAGTAGGCAGTTATTCCAAGTAAAACTGACCCATTCATTTGTCTATTTCTTTTCATGTCTTTGGCAAATATTTATTAAAATCGTACTACAAACCACAGTGAGATGCCACTTCACACTCAGCAGGATGGTTAGGATCAAAAAGGTAGATGAGTGGCGCAGTCGGTTAAGCATCTGCCTTCAGTTCAGGTCATGATCTCAGGGTCCTGGGATCGAGCCCAGCATAGGCTCCCTGTTCAGCGGTGAGTCTGCTTCTCCTTCTCCCCTGCTCCCTTTCTCTCACTCACTCTCTCTCAAATGAAAAAATAAATGAAAAAATAAAATGAAAAATCTTAAAAAAAGAAGAAAGCAGACCATAATAAGTATTATTGGGGACGTGGAGAAACTGGAACCTCATGCTGGGGGGCTTGGAAAATGCTGCGGCCACTTTGGAAAACAGTTTGGAAAACAGTCTTTCAGTTCCTCCAAAGGTTAAACGCAGAACTGCCATAAGACCCAGCAATTCCACTCCTAGGTTTTATACCCAACAGAACTGAAAACCTATGTCCACACAAAAACCTGCCCGTGAATGCTCATAGCAGTGTTATTCATAATAACCTCAAAAAAAGTAACCACCTAAATGCCCATCAACTGAGAAATGACATGCTGTCTGTACAATGGAATACTATCAAATAATAAAAAGAAGTGAGGTCCACCACGTGCTACAACAGGAATAAGCCTTGAAAACATTATGCCAAACAAAAGAAGCCACTGACCAAAGAATGTTTAGTATGTTTAGGTGGACAGGAATAGGGTAACTGCTCTGAGGCTTCTTTCGGGGTGATGAGAATATTCTACAACTGACTGCAGTGTTGGTTGCATAACTCTGTGACTTCATGAAAGACCACAGAGTCACATGCTCTAAATGGATAAATTGTATATAGCATGTAAATTGTATTGCAGTAAAGCTAGTACAAAACAAATACTATGTACTAGGTCCTCTATCTCCTGAAGAAGGAGCTCCCCAAAAAGCATCAGCTTGCCCCCTGCCCCCAGCCCTCCACAAAACCATAAAATACAAGTGTGGACACTTAAAACAATTCTTCCTTCAGCTTTGGGAGATGATTAGGATATTAGAGAGTTCTGTTTTCCGGGATAAAATGTTCTTTTTCCCCATCTGTGGAATTCTTCATTCCAAGGAACATCGCAAAGTCAACGAGTATTACGGAAGAAATATGTCTTCCTGTTGTAATTGTGCTCATGTCACAGTCGGGACAGGAAAGCAAGGACTTTCTCCCTCCGGGGAGATCAGTTGCCAAAGCTGACTTCTGGCCCAGATGGAAGTAGTTTGGGCTGTCGGGACACCTTCCCTGGGCCCCAGCTTGCTGCCAAATGTCCTCCTGGCCCTCAACACGCTTGTTCGTGTCTTCAGCAAAGGGGATTTCAAAGCCAGTGACTTTCAGGTGAAATCCAGTGGCTGCCCGACTGTCTCCAAAGGAGAGGCTTATTTATGGTGTTTCTGCTGAAATGTGGAGAAAACGTTGTATATATTGAATTGTATTTACATTTCAAATGTGTGGCTTAGTTCTTAATTCTTAATTCTTAATTCTCTGCTTTCAGATACTTTTCACCATTACTTTTTGGCTCCTGCTGAGGCAACACCTCACTGAGCAAAAAGCTCTTCAAGAGAAGGAAGCTCTTCTATCTGAGATCAAAATCGGAAGTCAGGAAAATGAAGAAAAAGGTAAATTAGTGTGACTAGAGAGTTTTGTGCTCAGCAAATGACAGAGAGAGGACACCCCACATACATCAGAAATCCTCTGTGCTTCAGACCAGATAAAAGCTGAGCGTGACCTGGAGTGATGGAAAACCAGGGCCCCAGTGGGGACGATTTCGTGCACATCCGGGAGCTCACAAAGAGCTTTTGGAAATGCGTCTTCATTCCATCCTCACAAAATTGATTCCCACTTAAGGGAAGAAGAAACAGGTTCACAGAAGTTAAATGGTTTATCCAAGGTCACACTTTCAGAGCCCTGACACAATCAGAATTTGAAATTGATATCGTCGTTTTAATCTGTGTTATTGTCATGTGCAGGGGACTCCTTATTCATAGGGGATGCATTCCAAGCCCCCAGTGGATGCCTACCACCGCAGATAGTACTGAACCCTGAAGATACTATGTCATTTCCTGAACATCCAAGACTATGATAAAGTTTAATTTATAAACTAAGCACCATAAGACATGAACAACTACTACTAAGAAGAATTATAATAATACTTGGTAATAAAAGTTACGTGAATGTGGTCTCACTCTCTCTCAAAATATCTTCTTGTGGTGTACTCAGCCCTCTAGTGAGGCTGTGAGATGAGAAAATGCCCATGCGATGAGACGAGGTGAATGACACAGGCAGGTGACATTAACATTAGGCTGTTATTGACCTGACCGTGTGTCAGGAGGAGGATCACCTGCTTCCAGACCGTGGTTGACCTTGGGTAACTGCAATGGTGGAAAGCAAAACCATGGAATGGAGGGCAGGGGGAGTCCCTGTTCTTAATTTTCTAGATCCTGTAGTACTCAAAGCTTAATTTTCTAGATCCTGTAGTACTCAAAGTCATTGGATACCGGAAATGAAGTTAGGTATTATAAAAAAGATGAGCATAAAATATTCCCGTGTTCATAGCCTTTAAACTGTATGAAATTCAAAAGTTGATTATGATTGGGTATAAATGCTTCCTTGTTTACTGCAACCATCTGAAATCATTCAAATCACAGAGTAACACAGAAAACGTGGGCTTCCATGCCCCCCCCACCCATGCAACACACAGTCAAAGTGTGGCTCTGGGTGGGGAACCAACTAAGTGTAACTGCATGGTCTTCTATTTTGAAGATGACGAGCAAGATATACAAATGGAAGGAGAGCCTGAAGAGAAGGAGGAAGAGGAAGCCAAGGAAGAGAAGCAAGAGAGAAGGAAGGAAGAAGAAGAGGAAGTGGAAGAAGATGATGACCAGGACATCATGAAGGTCCTGGGCAATCTGGTGGTGGCCATGTTCATCAAGTACTGGATCTACGTCTGCGGAGGAATGTTCTTCTTCGTCAGCTTCGAGGGTAAAATTGTGATGTACAAAATCATCTACATGGTGCTGTTTCTGTTCTGTGTGGCCTTGTATCAGGTAGGTAAACCATCGTCCTCTGTCTTTTTTCAATCCTGGTAGCCAGCCCAGGAATACATAGGAGCTTCCTTTGTTGAGATTCTAAATGATTGTCATCCCAGGAATGTAGTATCTAAAGTGATCAGTGCGATTCAAAGGCAAATGAAGAGGCCTGGAAGGGGAAATGACTGTCTTCAGAGTATATGTTATTTTAAAAATTGGGATTCTTAAAAAGTAAAAAAAAAAACAAAAACAAAAACTTCATGAGTTTTTCAAAACTTCTTGATTAAAAAAAAAGAAAACCTGTGTAACTAAATTCATTTTTTATTTCAATTTTAATTCCACATTTAATGTCAATTTTCAATTTTAATTTCAATTTCAATTTCAATTTTTAATTTCACTGACTATTCAACAGCCAGTGAAGAACAGCGGCTGGGCAATCTAAAATATGGGTTGATACCCCGTTCACTTGTACTTCAGACTTTAGGATCAGGAACCTGTGTGTGTGTGTGTGTGTGTATGCATAATACATCAACTTCTTTAGTATTTTATCCATTAGAATTTATGGAAGATTCCACTAAAATATAAGAAGATCTCCACCAATTCAGTCTTAACTTACAGAAAAATTGTTACTCAGTGATAGAAACAAGTGTAACAGGACACTGTTCTTGCAGGCAACCAATAGGACAAATGAAACAACTACACTAATTCACCAGTAGAGACAAAAGTATCTCAATCGAAATTGATGAAGTTTTGAAATACTGGAATCTCAAAATGGAGGCAGTTTTTTCTCCCAGCAATAACTACCACAATGACAGCATCTACCATATAATTCCTTGAATGCCTCCCATAGACTAGCTTATAATTATGATGATTTCATCCTCTTTCCAGCTTTCAAAGTAGGTACACAGAGGAGGAAATGGAAGCTCAGAAGGGTCGAGCGACTTAACCCAAGACCTCGTTAGCAACTCTCGTAGTCCTAAGGTTCCAATCCAGACCCAGCTGACTCTATGAGGAACAGAGCCTCAAAAGCCAAAAATGAAATATATTTGATTTTTGAGTACTTGTCAACATCATCACTTGTCATGCTTGAATAAATGAGGTGCTTTTGTAAGTTTTTTTTTTTTTTAATCAGTTCTTTTTTCTTGTGTGTTTTTCGATGTCTGATTCACAGGTGCACTACGAATGGTGGAGGCGAATCCTAAAGTATTTTTGGATGTCTGTGGTGATTTACACAATGCTGGTGCTTATCTTTATATACACATATCAGTTTGAGAACTTCCCAGGCCTGTGGCAAAATATGACTGGATTGAAAAAAGAAAAGTAAGCAATTTGGTATAAAATGGGCTGTGAAAGGGACAGATGGCATGAAGATCTCCATTCATCTTGTTCAAACATCGTTGGGGGAGGTTCTAGTAAACTGTGATGTCATCAATGTCTGTAAGTTCCTTGAGAACAAGCCCTTCTGTGGTCTCCCTGCCAAACCCTAGGCTTGACACGTAGAGTATGTACTTAACGACTAATCACCAAAAAGTGCATTTTCAGCCCCATTTTAATGAAATAACTTTTTTTTAAAAAAATATTTTATTTATTTATTTATTTGTTTGACAGAGAGAGAGAGATCACAAGTAGGCAGAGAGGCAGGCAGAGAGAGAGGAAGGGAAGCAGGCTCCCTGCCTGATGGGGAGCTCGATCCCAGGACCCCAAGACCATGACCTGAGCCGAAGGCAAAGGCTTAACCCACTGTTTCCTGTGAAATACCTGCTTCGTCCTTCATCATTCATGCCTTCTACTTCCCAAGTTGAAGTTCCGCTCAGCAGTTCAGTTGATTCCTAGGCTTATGATAAAAAGCAGCAGCCTCTCCTCGCTTACAGAGCTGGTGCGAAGATTCTAAGGAGTACTTGAGGCCATAGCAAAAGTGCTAGTGGACTAATGAGGAAATCATTATTCATGTGCGTGTAATAGATCTGTGCATGTGCTGTGTTCTTTTATGATTTGCTGCTGTAAACGTCTGGAATGAGTTACCAGAATGGGGCATGGAGCTGAATGAGTATACTGAGGTGGGAAAGAGAAAAGCTTAAAAGGAAAGGCTCACCATGTAGCTAGGCTGACCTGTCTTTAACATTTATTTAACAAATATTTATCAAATGCCTCCCATGTACCAGACACTGGCTCGACCTGGGGACCCATCAGGAAGCGGGACAGACAGAGCCTAAGCACTGCAGAGTTTATGTTCTAGTGGAGGAGACCAAAAAACAAACAAACAAATGAAAACAAAAAATAACCTTACTTAATATGCAAATAAATTAATTACAAATTGTGGCAAGTCTGTGCAGGAGACAAAAACAGGGCGAGGTAGTGAACAGTGAGGGTACAAACTGTAAACGGAGTGGTCAGGGCAGGCTTCCCTGAGGAGGTGCCATTTAATCTCCCCCTGAAGGGCTTAAGAAAAGTGTGAGTTGGGAGTGAGATACGGAAAAGCAACCCAGCAGCAAACAGGAAGATCCTGAGACAAGACTGAGTTTGGCACAAGGGAGGAAGCCAGGGAAGTTTCAGCTGCCCAGAGCAAGGGGGGACAGTGGACAGAGCCGAGGTGGAGAACGCAGCCAGACACCCGGGATGGGCGGGGCTCGTTGGCATTTTATTCTTGGTGACATTTTTAAGTCTTTAAAGAACTCTTGACAGGCTGAAAAAATGTGCTGTCCCGAGGGTGAGGGTAAAAACCACAGGGCGGGTTAGCCAGCAGCAGCAGGGGTCCTGTGAGAAATGGTGGTGGTTTTATCTAGAGCAGGTGATGCAGAGACAGATAACAGAGGGGGCAACTTCAAGAGATGTCTAGGAGGCTGAAGGAAATGTGGATGAATGTGCTATGAAGGCAAAGAAAGACAGACTTTCTGATTTCAGAATGTGGCACAAGGTAGACAGTTATACAGGGAGGACTCAAGTTGTGGCGGGCAGGGGTGCAGGACAGCGTGACAGAAAAACTGGGAAATCAAGAACACTGTTTGGAAGACACTCAATATGAAATAACTATAGGGAAAAAAACAAAAAAAAAAGAACTTCTGTTAGATATTTGGGCATGAGAGTCCATAGGAGAAACCTGAGCTATAAATGCATATTTGAGTCACTGGTGCTAAGATGGTGTATAGAAAAGATGGTGTCCAGGTGGTACTTGTGAGATAACATGGGGGCGGCGGGGAATAAGCTGGAGAAGAGACTCAGCACTGAAGTCTGGGTCTATGTCACATCTGGAGGTCCAATTAAAAAAAAAAAAAAAAATGGAGGAAACAGCAACAGAAGAGAAAAACCAGGCCAGTGTGGCGGCACCAAGACCAGAATTGTTTCGAGAAGGACTAGAGGCAGAATTAAACAAAGACAGAGAAGCAGTCACTGAATTTGGCAATATTGAGGTTGTTTCTGACCTCTGGGAGAGCAGGTCAGTTGGATTGATGGAGACAAAAATCAAAGCCAGCACACAGGAGTGGGGGATGCAAGAAATGTTATAACAGGGCGGTGAAAGACGGTGATGTGATTTACAGCAAAATCAATGTGCTTGAGAAAAGCACTCGCTTTCTGTTTTGTTTCGTTTTGTTTTGTTTTACAGGCTGGAGGATCTTGGCTTAAAACAGTTTACCGTGGCAGAGCTGTTCACTCGTATCTTCATCCCCACCTCCTTTCTTTTGGTGTGCATTTTACACCTTCACTACTTCCACGATCGGTTCCTGGAGCTCACAGACCTGAAGTCCATTCCCAGCAAAGAAGACAGCGCCATCTACAGGTGAGCGCTTGCAAGAAGCATGAGCCTTTTGCTCTGGGCAAGACAGCTTTGACTCCCCACTTCAGCGCGGGGGTGAGGGGGGGAGCCCCCTGCAGGAAACCAATAACTAACCTTAGAGTTTCACCCTTGAGCTCTCCATGGGTGAGTGAAAATAAGAAATGAGAGAAAAATGTGGCGTATTTGATGGCAGTTTCCAAAACATTACGTAGTGACTCAGGACTGGTTAATACCAAGTGATCTTGACCCTCACCTGAGTAGATTTAAAATAGCTGCGCGGATGCAAATGCTTTAGAGTTGGTGATGGATATTTTGTGTCTGGGCTGTGATGTGTTTTTAGAACATTTAGGAGATCTGGCTGATTCAGAGGATGAGTTTTCTGAGAGCATACCAAATACGATGGGCAGAATTTTCCTTTCCGCTTTGGAAATGAACTTCGCCTGAAAGGATAGAATCTGCAGTCTACCATAAATCAGCATGACTTGCAAGGAAATAAAGTGAAGACAGTGTTTGCTTTTATCAGCTCTCCGTTGTCTTCTCATCTATAAATATATAAATCGCTTGCAAGCAACAGATGAGGTATCTCTCTCCCCTCCCGTGTGTGTTGCAACCGCAATGGTTTTATCACAAATCTCACAGTCGGGTCTCTCAGGGAAATTGCAAACATTCTTCTGATGAACGTTCATGCTGATTTCTCACTTTGCTTCAGATTTAGCTGATGATTCAGTTCCTGGAAAAACCCTTGTTGAGCAACCGAGGGAGCAAAGGGCTATACGCAGGGAGTGCAGATGCCAGCCGACAATCCCCTTAGTCCCTTGACTTAGCTCTGAACTCCTTTTCAAGGGGAATAATGAGTACAGCAAAAGAAGATGAAGTCTTATTTCATCACACACAGTTTATGAACCACCGGATATTTGGTTTTCTGCTATACTAGGGACTAGAGTCATAGATGACTCCAAAACTTGTCTTTGGTGGTGAAAACCATTTTATAATCTCTATCTATGTATGGATAGCCAGCAGATTTCTTTCCCATATTCGTATTGTGTTTTTTGGAGGTAAGCTGAGTAAGCTTCAGATGCCTTTCAATCTGTGAATGGCTCCCAACCAGTAGAATCCAAAGTCATCAAGCAACTGTTATTTCTTGTTCTGTCTTGGCCGCATCAGTAAGCAAGCTCAGCGATAACCTATCTCCTCCCAAATCCCCCCCATAGTGAGGGCCCTGATGGGGTCTGTGGCTGCTCTCAGTGATAATCAAACATTAGGGGAAAAAAGGTAGTTATTAGAAGTCTGAGAGCCCCCTAGGAGAGATGTTTTCTAGGCAAACTTGTTAGCAGGAGAAATCACCCTAAGATTAAAAGCTTACAAATGCAGTCCTGGCACAGGAAAGTACGATTTATCAGTAATTAGTGGAAGTACTTTTGATGACAATTTTGACATTGCTTGCCAATGCTAGGGATAAAATTAGTATTTGATATTTAACTCTGAGAAGTAACTATTTGTTCAAAAAGTCTTATTCGATAATCAAGAAAAACCTGTTGGTCAGCAAAGTATATTTGTATGTTTATAAGAGAAATACCACGATTGGCGATCGCTAATGATGCCTTTAATTTTTTTTTCTTCTAAATGTCTTTCTTGCCTTGGATCTCTATTTTCTTCTCATTCAAAATTCCTCCAGGATGTGGGTGCTTTTTCCTGCCTTTTTTAAATTATCATGTCTTTGAATCTAATGTCACACAATCAGATAGAGATATGGGTTACAGTTTTTCAGGAAAATAGAGATCTTCAGGACCACAGTTTTGCAGAAGACCATGCAGCTCAACAAGGATTGTACAAGCTCAAAGGAATCACAATTTTTGAGACCTAGGGTATGTGAAAACAGAATTTGTTCCTCAGAGCTCCCTGGAAGCATGTAGAACATTATTTAATTATGTCGGTTCTGGAAAGGACTACCGTCTCACGTGGAGATAATTTCTCCCTGTTTCATGGCTGCTCCACTTACAGCCCTCACCCTCCATACCATGACAAGAAAAGAAAGATCTAAATTATTTGTAGCCTTTTGAGGTCATCGCTTGCCTTCCTCGTGGCCATGGCTTCACCCCAAGAATGCTTTAAGCAGTTAATTTTCCAAGAAAACGTAGAGTGATGAGAGGCTATAAAAGACCAGCTATCTAAAGAGGTTAGGAACATGGGTTTTCATTTTCAGTCTCCGAAAAAACAGTTTTCTAGGCCTTAAAAGGTTCAAAGTTCAGGTCAAATTCAAGTTCCATGTTTTGGAACTTCCTGCAACAGTGTAATATGAAAGTTCCCAATTTTTAACTTTGACTGTAGGATACACATCGCATCTTTTTTACTAACTTGTTCCCATTCTGGTGTTTTCCTTACTAACAGTATTTTTTGTCCCTGGAGCCCTAATAAATGACCACATTGAGATCAAAATGATGAAGAGAAAGAATATTTACAGAGTTGGGATTGACTGGCATGCTTTGCCTTCTCCGCCCCCACCTCCTTAGTAAATGTTTTACAAAACTTGGCCCACAAATTGGGAATAATTGATTCATTGTATTCCTTAACATTGATTCCAGCACTGTGGTTTCTGTAAATATCCAGCTGCTGTTTTCCTGTTTTGTCCACCATTTGTGTGTGCTGTGTTTTTGTGCACACATAGGTTGTATAGGCAAATGTCACTTGTGTCTGAGGAAGACTTTATTGTGTTTAGCCTTAGAGAAGTGATGAAGTTGACACCATGGAAAATGTTTGGATGTACATGATAATAGAAAAAACTATTATTATTTCTAAGCAGGTATTCTCAGGAATATTATTTCATTTATCTTGATAAGATATATACTATTAGAACATAACTACAGTCTATAATAACATATATATATGATAATGTATGAAATATCCATCATGTAATTAAGTAGCCATCCCTGCAATTTATCCATGTTTTGTTTTAGAACATATTCCAGTGCACAGAGAAACAAAATGACTTTTTTTAACTTCAGTCTTAGAAAACTTAGAGAATACTATGTGGCCTGTGGTTACTTAGGAGGATTTCTTTCTTTTTTTTTCATTTGGGGAAAGGAGCAAGAATCCATCTTTTAGATTGTCTTCTATTTGATAACTGTGCTCTGAAAATTAAAACATTACCAATCTTTAGTCAAGTGTTTTGGGGGAAGGGACGAGACGAATGGAGTGACTTGTTACCTTCAAGCATTTTTTTCCTGAATATATCTAACTTCTCTTTTCTCCTGAGTCTTGCTGCCCTGACTCCTCTTCATGCATGGGAGTATTGATGAGCACACACCTGATGCCTTAAAGGTTGCAAGACAGTCTGCATCTTTCCTCTCTAACGGTCTCTTCTTTCTCTCTCCCACCTGTCTCCCCATCCCCATGCCACCTTGGGCTTCCATCTCTCACCTCGTAGCCATGCCAAAGTCAATGGGCGCGTTTATCTAATAATAAATAGGTGGGTATGTCAATGTTTTCTCTCTTGTTTGTTTTTTTTCTAATGGTCTTGTGGTGTGTTAAACACTTTGCTGTTTTGTAAATGAAAAATGATGTCATCAGAGAGGGGACAGTGGTCTTCAGGTACGCTCATGGATGTAGTCTGCCAACCAGACCATTTGGTGTCTATCCCGAATGGTGCTGCAAGTGGATTCGGAGGTTGCCAAGGGTCTTCAGCTGGTGCTCAGCCTTTGGTCTTGGTTCAAACGGATGCCCCGTTAATTTCATTCTTTGTTAATTAGTCCAACACTGGCCGGAGAGCTCATCGTCGCTCTCTTGGACACATGACTGAGAGCTCAGCTCAAGAACCGCCTCCGCCACAAACCTGCCCACAAATGCCAACATTCCCCGCTACGGGAATCTGCCCTTCCTCTGAATTTCCACAGCACTTCATCATTGCTGCCTTCTGACACTTGCCTTCTGACACTGTCTGCCTGCCTGTCTTATCTCCCTTGCCAGAGGCATCAGCTCCTCGGCTGGAGTCCCTGTATTAATAATTTACCCCGTGTCCACGTATCACTTAACCTCAGGGCCTCACCCATCTGTTGACCCTCGGTAGATGTTTCCTGAATAAAGTGATAATAGTCACAATAAAATAGGTTAAAAGAAAATTAAGACATTGGTTTCTTCAAATATACCTTGACTTAAAAGATCAGTGTATTGAAGAAAGATCTTTTAGGTCACCAGATTTCATAAAAGATGCAAAGACGGACCCTGGGTCAAGGCCCTACCTTAGAGCCCTATCACTCAGCTGGGGAGATAAAACATATAAAGGACGACACATAATAAAGAGTAAGCTTTGATAGTGTTGTCCGCAGAGTTATTCTCAACTTCCCTAAGAGTACAGAGAAAAAGGTCTTTGGAGATCTAATTTCCTAAAGCTATCTTGACTTTATTAAATAGGTGAATTAAAATAGCCACTCCTGTAACTTTATCTTATTTGTAGTAAAGCCAGTGATGTAGGTCATAAAAACATGTATTTTACAATAAAGCCAATGAACAAATTAAATCTTTGAAAGATCTGTTGGTTTTCTATTCCATTTGCTTTTCTCCTATGTAAAATTCCAAGGCTGACAACCAAATAGCAAACCCTGGGAGCCAAAACTTCTAGAAAGAAGGGTGGAACATTAATGCATCAATGTGCAGATCACTGAAGAAAGAGAGATGAAGACTGGCTGGTTCCTTTGGGAGCCAGTTTTGTTGACATCCTGAGAGAGAGGAGTCAACCTCAGGTTTTTAGCTGATAGACACTAGCTGGAGATCTTGAGCAACTATTGAAATGTCATCTCTTCAAACATAAGGAGCTTCTCTCTCAATCTCTCTCCACCTTCTCCTTTCCTTCTCCCCCTCACTCCCCTCTACTCCTATACCTCTCCATCCATCCTTCTCCCTCTCTTCCCTTGTCCATCCATCTTTGTCTCTCTCTATCTCTGTCTCTCTCTATCTCTTCCCATAAAGTATTTACCATCTGCTATATGAGGAGATGGCTGGGACCTATCTAAGAAGGCAGAAGTTGGTTTGATGGGCTCCAACAGCAGGGGCTGATACAAGTTATGGTTCCGGTTGTCTAGAACTTCTCTCTTGAGAAAAAGCCTATCGCCATTAACCCAAGTCACAAGGCCAGGGAATGTGCTCAGGAATTCTTAGAATGATCAAAATCCACCTAACATAATTAAAAACTCAAAACATTCCACTGTTAGGACTATCTTCTTTGCAGTGGAATCTTTCCTTTTCATATTAAGAAAGGCCAGAGTTACTCCCCAGGGAGGATGTTACCCGATAAACTCTTCCCTCACTGCTCTTCTGAAAGGCTGTGTGTAAAGCATGTCCAATTTTGAACAGGACCTAGTTTTGATGAAAATAGTAAGTCAATCCTTTTATTAAGGAAGCTTTCTCCCATAATTTCTTCCTTGTACGTTCAGTGTTCTTTCATAAGGAGAATAATGTGTTTGTAAATGTGAGGTCTGGATGAAAGGGAAGACATGCCTACTTTCAGCTTCTGGGTTGATTAAAATTTAGACATGACTTAACAAAGTATGAGGTGGGGATGGTGAGGACAGTGGGTGACTGGTTAAAATTTTGATGATACAAATCTTTGTGGGGAAGTTCCAACTGAATTCTTAAACAGAATGAATTAGAATGTTTTAACAGGAGTATTGGTCATTTCTGTCTTAAATGCAGAAACTAGAGCCATCATACCCAAACCTGTCGAGTAGATTTTTTTCAGAAGGAATTACTACCATGCACATTTAAGATATGATATTAAACTTACTAATCAAGTGCTCATCTGTGAATACCATCTTCTAAAAGTGTGTATGCATTCTAGAAAATAATCTTAAGCAGTATAAGTATTATTTAAATACTAATTATAAACACCAGAAATTTGCAAGACACCTCTTTTCTCTAATAGTCTAATGAATAGGGTGGATGTACTTTACATTGCCAAATATTCCAAATTAGAATAGTCATAAAAATGAATAGAATTTAGACTAAAGAGATGTTGTAATGGTGGACTTCACATTTTCTTTCATGGAAACTACCTTAATATGTGGTCTCATATATTGACTCAAAGTCAGTTCCTAATAGAGAATTAAGCCTCTTCAACTGTCCATGTAACATAATTTGTTTCTTCTGTTTCAAATAAAAATGCCCATCCAGTGCCTAGAAGCCATTGGCCAAACATGTACAATGTGAGTCACATTGTACACCAAGTCCAGTGCTACATTTTTCAAGGGAGCCCAGGAGCCTTAAGACTGGCTTTCTGCCCTCAAAGGAAGAGTCCCCAGAACCATCATTAGAATAAAATTATGTAGATACAAATGGAGAGATGCATGCATTGAGGAACGTTTAAAGAAAGCCATGGGTGCAGAAGGAAAGAGTGAATGATGACACAAGGAGGAGAACATCACCTGCTTCGTTAGAATGCAACAGGAGAAATAGTCAGTCAGTGAGAAGGTTACAGCTCCAAGCCTGGAGCATCATAAAAGCAAGGCAAGGAAGTTATAGGTGTGGATAAAGACAATGCAAAAGAAAAGAAAATGAACTCCACAGCGGGGTGGGGGGGCATGCAAAAAGTGGGATTTAAGGAAGTGGGGGAGGGAGTTCTCTGAGAATCCAGTTTAAATCTCCTTCAAGTGCTGATTACATAACTTGAACATGAGGATCAGCACCCAATTAATAGTATTGTAGGTACTGTAAATTTCAGGGAGCATGATTACTCACTTACCTTTTGGAAAACAAGGATCCCATTTTAAAGTTGACTGCAGGCAGGGGAGAGGGGAAGTATCTACATTGAGGTACTTAGGCTTTCCAAGAGATTCAGTCCAGCTGTTCACTATGGCAAACTGGGGGCTGGTTCTGCCCATGAACTCCACATTGGGCAGACAGCCCCACCTGTGCAGCAGCCCAGCCTCAGCAAATGCAGGTGGAAGGCAGTCAGCAGAGAGCACAGAAGGTTGAGAGTAGGGGGGACAGACTCCCAAGGAAGAAACGTTGGCGCTTTTTCTTCTGAATGGCCATTGTAATACACAAGTTCTGTTAACAATGTGCTGATGACAGAGTTAGAGTCCAAGATGAGCCCTTGTCCAGCGTGGTGAGGTTCCTTGCAAAGGTATATTTCTAACTCCGCCTTCTCATGATACAAATGAACAAAAACAGTACATGAAGATCTATCATGAGCAGATGGTTCTTTACTTTAAAAATATTCCCTGTGTACTAAGCACTGTGTTAAGAGCTTAACAGAAATCACCTTAGTTTTCCCAGCATTCTGTGAAGTAGTAGCTATTACTCCATTTTGCAGATCAGTGGACTGAGACTTGGAAGACAGGGTAGGGAGTTTTTCTAAATCATCTAGCTAGTAGTTGTCTAGTTGAGGCTTGAATCTGAGTCTTTCTGATTCCAAAGAGCGTGCTTTAACATTATTTTGTATTGCCTACAAAAAACTGCTATAAAAAAAAAAGGAAGGAAATGAAAGGCTTTACGTAGGTGTCCTTTTTAAAATTGTAAACCCCAATCAGGCATTAAAAATATTTTCATCTGTACACATTTTATGAACACAGATTTTCTCATGCAATTTCTCAGTTAACAGACTCCTAGAGTCAAGTAAATGACAGCCCAATACAGGTTTTCCCTTCTTTCTCTGTCATCCGTTACGAGCTCCTGACGTTAGACTGCTCCAGAAGGCATTCAGGAATTACATGCCCTGTTTCCTCCTAAGGATCATGTCAGACGGAAATACACAGATAATTGGTTCAGATGCAGATACTATGTTCTCTTCTCTCCCCAGCATTATCTAGTCCCCGATCTCTTGTGGACTGTTACGAGTTTCCAAAGTCAATCTTCTAGACATACTTCCACTAGGTTTATTCAAGTGGTTTTCTTTGATTCCTTCATTCCCTAATCTCCCCCTCAATATGCCCCGCCTATGGCAAGACAATCTGGGGGCCTCTTTTCTTGAGGGCTATTTGTTACATACCCAGAGTGACAGCTGCAGAAACAGCCTCATCTCTGTAAGTTTCATTCCACTGATTAACTCTAATCCCTGGCAAGTTTTTTTCTTGTCAGTGCAAAGTCATGGCAGTATTGATGTAGAGGGGGAAAATGCACTCCGAGATGGTCATCCCTCCACCAAATGTCATAATAGAAGTATCTTTTCACTTATAAAATGCATCCGCTACCAGTGCTGCAGAGAACATATAAATATTGACAATTGTGTGACAACTGACTGCTTTTACATTTAACACCATTTCATATGCCGAGTCCCAGCAAAACAAGAACAGCGCATATGCCCCCTGAGATTTGACGCGCAGTGCTGGTGTGAAAATGTGGTATTGGAGTTTCAGGAGTGGGGGGGACTTCCCCAAGGACAGGAGAGTGGATTGACTAGCTTTGGAAAATAAGAAGGGGGTACGTCATCATAACTCCCTCCACCAACGTGGGAACATCCTCAGGACATTGTGTCTTTCTTCAATTCACAAAATGTTTCTGCACCCTATAATTTACCTGCTTGGCACCCTGTTAAGAGGAATTCCTTTTGAATGATAAAGGTTCGAAAAGTCTAAGGACAATGCTGAGTCATTGCAACAGGTTCCCAGCATCACAGGTGTGTTTCAAATATAAAATCAGTGAGTTGTAAGGAAGTGTAGAATTTTATCTAGCCAAACTTACTGATTTTATAGAAAAAAAAAGTGAATTTCAGAAAGATTAAATAATATACTTGGAGCCCACAATTATACAGATAGGATAACATTATTAATTGTCCTTCCTGTTACAACCAGGCTGAAATACATTATTACAAATCAAATTTATTATTACAAATGGAGAAGATTATCAGTATTTCCAGTAGATGGTTCCATGATATTTCCTTACTGCCCAAAGATGTTCCTTCAAATTGGCTATGAGTAAAAATATATACTTTTTAACAATGTAGGATGAAGATGATACTTGTTATTGTCTAACACGAAATAAGCTGGAATGCCCCTGGCGCTGTCCAGGCTCGGCAAAACTGTGTCCCCATGCCTCACCCGGGCTGTCACACCCTGTATCCCCAAGACGGCTAGTCCCTCAGGCAACCTCGGTGCCCGGGGGCTGGCATGTGATACTGACTTCTTACTCCCAAAATCATTTCGCTTCCACTGCCTATGATTTAGATGACGGCAGAGTGGGATAAGTCTGTGCAAAAGGTTGATTGCGATTACATGTTATTTAAGAATATATATGTTTTTAAAAACCTATTTGGAGTGTGAATGACTGGATTCTTGCGGGATGGTTGGCTGCGTTCCTTAAAAAGCATGACATGATTTGCCTCTGTTGTCTCTCTGTTCTCCACCTTTATGACCTGCAATCCTGCCCACTCTCAACTCAGTGGCCAAGCCTAGGGTTCATAGCCATAGCACGCTATTGACGCCATCTTGGAATGCTCTTGGCGTTAGGACCACTGCATCCGCATACAGGAATGCGATAGTGGATGATATGTAGCATGATGTGTGATCTCTGACATTCCTTATAATTCTTCTGTTCTCATCTCCTCTTTTTCCTTTCTATTTCAATTACTTTGAGCAGCATCAAGAAAAAATTACCAATCCACCAAAATGAGTAAGTCCCCCGTGAAGCCATGAAATGCTTGCTCTACACGATTGTCATTTCATGCTTCTACAACCTAAACTCTGACCATTTTCTCCTCCGGGAAAAATGTCAAGTTTAGGTGTCGATAGCTCTCAATTGTGACTAATCACTAGAACCCGAATTGGAAAAGCTAACAAGACCTAACTGAGTTTACAGTTTGTTTTTAGAAAGAGCTTAAAAAAAAAAAAAAGTGACAAGATGCTAACAACCCCACATTGCAAGGCCTGTGTACCCGCACCGATTTTCATTTTATTTATCCTCCTTTTACTTGCCCCCTCAACTCCAATCTCTCCCGCGCTCTTTCCTCCCCTAACTCAGCTGCTCTCTGCCAACAGACTGGCCCACCCCGAAGGAAGCCTTCCGGACCTCGCCATGATGAATCTGACCGCCAGCCTGGAGAAGCCGGACATCAGGAAGCTGGCCGAGCCTGGGGACGACAAACCAGAAGGATGCCCTTATAAGGCTAAGAAGGCTGAGCTTGGGAAAGACAGTGAGGAGGAGGAGGAAGAAGAGGAGGAAGAGGAAGAGGAGGACGAGGAGGAAGCGGAGGAGGAAGAGACTTCAGGTAACCCGCCCACTACCAGTAGCTGCTCAGAAAATCCTGCCTGACAGATTCAGTGAATGAAACGGACTCATTCCCAATGGATAGAGATTTGATCCAGTCCATGAAGTAAAAGTTGGGGTGCGGTCTTTTAGTTGCTATAGCTACAACATTGTGATTCCAATTGCTCCCATCATTTCCTTGTGAATCTGAGGTAGGAGAAGAGAGCAGATGACTGACTGTCGTCTCCTGATCTGCCAGAGGTGTCCCCACCAGGCCCAGGGTGGGTGTAGCTCCTACCTGTGTCTTCAGTCAGGGATGTTTCCTACCAGCAGCAGAGGCAGGCAGCTGTGTAGAATTTCAGAAAGTTCTAGACAGGGCCTTTTCAAACACATTCTCAAAGAAACCAGTCTGGAACTTCCCCAGGGAACTGGTAATTAAGAACATACTTGTAATTCAGTCCAAATGTTTCAGGACCTGGGAACTGGAGGAACAAATGAGCGATGGGATAATTATCGTATCAAGCCAACTCCTAGAAGGTTTTTTGTTGTTTTGTCAGCTTAGGTTTTTCCCTCTTTATTCTTTGGGCTCTTTTTTCTGTTTTTCTTCATAGACTTGAGGTAATGTTTAATGGGGCATGATGAGAACTAGACGTCCGTGGTGACCAGGACGCATTATCTAACAGAGCAGAGAAGGCAGAACGCTTAGTCTGTTCTGGTGTTCTGTGCTTTAAAGGATTAGAAAATGAAAAGGCACAAGGATGAAGATCCCTCCCAAAGGCAAATTCCCCCAAACTTGGTCCCTTTTACCCCCTCATCTCCAAAGATCCTGAGAGGGGCCCAGAATGGCCCTTTCCATATCTAAGCAATGGCTATTCCTCAGCATGAAGGAGAACCAAGCTCGATGGGACCCAGAACCCAGGACTAAGATTTGCTCTACTACTTCATGAGGGTTTTGGGCTTTACTAAGAGGATCTCCCCAGAAATTGTGGACTGCCCTTTGTTCTGGCACTCCCTCATATACTTGCCATCTACAACTCTAAATTATGGTCGGTTATGACTGACATCTTTGTATCAACTATTATCTGTCTCACTTTGTAAATATGCATTTTTCACAATAACTGGGACCTTACTGAAACTTTCAGAACTGAAGACAATAACTGCTACAACCACCCCAGCCATGTGAAGAAGAAGCTCCTTAAAGAGAGGCTCAGGTCTTACCTGTCTGGGCTGGTGAGCTTTTTGTCTACACATGTGGTGACATGATGGTGCCACAAAATAGTTCTATGGTGACTTCCAGTCACGTGGACCAGGAAAGCCCTTATAGACAGAAGCATGACCCCAGTCTGCAAAATATTACTACTTAGCACAAGGTGGGAAGAAGGGAATGACTAATGTGATTAAAAATTTTGATTAGGGTGAGTCTGACCACATTTTGGGAATTTGGACTGGGTCATTCAGACACTCAGTGTTCACTCTCAGTTGCAAAGAGACACAGACTCTTGCCTCTCATTCTTCTGGGGTGACCGGTGAGCTTCATCCACTCCCTCTTTAAGCCCCTGGAACTTACAGAAGCAAGAAAGATGTCATTTCAAGGGAACTCAGTTACCTAATGTTCCCAAGAAATTAGGGAATTATAGCTAAGCTTTAAGAGGTCAAAAAATACTTCTTCACACTGATTAAATGAATTTAAGGAAAGCAATCTTGTCCCTCAGAGTCTCAGTGCATGTCTAAATCATCATGACATGGGAGCTTTAGACCACGTTTCCTCCAGATTTTGATATTCGTTAAATGCATCCTCTACTATTACTTTGCACCTTCTCCTTCCCATCTGAATGTTACAAGATCTTCTTTAAATAATAATGCAAACAAACCCACAACATTTTATGCTCTTGGGTGAATTTACTATTTTGCAGATTTAAGGAACAAATGGCATCTGGTGATTGACCGTCTCACTGTGCTCTTCTTAAAATTCCTGGAATATTTCCACAAGCTGCAGGTGTTCGTGTGGTGGATTTTGGAGTTGCATATCATCAAAATCGTTTCATCATACATTATCTGGGTTTCTGTGAAAGAGGCAAGTGAACATTTGTTGTTGTCTTCAGGCCAAACAAAACCACAGCGGATCATCATTTACCTTTCACAACTCTATGATTTTATTTTAAATGAAATCCCCATTACATTAGAACACCAAGGCTTAGAGATAGCACATACACTTTGACATGCAGAAAACCAAAGGACAGTTGTCCTGAGACATGGGAAAGATAGCAGGGCAGAAAGAAGCTCTGGCTTAGTTCCTGATTGGCTTGGTCATATCAGAAAGGTGACTTATTTTCACTGAATCTTTAGTTGAATTGTGTGAGAGCAGGCTGCCCTTCTGTACTAACTGTGCATAAAATCTCTCTGAGGAAAACAATAATATTCCAGTTTATGTTACCAAGGAGTAAACTCAGCCCCCAAATTTAATAAAATCTGTGCCAGAGTTCACCTTGTTTATTATTGGATGTTTTGAGACAAGACACCACGTTTCAACCTTATATTGCGGTTCTGTTTTCTCCTCTGGAAGGAGGAGAGCCATCATTCAGCCCACAGTTCTTTGCTGTTGACTGTGAAGAGATTAACTCTCAATTCATTCAGCAGATAATTGAAACATGTTTCTCATTTCCCTGGACTAGTTTTGAGTGACAATTCGAGGAGTCTTTGCCTTCTAAAAATTCAGTAGGGAACCCACTGCCTCTAATTTTTAAAAAAAAGTTAAATAATAACATCATATTATAACCATACCACCATACACCTAAAAGGTTCATGAGTAGGTAACAAAGGATGAACCTTAATTTGAACTCCCCAGTCTAAACTAGAACATTCTCGACTTCATGCAAACCATCTGGAATGCCTCCATGATCACTGCCAGGTGTGGAAAAAAATAAAAACTATTCTACCTGTGAGATTTATAGCAGAGAGGGACATGCACTCCATTGTTAACAGTGTACACATTAATTAGAACTAAAATCAAGCCTACTATGTGTATTCCTTGAAGACAAAGAGGTGTAAGCATTTTAACTGTAGCCGTAAATTGACCAATTCAGAAAGAATTTGAGGGTAAAGTATTAAAGAGCAATGAAGAAGGGCAAGAGAAGGCATTTGGCTGCAAATAGCAAAGGCCATTTCAGAGTTAACCAAATCCGATGCACAGATGTCTTCAGATGGCATGAGAAGTTGTTGCAAAGAAGACAGTTTTATGACGGGAGTCAGCATTAAATGAAGAAAATTAGTGTGAGTAGAGCACAGAAAATCCACTATCTGAAGTCCATCCTATGGAGTTCAGAAAGAGAAAGGAGGAGTTCAATGATAACCCTTTCTTACAAATCCTAAATAAAAGGCAGGCTTATATTTGTTAAAATCATCCTAATGAGTCCCAAGAATGTCTTCTTCATAGACTGTCAAGTAGGTAAAGTGTCATGACCTATTGTTCATCCTGTTACACCATTAGGAAAAAGGCCTTTGATGGCATATGACCATTTCCTTCTCCAGGTTTCATACATTGTGTAGACTTCCAGAATTTTCCTCCCTAATTCCATCTCTTTCACCTATAACTTTGAAACACATCAGGCACTCATGCCTCAGAGAAATACTGCTTCCATTGCTGCTAACGTCTGCCAGAATCCCTTTGTGAGAAGGCTAAGCCCAAAGCGTGTCACCCTAGTTTCACATCTTGTTATCCCGCCCACGGGAGGGCTCTCTGGCCCCAAAGGGTGAGTGTCTGCCTGATCCTTGGACATCATGAAGTCTCTCCTGTGCACTGACTTTGGTCTCTGGGCTTCCCTTCATGGCCAGTTCTTACTAATGTCACTGCCGTATCAAACAATCAGAACATGTGGGGTGTCATCATAAAAATTACTTCATTTCAGACCTCTACATTCCCTTTAAAATGTATTCGACAGAGAAAGTTTTCTCCATGTCCCTGAATGCAAAACTTTCTGATCATTTCCAGCCCATAGAAAGTCCTAGAGTTACCTCAGAGAGCGAACAGAATCTCACCTCATTAATTAGACTTGTCTGGTCACAGAAAAGAACCAAACTCTGATTTTTTTTTTCTCAAGAAGATGGAAGTTTTTCTATTTTGTTAAGTTTTTATTTAAATTCCAGTTAGCTAACACACAGTGTGATGTTAGTTTCAGGTGTACAATACCGTGATTCAGCACTTCCATACATCACCCATGTGCTCATCACAAGTGCCCTCCTTACCATTCCACACCTACTTCAACCATCTCCCACGTGTTCTCTACAGTTAAGAGTTTGTTTCTTGCTTTGTCTCTCTCTCTCTCTCTTTTTCCTCCCTTTGGTTATTTGTTTTGTTGCTTAAATTCCACAGATGAGGAAAATTGCATGGTATTTGTCTTTCTCTGACTGACTCACTTTGCTTAGTATAATATGTTCTATCTCCAACCACATTGTTGCCAGTGGCAAGATTTTATTTTCTTATGGCTGAGTAATACTCCAATACCACATCTTCTTTATCCATTCATTAGTCACTGGGGACTTGATCTGTTTCTATAATTAGGCCATTGTAAATAACGTTGCAACAAACATCAGGGTGCACATATCCCTCTGAATTCGTGTTTTTGTATTCTTCGGGTAAATACCTCACAGTGCAATTGCCAGATCCTAGGGTAGATGACCTATTTTTAACTTTGTGAGGAACCTCTACACTGTTTTCCACAGTGGCTACAGCCATTTACATTCCCACCAACAGTGCAAGAGGGCTCCCCTTTCTCTGCATCCTCGCCAACACAACACTCATTCTGTTACCATGTGGAGATGTGGAGATATCTCTTACCTCTTCTAGCAGCTTCTTTCTTTCTCACACACACCTCCTTCACTGCCTCCCTCCCTGCCCCTCCTTCCAGTGAACTAAGGGCTATTACAAGGTCTCCCATGCTGGACCACAGCCTCAGGTGGGAATGGTGGTGTGCTGTCTTAGGATGGCCTCACACTGACCTGGAGCTCATTAAATCTCCCCTTTCTCTCGTGGGCCTTCACTAGCCCCTGGTTTCCCGGCATCTGCTCCTCCTGACCCTTTCTGTCAGAGTCTCATCCCCCACGAAGGAATGTCCCTGGAGCAGGACTTAGGATGGCTCTGGTGCTCTCTCGCCTTTCAGGTCTAAGGGACGCACTCACACAGTCTGTGCTCTGTTAGTATATGTGCCTCGCAATGAGGCAACTCCTGTCCTGGTCACCCAGTTCGTGCCAGCTGGGCTTTCTGGGCGAAGTTGGACATTGGTGTCCAGACTCCCTAATACAAAATTAGCATCTCTGTCTGTTGCTTCTTAAAGCTCCTTGCCTGGGGTTTTGGGAGAGAATATAGCATCCCTTCCTCCCTACCCCATTGTCTGGTGGGGAGGGTGTGGGCAAGCACTGACAGAAGCACCTCCTATGAAAAAATTTCTTCACACTCCCTCCTGTCACCTTCGCCATCTTGACCCATTTGTACCCTCCCAGAGAGCTTGGAAAAGACCTCTAAATGGTTTCCTATCAACTATTTTGATTTGAAATTTCTACCTGGCTGGCTTAGCACCTTATTTCGGAATGTTTTGGCTCCATCGGTTCTAACTTGGCTCCTCACAAGGTTTCATTTGAACCCTTTCTCTATTTATGGGTACAGTTGGGGAAGAAGGCCACTGATTCCTGTAAGGAGCCATGTGCCAAACCCAGGCTATGATATGTCTGAATCTTATCGGCTGATAACAAACACAAGTGTCTAGGGTTTCACAGTGGATGCGGGCAGGAAGGAAGCTAGGCCACACAATTCCAGGGGCAGTGTTCACCTGTGACCAGCAGCCCCAACACTGTGCACCTCTGAAGTGCTGATTTATACCTTCAGGGACCTCTTCTGCTTTGAAGGCTTGGCTCATCCTCAACCAGAGAAGCCTGTCACTGATGCCATTTGTTCCATATAGTTTCCATTCATAGCTTATTAATTTTGATTGGTACAAAAGATAGCCTTTCTCAAAAATTGCTATCAGTAAATGGCAAAATGAGAACAAAGTCAACAAACCCAGTGAAATCTTCATCCTTATCTAAGGCCATCAGCAGGCTGCTTGTTTTCACGAACTTTCAGAGTCATTTCTCAGGTCATTGTGGGGTCAAACATTAAACCTTTACAAGGTTATCTTCATGGGCGTCTGAGGAAGAAGAGACCATGAGAAGGAATTTAGTATAGAGGCCTTTCTTTTACATCAGTATCTCTTACCAGAGGGACACCACTTTGGAAGGACCTAGATTTTAAATATATATATATATTTAAATATATATGTATTTATATATGTGTATATATATATATATATATACACACACATATATAGTGGATACATATGTATATATGTGTGTATATGTTTATTTATAATATATATGGTTATTTATGTTTAAATAAATTTATTATATATTTATAATATATGTTTATTTATAATATATAGTAATTTTATTTATTTATAATATTTATTTATTACATATAGTAATTTTTACTTATAATATTTATTTCTATTTTTATAATATATATTTATTTATATATAGTAATTTATGTTATATATGTTATATATAATTATTTATGGTGTATATAAAAATATATATATAAAACACTGTCCTCTTTTTTATATGCAACTATGTTTCTAATTTCAAGAAAGCTCTGAGAGACTGGGTTACTCTTTGGGGAAGGGATCGCACCTTTTTCTAGTATCCTGAGCAGCTCCTATGGGACCCGGTCAACTGTGTCAGCTCAGTAACGGTTTACGGCTGAAGGAAAGAAATAAAACATCTTTGCAAGCTTGAGATTTACCCTACATGCCAGTTGATGTTTTGTTATTATCTTCAGTCTCACTAATCATTCATTTAGCCTTAATCATGCACTTAAACTTAAATTACAATAAATTGAATGCTTATACTGTGCTAGATGTTAACACAAAGGCATGGAAGCCACATTTCTTGCCTTGGCTCACGGTCTGATGGTCATGGCTGGTACACGAAACCAAAGTCACATTAGAGGCATCCCCAGGAGGGTTGTGGGTGCAAGACAGGGGCGTGTCATGCAGGTTCGTACTGTGGAAGCAGTCTCTGAGGCTGTGGGTGCTCTGAGGGAGGAGGCCCACTGGGCCAACACACAGCGGGGACCACAGTTCTCAGGGGCTCCTCTCTCGTGGTCTCAAACCTTACAAGTTTATATTCAGAGAAAGTGACAATTTATGGAAAAGTGTTTTGTGAGGAAAGCATATGACATAAAATTACTTCCCCAAATTTCTTGATAATAAGAATCACCTGGACACGTGTTAGCTGCATGGATGACCAACTAGTTCCCTAGAAATTCTGATTCATCAGATATTGGCTGGGGCCCAGATATTTGCCTTTTGTAAGTTTTTTAAGTACATTCCACGAGACTCCCACCATCAGGGAAAGGATAAGTCCACCATCAACCATGTTTATGTTGGATGAAGTATGGTGCTTCTCCAAGTCTGTGTTTTCCCACCTCAGGGACGCTATTTAGGCCTCCTTTTACTTGATTCTCTATGACATTTGAGGTTGACAATAATTTCCTTGTCCTCGAAGAGCTTCTGTGGTCTTCCAAAACAACACACTTCCCTGGCCCCTCCCCTCTGCCTCATTCATGGGCTCTTTCTCTTCCTACCAACTCCTCTCTTCTCTAGGTTCTAACAGCAGTCCCTTTTCTGATTCTAGACACTCTGTGGGTGGTCTCATGAGTGCCTGTGATTCATTCACTATCTACACGCAAGAATTGTAAATCTATGTCTTCATCCCATCGGTCTTTGAACTCCAGGCTCCTATCTCCAAGTGACAGCTGGGCATGACCTCATCCTTGAATTCCCCAAAGCACCTTCAATATCTCTAAAACTGAACTTCCTACCTCCACATCATTTCTTTTTTAGATCACTCTACCAGATGCCCAACACTGCCCCGATCTCTTCTCCTACCTATATGGATTCCATCAGCCAGCCAGAAGAGTCTTTCCACTGCATAGATATGATCACGTTAATCCTTGATTCAAAAACTCTCAACAGCTCTCCCGTCCTCACAGGCATGAGCTACAGGACCCTCACAATCCAGAGCTGGACCCCTTCACCACTTTCTTTCCTAGACACCCTAGCCTAGGTGGATTCCAAAGCAGCCCTCTGAAGGGACCCTGATCACACTGCTCTCATGGTGAGCCACTTGTTACTCCAAGGATGTCCATCCCATGTTCTCCCTTGTTAAAAGGTCTCACACCTGCAATTCCTTTGTCTGGATATCTACTATTTGTCCCTCCAGCCTTAGTTTAGATCAAAAGCCCATTGGGTACTCTTCCCTAACCCTGGACCAGCTGATCAGCCCCATGCTCCCATACAGCTGGTCTCAGCCCAGGCAGACACTGTCACTCCACCCTATTGTCACAAGCTGTCTACACAGTTCTCCCTGGCACTACCCATGTGTTTCTTGAGGCCAGAGATCCACACAGGATATGCTACCTTGGACCTAGTTAGGACTTCTTAAAATATATCTTTCTCTAACACTCAAAAGATAAAGAGTTCTATGTGACTTCATTGTGCTATTTTTATGCCCAGTGCCTTCAATACATACTAAAAGGAATAACAAGACACTTAATTTCATAGTAGCTTTAATAGGCTTACAGAATTCATTGAAGAGAAAAGAAATGTGTTTTAATATCCCAGTTAACATGACTCTGGCCAATGACTAAGGAAGAGTCATTTAGCCAATCAAAATACTGTGTTCAAATGTAACATTTATTGTGTTTGTGAGTGTGGTAGAGTTCACAGGGTGGTATTTCTTTCCTCCTTAATTAATTCTGAAATACAGTTCTTATTACCCTAATACCTCAGGGCTTCATTCCCAGAGAGGTTCCTTGCCTGGACAGTGATGAGTAGTTAAGTAGAAAAGTAGTGGATTCTAAATTACAGAATTAAATACTATCCTGGAGACCCCTCCTTTCTTGTTGTGTAGTTTTGCCAGCCAATCAGGTGACCATACTTTTTATAGCCCACAGTGCATAGCCCTGGCAACATGTGGAATTTTATCAACTGACTGTGTGCTATTAATGTTAATTAATTCATGCTGATAATATGAAATGCTCTTAAGACATTATCTTAACAATATCCGGATCTTGTATTAATCATTATTTGAATCCCGTGAGTGTTTTCCGTGGATGAGTAAGATGGCTCTGCTTCTATATTGTTCCATGAACTGTTGGCTGTGAAGACCACTGGAAATGATTGGACATTCCCCCGATCGATAAACACACACAGAGTCTAAAACTAAGTTGTAGTCACAGACTTCCCTCTTTATACCTGCTCCCCACCTCCACCAAGATCCTGTGTCAGTAGGGTTACTGTCATTGTCTCAGGGCTCTGGCTCCCAAGCCAGAAACCTGGGAGGCGTTCTTTGCACCCCCTCCTGTACCCCAGCCACCACCACCATCCAACCAACCAGTCAACGGCTCCATCTAGTTTTACCTCTCATCTCAAATCCGTGACTCCTTCCCATTTCTGCTCCATGGCCCCAGCTGGGCCCTGGTTAGGTTCTCCTGGCAGCAGCCATGACCGGGTCTCCAACCTCTCACTGAACCCCCATGGATGCATCTCCATTCTTTAGTTCTACTTATTTCAACAAAATGAAAATCCTTCCTTAAGATTTTTGCTAGGAAGTTTTAACTCTCTATTTTCCACGCAGAGGGTTCCAAGGCCACAGCATGGTTTCAAAAAGGTCCATAAAGTGTGGCTCCCAGCTGAATCTCCAGCCTCGTTTACTGCTGCCATTCATCCACGTAACTCCAGACTTTCCCATTGTTTGTGGTCACCTGTCCCTTCTGTGCTCCGTCATGCTTTCCTGCCTGTACCTATACGTCCTTTACCTGGAATACACTTTTCACCTTCTTGGCCTGGCTAGCTTTCTGCATCTTTCAAGGCCCAGCTCAGGTAGTATCCCTTCCAGAAAATGTTCTGGAAGCTCCATATGGGGCCAAGGAGCCCTTCTGGGTCTTCTCACAGGAGCCTGTTCCATCTATCACTGACCCACTGCTACGTTATATTTACATAACCTGGTTATGTATCTTTCCACCGTATAAGACCACACACACACACACACACACACACACACACACACACACACGTAGGGCAATGCCTCGTACATGCCAGGAACTCAATCAGACTTTGCCAAACTGAATAAATCGAGTTGCCACATTTCATGGCTGTTGTATCGTGTTATGTAATTTTTATCCCCATTTCTGATTTTTATGTTTTCAGGTGTCTCTGTTCAACTATGTATTCTTGATTTCTTGGGCTTTTGCTCTGCCATACGCCAAGCTGCGCCGTATCGCTTCGAGTGTCTGCACTGTCTGGACGTGTGTGATCATCGTTTGCAAAATGTTGTACCAGCTGCAAACCATTAAGCCCGAGAACTTTTCTGTCAACTGTTCCTTGGTGAGCCTTGAAGATAGGGGAATTTTCTTGATTGGTCTTTAGGGAAGTGACACAGATATTAGGGAACCCTCACCCACAAGCACATTCTGACCAGCCCCTCAGTCACCTCTGCCATGTTGAATATGTCCTGGCCCTAGTCCTCTTCCCCTCTGAAGTGGAGCTTTCCCTCCCAGTCCCACCGTGTCCATTTGTGCAAAGGTTGAGGAGAAAAATCTGAACTCTTCCAATCTGGGCAAGAGTTTTTTTGTTTTTTGTTTTTTTTATTTTTATTTTTTTTTTTTTTTTGGGGGGGGATTATGGACGTTGGGGAGGGTATGTGCTATGGTGAGTGCTGTGAAGCATGTAAACCTGGCGATTCACAGACCTGTACCCCTGGGGATAAAAATATATTATATGTTTATAAAAAATTTAAAAAAAAAGAGGTTTTTTTTTAACTCTTCATTCTCTTCTTTTCAGCCAAATGAAAACCAGACAAATATACCCATCCACCAGCTGAACAAGTCTCAGCTCTACAGCGCTCCTATTGACCCAACAGAATGGGTGGGCCTGAGGAAGTCTTCCCCTCTGCTTGTCTACCTGAGGGTAAGGCCTCCTTTGTACTTCACCTGAGCCTCTGCACAGTTAACACCTGACCTCCTTTGCCTTGAGAACTCTGATATCACAACTGATCATAACCTTGCATTTTTATGTGACATTTGGAGTCAGAAACAAATGACTAGACATTACCGTCAGTGTCCCATTGTGCTGAAAAGAAATTGATCGAGGAGTTTGGGATTAATTGAATAAAGTCTGACAAATATATTCACTAGAATATTATATAACCAAAGATTGAGGTGGATTGATAATGTGAGATGTTGAAAGACATCCAAAATATGTTAACTTTTTTTTAAAAGAAAGGACAAATTTCAGTACACCCTGCATGGCGTGCTTTCTTCTAGATTCAGAGAAAAATATTGAGTAAAATATACCAAACTGTCTACAGTGATTATTCCTGAGAAACAGGTAGAGCATTACAAAAAATGTTTGCTGTCTAAATTGTTTCTCTATAATGTTGAATAAAGGACCTATATTATGTTGAAAAGTAATACATTTTTTTCTTCAAGTTTTCAATTGAATTCCAGCTAGTTATCATTAGAGGTAATACAGATTTTAACAACCTGTCTTTGAAAAGAAACTTTGCAAATAGTCAAAACAAACGTAACGAAAGCGATATACTTCGGACCATTCCTGTTTTACTTTGATGGGTAATCTAAGCAGTCTTCCAACCACACCAACAGAAGCCCTTAGAAATAAAGCATTTATACTCAACACCTGGAATTTTTCAAAGTACTAGGCATCCCATTTTTTTGTGGGTAGCTTTCTTATTTTTTTTTCCTCATACATCAGACATCAATTGCAGCCATATAAATGCCACCCACCATCAAGAACGGTTATAAGGATAAAACCAACTGATATTTGAAAAGAGCAATCAGAATGGTGTAAGGCCCATGGGGTGCCATCAACATGAACTATTTTCATTATTATGATGATTACGTTATGGTCAGCAGCATGCTTGTCAGTCCCTGGCTCTCTCTAGCCAGATTTCTGAGGTGTTGAAAGATTTCCCCTACAGCTTCGTCGGTTTCCCAGATGGCCCTGTACCCTTTTGCACTTTGAGTTGCAAGAAGGTTGGATCACCCTCCCAAGGCAGCTGGTCCCTGCATCTTCCTGTGGCTAGTGTACTTTCCCGGAAACAGGAATGAGCATCACCGGCCTTCTCTCTAGAGATTCTAGATCCCAGCATCCCAGAAATTATCCTGATTGGCACAATGCAAGTTTCTCCACCTTGTTACTATGCCATAGGGAAAATGAACATTGAATGCAATACTTCTGTAGAGGTGGGGTTTTATAAGCATTGTTTTTTTAGACACCAAAAATGGAGAAAAAAAGGATTGATTATGGGGGTTGCTTAAAGTGACCGAGCTAAAGTGTTTGGCTTCACGACTGTGTTTTCTTGCTTTGTAGAATCATCTCCTGATGCTGGCCATTCTGGCCTTTGAGGTTACAATTTACCGCCATCAGGAATACTATCGAGGTCGAAACAACCTCACAGCCCCTGTGTCTAAAACCATCTTTCACGACATTACAAGACTCCATCTAGATGATGGACTTATTAATTGTGCCAAATATTTCATAAATTACTTTTTCTACAAGTTTGGTTTGGAGGTGAGTTTCCTTGCTGATGTGGGTTGTTTTTTGTTTTTGTTTTTGTTTTCTTTTTTCTATGAAAATCCCCGTTGCTGTTTTTAGGCCAGTAGGCCACTAGAGCTTACTGGTCCATCTCCGTGATGTGATGACTGTTCCCCCCCACAATTCCAGCAAGAGGACATTCTACTGAAGGGTTCACCTGGCCTTGTTGGAAGTTTTCTAAGACCAAGGCCAGTGCTCCCTACTCTGCCCCAGTGAACTTAGCCTCTCTAGGTCTCTGTAGCCTTGTACATGCGTGGATATCATTTGGTCATTCTCACTGTCTTCTTTAACGTATTACAAATCTTTTCTGTGTTTTGTGCATTCTGAGAGTTTAACTTGTGCCAAAATGAACTGGTTTGACCTGAAATGGTTGTGGCACTACCTGCCTCTTTATAGAAAGAATTTGGAATAGTGAGGCTTCATGAAGAGATCGTAGCTATATTCTCTCCACAATTTGAAGAGGTTCTTATTCACAGTAATGACCTTGGAAGTAACTTATACAAGATTTCAGTCTTCACGCTGTAAGACACCCCACAGAGGCAAGACCTGGTGAACATGCGCAGACAGAGCCCCCCGCCCCCACTCTTCAGCAGTGCAGGTCTCTGAGCCGCCTACACAGGGCTAACAGGTGACACCACTCCCCTTCCCTGTAAACCCGATTTTTTCTTTGCCTCTTTTCATCCTTACACAGACCTGTTTCCTAATGTCAGTTAATGTAATCGGCCAGCGAATGGATTTCTATGCCATGATTCACGCCTGCTGGCTGATCGCTGTCTTGTACCGGCGCAGAAGAAAGGCCATTGCGGAGATCTGGCCCAAGTACTGTTGCTTCCTGGCCTGCATCATCACCTTCCAGTACTTCATCTGCATTGGCATCCCTGCGGCCCCTTGCAGAGGTGCGTGGGCCCCTCCCGGGAGCTGGCCACTCTCGTGATCAGCCCTTGTGCCATGGACAGTTGGGACAAGGGCAGGGAAGAAGTGTATTGATTTCACTCTTTGTCACTTCCGTCCCTGCAGATTACCCGTGGAGGTTCAAGGGGGCTAGCTTCAACGACAACATCATAAAGTGGCTGTACTTCCCAGACTTCATCGTGCGGCCCAACCCCGTGTTTCTTGTCTGTAAGTGTTGGAGTCACAGGGCCGCAGAGCGCTGGGGTTTGGTTTCCTCTTTGCTGCTCCTTCTTTGTGGGCTCTGTTTTAGTGCCCTTGCTTCCTCCAGTGTACTTGGTGATCATGAAAATCTTGTCTTGATGCATTAATATCACAAGTCCTTAATGGCTTCTACCGGCCCTATTCCATTTGCAAAATTAATAAGTAAACATTGGAAATACCATCTCTACTTCCATAAAGTTACCTCTCAACACACACATACACACACTCACACTCTCCAACTGCCCCCCCAACACACACACATACACACACACACCTCTACTTATCCACCTTCTAGAAGGTAAACTGTGGAGGGAGGCCCCGTTTTTTGCAAAGTATATCTTTCACGCTGCCACTGCGGACAAACCAAAACTAATGCTAAGACTGTGGAAGCTAGGAATGTGCTACCCACATTGCAGACGCTCGAGCATGAGCCTGTAGCCCCTGGCCCTTCCAAGGGCAGCTGATGATGATCCCAAGGTCAGAGCAGCTGCACCTAAGACAAGAAGGTCACCTCCAAAGGGACCATGCTGCCTCCATACACTCAGGTTTAATGTATTGGAGGCTGCCTGACCATAACTGGCCATGATCTTCACCTCCACTCCTTGTCTTCACTGCCCCGCCCACTCTGGGAAGTGTCCCGTTACAAATACAATGGGGGATGGAGAGGATGAAGAAAGCCACAAGTTCCTGGCTCTACCACAAGGAATAAGATAAAGATGGGGGAGTACATTCAGCTGGCTTCCTCAAAATTTTGGTGGGAGATAAATGCAAATAAACATTATCCCATAAGAAAGTCACGAGGCTAGGAATTATCACCTAATACTTGTGCTCCCCCCGTCTGTGCCCCCCCACACCTTACATCTTCCATGGCGGGCAAGGTGGGATTTGGCCCCTAGATTGGAATCCAAGGAGAACTGTATGTTGGGAACTTTGGGAATGTGATGCACTAAGGAGCTGGGGAGGGAGCGGCTCCTCCCTTGTGGGGGCTGTTTGCTGCATCATGGAAACCCAGAAGAGAAGAAGGTGACTCCATGATCTCTCTGTCCTGCCAGATGACTTCATGCTGCTCCTGTGCGCCTCCTTGCAAAGGCAGATTTTCGAGGATGAGAACAAGGCTGCAGTGCGCATCATGGCAGGGGACAACGTGGAGATCTGCATGAACCTGGACGCGGCCTCCTTCAGCCAGCATAACCCGGTGCCGGATTTCATCCACTGCAGGTGAGCGTGGCTGCATGGGGCCAAAGCCGCTTTGTGTGCACAGGTCACCTGGGGGACATAGCTCCACTTCCGGTTCTCTCTCCACCATTTTTTGGAAACTGGCAGACAGAGGGTTTGGTGGTCAAGCGACTGAGACTCTGAATTACAGATCTGGTTCTGCCTTTCTCATCATGGACCACACATTTGCCCTCAGTTTCCCTCCAATTCTTCCCTCACAAATGTGATTCTGCCTCTTGGTGCCCCAGCAGAGACCCCTCCATCTTTATCTTCTGTTCCTCCACCTCCTCATCTCTGTCCATCCTGATCCCCATTCCTCGCCCTTTTTCCCTTCCCCTGTCTTCCTCCTGGTCCTCCATATTCAGTGGGCACTGTGGCGGCCTGGGAACCACAGCCTGTCCCCTGCTGTCATTCCCTTTGTGTGCTGTCCCCTCAGGCATGCTGGTTCCCCTTGCAGCAACTTCTCCGTCCTCTTCTTTCCTCTGCAGTCTGGTGGCAGCTGACCTTGGCAGCCCGATTGTCCCCTCAGCAGAGTTTGTGTTGAAACCTGACTGAATTTCTCACTCTATGTTCCTTCTGTGTTCTCTGGGTTCCCAAGTCTTCGTGCTTTTTCTCACCTGCCCCTCAGTCATGGCCGACACCCCCGCCTCCACCTTTAGCAATCACAATCCAGCTCTGTCCCCTGCGGTCGGGGTCAGAAGGACTGTTGGGATTGTTTGTGTCTCCTCACCAGCCCTGCACCTCCAGACTCCCTGATCCTCACAAGTTAGCATCTACCCTCCAGGTCCACAGTCCCACCTGGGAGAGGCTGCACGTCAGTGTGCAGCATGGAGATCAGTCCTGGGCCAGCCAATGTGACTCTCCTCACCTGAGATTTGCTCCCCGGCTTCTGAGTCCCAGAATATCGTGTTTGCAGGGGATTGTTATTTGAAGAACTTGATCCCCCCACTGCCCCCCACCCTGACATGAAATATAGGCAACTTAGGGCAAAGTTCATTTCTACCTTACTTTTGTGCGCCTGCCTGTCTCCCATCTTGCCAAAGGTTGTTGGCCTACAACACATAGGGTCCTGTTAGTAGTGACAGTTATTGGACAGTTGCTGTGTGCCACCCTCCATTCCAAGTGCTTTACATAGATGAAGCCCTCTTACCCAAATGATCACCTATGAGCTATTATTATCATGATTTTGCAGGTGAGGAAGCTGAGCAAGGATTTGAACCCAATCGACCTAGCTCCAAAACCTGGGTGCTCAGGCCCTTCTGTGCCTCTCAGTGACCTAAGAGCTCAGCATGTATGGAACAAACCAATAAGTGAATTTGCTTTAAAACAATAAGTGAGGTGGGGTGCCTGGGTGTCTCAGTCAGTTAAGTACCTACCTTCCACTCAGGTCATGATCCCAGAGTCTAGGGATCAAGCCCTGTGTCTGTCTCCCCGCTCAGTGGGGTATCTGCTTCTCTCTCTCCATCACTTACTTTCTCTCTCAGATAAATAATAAAATCTTTTAAAAATAAAAAAAAAATGATAAAATGGTAAGTTAGGGGTGCCTGTGTGGCTCAGTTGTGTAAGCATCTGCCCTTGGCTCAGGCCCTGATCTCAGGGTCCTAGGATCGAGCCCCACATCAGGCTCCATGCCCAGTGGGGAGTCTGCTTCTCCCTCTGCTTCTGCCCTTCCCCTGCTTGTGCTCTCTCTCTCTCTCTCTCTGTCAAATAAGTAAAATCTTAAAAAAAATGAAAATTAAAAATAAAACAAGAAATAAAATGATAAGCTATGTAGAACTAAACATTCTTTTAGGGTTAAGGCACCACACTAAACAATAATATAACGTTAAGACTTTCACTTTTTATCTCTTCTCTATAATATTAAGAGAAAATATCAGTGCAGCTGATCTTTTTCCCTATCATAAAGGGAGGAAGATTAGGGTTTTTTTTCCTTTAAGATTTTATTTATTTCTTTGAGAGAGAGAACATGGTCAGGAGAGCAGATGGAGAAGCAGACTCCTCATTGAGCAGGGAGCGTCATGTAGAACTTGATTTCAGGACTGCGGGATCACACCCTGAGCCAAAGGCAGACACTTAACCAACTGAGCTGCCCAGATGCCCAAAAAAGTATTTATCTGAAGGCAAAACAGTAAAATCCCCAAGAAATTGTTCACAACATATGTTTACACTTTACCGTGAATCAGACATAGTTTGAACAATTCACAGCAACAGGAAATCTAGAACAAAATGAATTATTTTATCACATCAGTTTGCAAAGTTGGAGAAAGACAAGTATGCAACTGTACAGTGTATTTATGAAAAGCCTAAAACTCGAAAACTGTGTACCCCTGATTTTTAGAGCGGTGTCTTTGAAAACTTGTATTATTTCAAGGTTTTAGTTCCGTGTCTCAATGAGGATTGCCACAAAAGTGCATCTCAGGCAGTAACCTGCCACACAGCACGACTGTGAGTGGGAAGCAAGTGACCACTTTGCCGTGGGAGGCGCGGCATCCCCTGCGCCCTCTCTGTGGGTTCGCGCTCTTCTACAGCTCTCGAAGGCAGCCTCTTCACCTCACTCCGTGTCCCCAGGACACATTCAATGTGCGCAGGGGTTCCTCTCCAGGGCCCCTTGATTGCTGTTTTTCATGTGACTTTCAAGCTTGATCTTGTGATTTGTGAGCCTGAAACGGCTCAAGTGATTCCTGAGGCTGGGGCGCCGGGAGTAGGAATTGCCAGCTGTGGGCAAGGAAGGGAAATCCACAGAAAGCACGTGTTGTACTAACACACATGTTTCTACACACACACTCACAAAATGCCAGCAGGCCGAGTCTGCTGCCTCCAAAGTGTGCACGCATGCACACACACACACACACACACACACACACACATCAGAAAGCTGTTGATGGGGGGGGGTGCCTGGGTGGGTTAGTCATCAAGCGTCTGCCTTTGGCTCAGGTCATGATCCCAGGGTCCTGGGATCGAGCCCTGAATCGGGCTCCCTGCTCAGCGGGAAGCCTGCTTCTCCCTCTCCCACTCCCCCTGCTTGTGTTCCCTCTCTCGCTGTGTCTCTCTGTGTCAAATAAATAAATAAAATCTTAAAAAAAAAAAAAAGAGGAAGAAGAAGAAGGCCCTATGGGCATTCCGATATTACATCTCAAATGAATCACTGATTTCACCAGCGATGTTCCTGGGATGCTGAGAAATCCTGACATTGTATTCATTCTCCTTCGACTATGACATCAAAGAAAGGTGAAATAAATTTGAGAGGGAAATTTCATGAAAGCATTTTAAGGGATTGAATATTTTACTCCCTAAAGAGTAAAGTTCAAAAAAGCTTGCTTACCCGACAATGTACCTTTTAGGAACAGCTTTCTGTAATGAGGCTGAGCAGTGTAATTTATTTTGTATCAAGACGTTGCTTATTAACTCTTATAAAATAACAAGTCATTATCAAATAACTGACCCACAGTTGGTTCTGCTCTGCTTCTCTCCTTACCTGTGAGGAGAAACAACCAAAGAAAATCTCCAAGATAAAGATCTAATTAAGCCAACACAGATGGGTCTTGGCTTGTAGGTACCACTACACTTGGCTGTCAGTGACCCATGCTCAGAAGCTCCCAGAGCTGCTACTTGTTGCATAGTGACTGACCTCAGTTCTCCCTCACCTCTCATCACGAAGGTCATAGGGAGACATCACTCCCCCCAAAAAAGGCATCTTGACTTCACCCCAGGGCCATCCAAAGACAAGAGTGTTAGATTAAAGCCTCCAAGTCCCACTGTGGCTGTGTGTGCTTTGTGAGAATGGGTTCTCATCGTCAATGAGGGATTTCCATCTCCAGTAAGGCCTTCGATGTAACACAGATTGTTTTATCTGTCAGTTTCTAGTTCATTCTGTTTTCTCTCTTGGGAAGACATCTGTATCTTAGACTTCCCCTGCCATACCATTATTCGTGCTTCCTATGAGAAGACAGAGAGGAATTTTGAGTACTCTAGTAGTAGGAAGAAGATGCTGCTGTGTGTGGGAAATCTGGCCCAAATAAGACACTAATAAGTGTTTTCACCACTTACTTATTCATCTCTTACCAACTGGGTGCGGATTTCCTATAGAGGAGGCAGTGTTAAGTGAAAGATGAGTACAAAGCTCACAATATGACTGGAAAGCGCTTCCATATTGAGTCAAATGGACAGTACAAACTCTTTCCCTCCTTACCGTGGAATCTCCTGCCTTAATTTTTTGTCTGTCTGGTTATGAGTGTTGTCCTCTGATGGTTTGGTTTTGTTTCCAGATCGTACTTAGACATGTCCAAGGTGATCATCTTCAGCTACCTCTTCTGGTTTGTCCTCACCATCATCTTCATCACGGGGACAACCAGGATCAGCATCTTCTGCATGGGTTACTTGGTGGCCTGTTTCTATTTCCTGCTCTTTGGGGGCGATCTGCTGCTGAAACCCATCAAGAGTATCCTGCGCTATTGGGACTGGCTGATTGCCTACAACGTGTTCGTGATTACGATGAAAAACATACTGTCAGTAAGTGCCTCCCAATGCGTAACACATTTGCGGTTTTAGCACAAGAGTAAACAGCCCACTCAGTGGTTATTAAAAGCCCACTTGCCGGTCACACTCCTCTCTTAAAAGCCCCAAGTAAGATGATGCAAAGTCAGGATTCAGAGAACCATTATTACTCTCGTGCTGCCACATTAAGCAGAGTCCCGTTTGCTCACTTCTGCCATCTCAAAGTCACATGACAGGAGGACAGGGAGTTGTAGGAATACATTCTAAAATGTATTTGCAAGTCAATATCCCATCTCTTCTGAGGGATCATCTGTCACCATTCACAATTTGTGCTACCAACTGGCCCAATTATGAGCTGAATAAGGCATTGAATCTCTTTCAAACTGATATCATGTTGGCTTACCTGGAAAGAATTACGAAAGTATAAGCCAGTAGAGGGTGAGGGTAAAACACGTGTCCTTCCTCTACAAAATTTAGTTGCTCTGCTATTAAATAGCCACGTCCTGGGGTACCATGTTCTCCCCTGACCTAGCAGGTAACTCACACGGCCCACTAGTCATCCCAGGATTGCGTAAAATCTTTTGGACCCTAGAGACACCTTCTAAGTTATTTACTGTTTCAGGAAATTAAACAACAACCTTTCATGAGCTGAAGGAGTTCATACATCTCTCGCTGGCTCTAAGTCAAAGTTAATCCTTGGACCTGCTGCTCCTGGGTACTGAGAGTGCATTACTGAGCTAATAGCTTCCTGCTTCTCACCTTCCTGGTTACTGAAAGATGAGCTCACCTAGCAAGTCTACCATGGAGGCACTTATTTTTTTTTTTTTTTGGCACGGGTATTTCTGTGTTTAGAGGTCCTCAAGAGCCAAGTCTTTGTCACCATGAATATGTATTTGAGTCATTTATTTTGTCTAAGACATTAAAATTCCGTCTAAGATCAATTGATAGTAAAAGTGATTCTTATGCAGCAATTTTACCCTCCCCCCAATATTTATTTATATTGAGGGTAGTATTGAAGGTTCTTGGACAGAGAGAACAACAGAACACCATTTCATTCAATGGCCAGTCTGATGGTTAGGGATCTGTTGCCAGAGGCTGATTCCTATAACCAATCCTGGAAACGTATGGCTACAAAGTCCATTCGTTCATTCATTCTTTGATCCTGTAAGTCTATATTGTAGACTTGCTAGGCACTATTTTTGTCTCCAAGAACTAGATATAGTATTGCCTGCAGGTTTTACCCTAAGGAACTCATGTTCTAAGGGGGAAGACATGCCTGCTTATTAGTAATTATAATGTGGTCCATAAAAGCTAATTATCACAACATTTTAGGAAACCAAAACAAAAAAAGGAGTGCCTCATACCTTACCTGAATAAACTGGGAATAAACTTCCTGGAGGTGATGCCATTTGAACTGATCGGAGACTTGAAAACCAGACTCAAGGGTGTTCAGAGAGACAAAGAGAGGAGGACATGCCTAACATAGAGAACCCAAACAAAAGCATGGCCATGTAGGGCAGAGATGGTCGTGTGAAGAGCATGTTCCAATGGGTGCAGGAACTCAGGCTGAATAACTTTTAACTTGGGAACAACTTCCAAGTATATCCTCCTACCTCACATGTTCCCAGGAAATACACATAGTTCAGCCATCACCTTTATGTATTAGCTTGCAATGGTTGTCTGTTTAAACTTCTTCCCCCTCAGCATGTGAACTTAACATAAATCATTGTTATGGGAGAGACAACGACATGCCAATCAATGAAGAATATTCCTTTGCCCAGAGAATTGGCCAAAAGAGCCTCAATACGCAAGCTCTTTTCCTATTCTAAGAACTACGCCGTACAGCTAGTGTTTGTGATGATCTCCTGGCAAACAGCATAAGTTTAATTTGTCCAATTGTTTAAGAAAATAACTGTATGGAAATCAAAGTTCTGGGGGTGGGGTCATTGTTCACCCATTTGATATCAGAGTTTGGCTTGTTCCTACAGGAGTCCATGATTTTCTCTATGAAAAGATGGGTGCTTCTAAGTGCTGAAATCATCACACTAAAGATCTCCCTTTACTCATGGGGTTTATTTTCCCCCCAGGAAATCATGGTGCTCCCAAAGCATCAAATGCACTATCCCATGGTGACTGAGATTTGAGGTTCTACAGGTGCCTCCTAGACCTGTTGGCACGGAGACTTTGTGAATTCTTACACAGACTAGGATCACAAAGCATCAGCCTCCTTTTCTGGGCACAGAGTTTCACAATTTGCCACTCTCATTTGTTTTTCAGATAGGAGCATGTGGATACATTGAACAATTGGTTCAAAATAGTTGCTGGTTGATCCAAGCTTTCAGCCTGGCCTGTACCGTCAAAGGCTATAAAATGCGTAAGTATGCAAAGCAAATCTGAAAGTGGAAGGACAGAGAAGGAAGGACGGTTGTATTGTTCTAATTTTAAAATTGGGCCAAAGCACATAAAGAGAAAACAGTGACAGCGAATTCAACCTCTAGATGGAGGCAACAGGACTGTAGTTCATTACAAATCTATTGTCCATAATGAAGTGCTCCTACTCCAGACAACTTTGATCATCCTCTGAAAACTTCTCAGACTCTGGGCTGGTCTGGAGACTGTGTGTGGCCCAGTATAACTCCCCAAACTTCTTCGAGTTACATTAGGAAGAGTTACAGAAGGCCATAGGCCTGTGGTGGTTGCCACTGGAATCCTGGGTTGTCAGAGTTCCTCTGGCTTTCAGGTCCTTCTCTCCTCAGGAAGCTCGGGGAGCTTCAGACTCAGAAAAACAACTGGGAGGACCTTCAGGGTCTCTGCAGTTCCAGAAGGTCCCATTTCCCTCCCTCTGCCTCTTGCACCACAACCTGGGACAATACCGTGCTTGGTCTTCCATGGTGCCCAGAATGGGGGCAACTTGACCATGACATTCTCCCCACTGTGGCTTCCAATCCAGGCTATGCTTTGCCCACAATGAAGAGTAACTGGAAATTTGTTCTGATTTAGGAATAAGATGTCTGTTGATACCTTTTCTTCTAATAGACTATACTTCTGTTTAGCCCGAATCACCATTCCCAGAAGAGGTATTTTTGTTTTTTGTTTTTGTTTGTTTGTTTATATCAGAGCATTGCCTTTGGTGTTGGGACATACAGACATTATTTCTCCATGGCCCTTGTTCAGGAAGAAAGAGAGCTCTCTCCCATTGAGAGAAGCACTCAGGAACCATCCCTGGCAAAGAGACCCTCCTGTGCCACAAGGTCATTTGTGGTCATTCTTATAAGTCAAGGTTGATATTGGATTTGAAACCTGTATCTTTGCTTATAAATAAATGCACCCGTGCATCAGGAATTTGCTCCTATGCCTGTGGGATTCCCCAAGCCTGATCATACCACAGATATTATAAAATAACAATGAAAATGGATGTTAATTTTAATTTGTTTTTTTTTCCTACTTTTTTACCCCAGCTGATGATGATTCCTCATGCAAACTACCCAGTGGTGAAGCAGGAATTATTTGGGACAGCATATGTTTTGCCTTCCTTCTGCTGCAGAGAAGAGTTTTCATGAGTTACTATTTCCTACATGTTGTAGCTGATATAAAAGCTTCCCAGATCCTGGCCTCAAGGTAGGTTGGGCCATGGAATCGAGTGGTTTCTCTTAAAAAATCTGTCTGGAAGTAACATTGTGCAGTGCTGTTGCCTGAGCTTGCCTGGAGAACTCCTCAGAAATTAAGAAATTCCTTCTAGGAAAACCAGTCCAAGAAGGGTTTAGCACAAGGCCTTTAAAACCTAAAATAAACAAGAATGTCTTTGGCACCAAGTCACACTTACAAGGATCTGGGACGCTATGGAAAGTCAAAGACAGATGGGTCATCTAGAGCCCTCAGCGCACAGACCACTCACTAGAAGCAGGTCATTCTGGCCTCAGCCAAAGCAGTAACCACAGGCCATGTTGGTCTAGAGATTAGTCCACACTCTTCTTCTCTGACTCTGTGTTTAGAAGATACTCCAGAAAATAGAGAAAAACACAATTATGTATTATTTTTCAGACCTCAGGTTGAAGAGTGTGATACTCCAGGCTCATTCTAAACTCCCTGATCTATCTTTTCTTATCTTTCCCATCCTTTCAATCTTTGTTCCCCAATGATCTGATTTTTTTCTCTGGGCCACTGGTTCTATTCCCTTACTACCATCTTCTTCTTAATCTCTATCCACCCCTTTTTCAATTTTGCCCTGATCTTATAGGTTTCGGGGGAAAGACTGGGAAGAAACTGCCTATTGAGATCAGGTTGTAGTACCCTAGCCTGCTCTGCTTGTCTCAGAAACACTGGCCTCACTAGATCCCATCCGATCTGTGGTGTTAAATAGTCTGATAAACATCAGCTTGTATCATATGAAATATCCCCCAAAATCTATCATTTTGATTTGTAGTTTAGACTAACACACTTTTGTTTATACTGCCAGTGTTCCTAGAGACTCTTCTTTTCCTCTGCCAGGGTAAACAAAATGTTTATTGCAGAAGTCCATTAATAGAGGAGTGACTCCTGACCTTTGTTAACTTACTTGGAGCCCGGTAGAAAGAATTTTCAGTAGGAGACCTACATTTAATCTGAGGAGTTTTGGGATACCCTAGGCCCTCACTATACATATGAACAATGACTTCATTTTACGTACAATAAATAACTCAGGGATTTACCATTATAATGGTTTTTCTAACACGCAGGACATCAGTTTCATTAGAGCACAGTGTCTTGTCCTTTTTTATTTCTTTTTCTTTCTTTTTGGGGATTTGTCCATGCTATCTTGTCCTAATAGTAATTTTATTAACTCATAGAACAGCTGGTATTTGTGCTGATAAATGTGTCTTTTTGCCTTCTTCTGAGCATTTTTGGTCCTTCGACATCCGGGACATAATAGTAAGCCAGCATCTTTCCTAGGAGTTGTCACAGTTATTTAGAAAACATATTCCTCATATTATGGAAACCAATAGCTTTGGTTTAGAGCACAGCTCATGCCTGCAAAAGAAAAGCCATGTCTTGGGGGCGCCTGGGTGGCTCAGTGGTTTAAGCCTCTGCCTTCGGCTCAGGTCATGATCTCAGGGTCCTGGGATCGAGCCCCACTTCGGGCTCTCTGCTCAGCAGGGAGCCTGCTTCCCCCTTCTCGCCTGCTTCTCTGCCTGATTGTGATCTCTGTCTGTCAAATAAATAAATAAAATCCTTAAAAAAAAAAAAAGAAAAGCCATGTCTTAAAAATAAACAGAATTTCCAAAGAATAGACCTTCATTCATTCAATGATAAGCTCTCTGCCTACTGTGTAACAAGAAGGTGGCTGCTTGGTCCTGCCCTCAGAAAGCTGGTGGGAAGAGGGACATATCAACAAGCAGTCACCGTGCTGTGTAACTACTGTGATGGTAGGGGACCTTCAGGAAGCTGTGGGAATTATATCAAGGGTACATAAACACCTGCAAGGGGCAGGAACCGAGGCAGCCTTCCGTTCTAAGAGGCAGCCTTCCGTTCTAAGCTGCAGCCTGAGGGATGAACAGGAATTAGAGGTGGGAGGCAGGGGACACAGCCCAAGTGAAATTACCAGGGGAAGTTTTAATGAAGAAACCCTGAGAAGTTCAGTGTGGCTAAACACAGAAATTTAAAGGTGAAGATAGTGAGTGATGACAAATTAGCTGGAGAGATAGGGAGCAGTCTGCTTATCAGGGGCCTTATAAACCATGTTTATGACTTTAGAAGTAATCCCACAGATAAGAAGAAGCCAGGGAGTGATGCAGTTACAGCTATGTTTCAGAAGCCCACCCTGCCTGGACTGTGGAGGACACAGGACAGGTTAGGTGACTACTCTAATGATCCAGGACCAAGACAGTGGCTCAGACCAGGAGAAGGTAAACTAGGAAGACATTTAAGAGTAAAACTGGCACAACTGGAAAGTTGATTGGAAGGAAAGGAGGTGGGGGTGGAGAGGAAAGGAGGGTAGAAGGTGTTATGGAAAGGATTTTGGTTGAAGCCAATGGTGGTGCCAATCCCAAATGTAAAGAAACCAAGAAGTTAAGTTCTAGGCTGGAGGACACTGACCACAGCCAGGGAGTTGTAGGGTCCGTGGGCTCATGAAACTAAACCCGTGGTGAGTCCAGTGGACGGCCGGGATGACAGGTCTGCAGGTGGAAATAGACTTGAGTGTCATCATGACACAGGTAGATTTAGAGCAGGTGAGTGGTTGGAGAGAAAGTGTGAATGAGCAGAGGACCCCAGGGAGTATCCACTTTTAAGAGACGGGCAGAGAAGACTAGAAACTCTGAGCCAGCAAGGAAGAAGGAAAGCTGGAAGAGCATGGTGCCTTAGGAGCCTGAGGAAGGCTGCTTCAAGGCAGAAGTCCAGCAGACAGGACATACAAACACAAGACTGAAAACTGAGCATTGAAGGCAGTGAGCTCAACACGTTGGGGGATCAGAGCCCAACACCAATGAGCTGAGGTTAAACAGAAAGTCTTGGAGACAGTGGCTGTGAGATACTCATGCTGGGATAGTGATGGAGGCTATACATAAAAAACTGTGCAGTGGACATGTTGTTTTTTTCCTAAGATTAGCAAGATGTGAGCATGTTTGCATACTTCGGAGGAGGATTTGGTAGCAGTGGGAAGGCTGAAAATGCAGAAAGAGAGGAAGAAAGAGCAGGACGGAGCCCCTCAGGCTACAGGGGGAAGGGGCCAGAGCCTAGATGAGGATGTCCTCTCTCCCACCGTCACTGCAGGAAATGGTGTCCACGGGATTGATGGTAGGCGGCTGAGCAAACTGTTGCCTCATGACTTTTTTCTCTCCAGGAAGTGGGAGATGAGGTTATTTATTAGGAGTAAAAAAACCTTTGACAAAATTCTAGATTTGAGAAAAGTGTAAGGAGTTTTAAATAGTACAGAGAAGAATTTCCAGAGCCTACGAAGGGTCAGCAGATAACATGTTGGTCACGCCTTTTCTGCACCCCTGACCACAGTCCAGCACAGGGTGGGCACACCACTGGGTTCCTATCCACTTGGGATTCACCAAGCGCATATGACCAGATGACGATGGACCAGACTTGAAGATATTAAGAGAGGCTGATGAGATAGATCAATGGGGACTCTAAAATTGGCTTGAAAAGTGAGAACAAACAGAAGGGAATGGAAGGATAGGAGGAAAAAAAGCAAAGAGGCAGGAATCTGAACATCTCAGTGATGGAGCTTGAACTCCAATTTTGCATTTTTTCCTTAGGGAAGCCCAGCTCACTCCAGATCCTTTTCTGCTCACTGAGTAGAAAACTAATCCGAACTCACTCCTCCTTGCCAATGGTCCCTCATGGGACAACTATAATAAGGTCAGGTGAACAATACTTTGCTGAGATGTAAGGTTCTGTGGGACAGGTTTGAAGGGGTGCATCCTTTTTAATGTCTTAGAAAACACAAACCATTTTTTGTTTGTTTGTTTGTTTTGATGACCTCCTGTGATTGTGAGCAGCCCACTCTCTCCCAGGAAAGGCTGTGCCTTCTTCATCCACTGAGAATGGGCTCCTACACGGGGTCTTGGGACTCCCACTCCCAGCCAGGAGACTCTAGTCAATGGCCCAGAAAGAAATGTTTTCTAACCCTTGATAATCATTTTCAGAGGAAGGTAAGTAACAAGGATAGAAACACTAATTTGTTCTCTACTTCCTATTTTTCTCTAGAGGGGCTGAACTTTTCCAGGCCACAATTGTCAAGGCTGTAAAGGCAAGAATTGAGGAAGAGAAAAAGTCAATGGATCAGCTGAAGAGGCAGTAAGGAAGTTTGGTTTTACTGTCCTTCTTTCCTTATGATTGGGGTTTGTCTGGTCCTGTTCAGCTGGCTCTCACCTCCCAGGGAGCCTCAATAGCCCTAAAAAACCCACCCTGTTAAGGAGCTTCTGGGTATGTGCTCAGTGTCAGGGCAGTAGCTTATGCTTACTGGACTGAAAATGGAAGTAGTTGAAAAGAAAGAGAGGTACAATGTCGTGGAAAGGGGCGCCATGTTGGACAAGACCAATGTCAAGTCTTGGTTCAGCTGCTTACTCTGGAACCCTGAGCAAGTCATTCCAATTCTCTGAATTTCAGCCTTCTGTTTTAAGTTAGGGCTCACAGTTCTGCCTGGGTTTTTATAAAGATTAAATGAGCTAATGAATGAGACAGGGACTTTCCCGGTCCCATTCAGCTGGAGTAAATGTTCATTCTATCTATGAATTAAGAGAATACATACAGAGACTTGGCATTGGAAGGATCTCTAAAGATATTATAATAACAGTCTTTCTGGGAAGAAACTGATGATGCATGACATTAGATGACTTTAAATCCACAACAACCTAGAAGCAGTCCTAGAAATACAGCCCCTGTCTCCGTGGATTCAGTTCAAGACTTTTTTTTCTACTGTCATGTTCTGGATAAATCAAGTAATGGACTGACTTAACAGGAGATTTGAGAATTTCTTTTTGAAATTAATTAGTTAATTTTTTAAAAAGCCCCTGAAACAAATTTTCTTAGAGTGAAATTTCTAGCAGCAAATGTAACTTGTAAGGATTGGTAGCACTTCATTTAGGGGCTGGGTTTAGGAACAGATGACCACAGAATTCCATACCTATACACATTCTCCAGAAAAGCAGAAACTCTGTCCTCCATCACCACCCCCCTACACTCGGGGAAAATTCCCCAGGTTTGCTGAGACCCCTTCATTCCATTCTGACCTCATTTCCCAGCTATTCCCCCCACTTCCCACTCAGAAATGTTTTCTAGCATAAATTACACCATCCATAGCATGGTTATTTCCAGAATCAAAGATATGAGGTATATAAACTATTATATAAGCAGTTATGGTATAACTGTTGCCATTGTTGCTTCTAGTTATCCACATCAGGCTTAGACAAGCAACAAATGTGGACCCACATGTAGAATGAGTTCCTATTTACCCTTTAGGAAGACCTGTTTACTCTCATTTACTTCACTGAGTTTTTCCATTTAAGAATACATCCTCTTAGGTGATAGAAAGTCAGGATGTAAAAGAATGAAGGTAATAATCATTGCAAAAGAGAAGCTAAAAGTGTTGTTTAAGCCACAGGAAGCAGAAATGGCACTTAGCTTAAAAACCTGAGCAGAATTTTAAGAAGCTAAATTAAGAAATGGAACACCGCAAGAGGACGGGTCCGGTCAACATTGTAGTTTCTGAAGAGTCGGACTTCCTGAATAAGCAGACAAAATAAAAGGCGCTGACTCAATAATCAAAGACAGGGGCACCTGGGTGGCTCAGTGGGTTAAGGCCTCTGCCTTAGGCTCAGGTCATGATCCCAGGGTCCTGGGATCGAGCCCCGCATTGGGCTCTCTGCTTAGCGGGGAGCCTGCTTCCTCCTCTCTCTCTCTCTCTGCCTGCCTCTCTGCTTACTTGTGATCTCTGTCTGTCAAATAAATAAATAAAATCTTTAAAAAAAAATAATCAAAGACACACTAAACCATTTTTCCAGAACTGATCAGAGATTAGATTTGAAATAGAGAAGAGTCATGCGGTCTCAGAGAATATGTATGAATATCCGCGGAGCAACTTGCTCTTTACAAAACAGTTCTCACCCTTTCACCCCTTTTCATTGGATCTTCACAACTGCATGAGCTAGACAGTTCTTAATTTTTTTAAATTGTAAATCCTGAGAGAATAAGGGATATACATTTCATCCTATACTGTGTTCAAAATGGCTATGGTACGACGCATAAGTGGACATCAAGTATTGCATATCAAACCTTCGCATAATTGTGATCATCTTAGTGAGATGAGCATCTACACAGAGCCAAGTAATATGGTTGTGTCTGTTTACACACATACAGACATCACCAAGCAGATATGTGTTGCTGATTAAAAAAAAATTCATAAGTCCCATCCATACAAGTTTAAACGCAAATCAATCATGTGATTACCCTGGGTGTGTTCTTGGCATTGCTGCGGCTGTTCTATTTTCCAGGATGGATCGCATCAAAGCCAGGCAACAGAAATACAAAAAGGGTAAGGAGAGGATGCTGAGCTTGACCCAGGAATCGGGGGAAGGCCAAGACATCCAAAAACTCTCTGAAGAGGATGACGAAAGTATGTCAAGACATTTCCCTCTTGTTTAAGTAGCTTAACGTTGAATGATAGCATGAGTATGGGGAGGGCGTTACATAACATTATTTTTATTCTGCCAGAATTATCAATTTTTTTTTGAACTTAGCAAGTTTTATCTTCCAATTGTGAATGGGATACATGTATTTGTTCCATTAAGGACATATTTAATGACTCCATGATTTTACGAGTAACTCCTCTTCAGCAAAACCACTTTAATCAACCCCTCACCTAGTGTTTGTTTCGCTGAGATGAGTTTTTTGAAGAAAATGAGCATGGATTTGCTTAATTTATTCCTTTAGGGAAGGTATTTCAGAGACAGACTACTGTTATTGTCTTTAATTTCTATAAAATCTAAACAAATATTGAGTATGTATGCATATTTTATGTGGCATCTGAATAATGGTAGATAAGATATCCTTTAATTATTGTCTGTTCCAATGAAACTGAAAATGAAATATATATTTATTATATCGGATTATAGATTTGTTATATCGTTAAGTTTGAAAGGTCTTCTTATAAATGTTTGCATGCTTTTCTGTTTGAAGGGAATGGAGAAATAGTGCATGGTATTTTCCAGTGCATAACATCTATTAATCCCCAATAAATTTATATTTTTCCAACCATGCTTTAAAATAATCACAAGGATATTTCTGATTATTGAAATATAGGCATTTTTACAAATTATTTGCCACTAAATTGTCTTATAAAATTTAAGTGATGCTTTTTTTCTGTTAATTCAATGGAGAATTCAGTGTGAGATGCCTTTTTGAGAGATAATCCTTTCTTTTTTATGTTTCTTTATATGCCCTGCAGTACTAAAAAGAAAGTGAAAATGTGGCATAATGTTCATAGAACACTTAGTACTTGCCTTGTGAAATCAACTTGCTCATATGTATAAACATTTCAGACTCAATATGGTTCCTTTCCCTGACCTCTGATGTACTTTTATGACTTGTCTAGATTTTGACAATTGAGTTGTTAAAGCGTGGTTTTCAAAATTTGTTTTCTCACTTCCTAAGAATTAATATTTGGACATATTTTATTTTAGGAGAAGCAGACAAACAGAAAGCCAAGGGCAAAAAAAAGCAGTGGTGGCGGCCTTGGGTTGATCATGCTTCCAGTAGGTTTTCTCGATCCTCTTACGATTTCATCGATTCTAACCCTTATATCCTTGACCAGAATTCAGGCGTCCCCATGACCTGTGTGTTCCATGCATGGTTTGATCCTTGTGACTTGATAGGGAGTCAGAGTGTAGGAAAATTGTGATGTGAATGGATCTCTGGGCCCCGGAGATGGAATCTTCCAAGAAACCCACTGAGGTTACCATGCTGGCTGAAGAAAGCCCAGCATATGGCTGACACACTCTCGAGCACCATTTGTGGGCTCAGAAAGGGAAGATGAACTGCTACCATTTTATCTGATTCTGAGGTCTAGAGTTCTGCTGATGTGTATTTATTTTATGGCTGAAAACCCTTATTAAAAATGATTTTTGGCTCCTCCTGGGAGAATAATCATTAAATTCAAAGAGTCTATGACCCTCTTTGTAAGGCACTGGGCTTGGATGCCAATGAGTCTCTCCTCCCCTCATCCCCAGAGCTTTGATTTTATTTGCATGTACTTTTTTTAGCAATTTATCGAATATAAAGATCAGGATGACTTAAAATGCATTCACTTTCTCACTCTGCCTCTTCCCCAGTTTCAAAAGGCTCTCAAATTACAATCCCAATCCAAAACCCAGCATGTGGCATGGCAGCAGCCTCCAGCAAACAGCCATGACCAATTAAGAGCAAAGGCAGACAACAGGTTTTGAAAAGCAGAGCAAGCGTCACAGTCACAGAGAATTACTGTGTTTCCCTCCGGATCATAAAAGGAATGAGGAATTACGGAACTCAGTGGCTGTATTTGTTCTGCTTAACGTACAAAATCTCACTCGCTGTTGGTCAGTGGATGGTCTTAGAATAGAATGATCCATTTTGATCTCACCTTCCTTATATTCGTTAGACTACAGAATAATTATTAATTATTTTGCACATTACTTATAATATTTTCAGGCTTTTAAACCCAACAGGGATTATTACCAAGGCCCACAACATCACATGATGGTGGGAGAGACTCTACTAGCAGGATCTTCAGAATCACAAGAAAGTCAAATTGATTGGAATCTTTTGCCATGCCTAATTTCTTGGCATATCACTGAGATATGGCATTGGCTTCCCTCACCCCAAAATTAATATTTTTTAATCAGCAAGCCAATTTTGGAAAGTATTGTACAAAATTTGCTCAGTATACCTGGATGTCATTAAGTTTAATCCCAAATATTGAATTTCTAGCCTTATGGCAGGAAAAAAAAAAAAATCCATGAGTTTTAAAGAGTTTTTTCATTTGCTGCCATGTCAAAAGACAAAGATTCAGGTGGAAATTCTGTGTGACTCTTCAATGTATTGTTCATTGGCCATGTTCGTCCTACTAACAGCCACAAACAGTACACTATAAGCCTATTTCTATCAAGTCACAAGTAAACTGTGCCTATCTTTCTGTTTTTAAAGGGCCCTTTGCTAGTTTAGACAGACCTATCCATTTCATAATTGTTTCATACTGAAAGTTCTCTCTTTCACCTGGGGTAAATTCCCATTGCAATCATAGATGTCTTTCCTTTTCTTGATCTAAACATTGCATTTTGGAAGGAATTGGATATGGTCTTTGATAATCATCTTCCAAGTTGGTAATAATTTAAAGAACTTCTCGTGAAGGTTATTGACTTTAGTTTTCTGATTCATTTCACCCTCATTATAGCAAGTTCTTAAAGACCGGTATTAAATTAAACGTGCCTTGTTACAACACCTCTTGGTGCAATAATGCAAGAATGTGTGCAATTCATAGTTTGGAATCAGATTCTGACTGTGGTGTTAAAATTTTTCAACAAACTGTGTTTCCTTTTACAAGCTTGTGAGGAAAGGAAAGGAATGAGTATGTGGATTATTTTTTTAGACCACGATGAGTTCCAAAATTTATCTTTAGAACCAGAAGCACTTTATTAAAAGCCCTTATTTTGATCTCTTGAGCCACTGGGCTTTTACATAGCTATTTCATGCAGGTGTGGAATATGAGAATGCTTGTCCTTGGAACACCCTCATGTGAGTCTGTCTGTGATACGATAATGTCGCTATGTTGTTCATATTACCGGCAAGCAGTCAAGATCTTAACCTAGTCTGTAGGTGGCAAACCTTCCACTTCCATTCCTATGTGCACACATACGATCGCATTATTGCTGTTCAATGATACCTTCCATTCGAGGATAGTGTGTCTCCGTGCCAGTTCAGTACTGCCTAAAACAATGACATGCCTCACTCTGTTGTTAAATATCTGAAATCGAGGTCCAGCTTTCTGGGGATACAAGAGGTAGGATTTTAAAAGTCATTTCCACACTCAGTGCAGCAGCAATAACATCTGTATCCAGGATATGTTCATGGACACAGGCTGCAGGCAGGAGCTGACTCTGAACTAATCGATGTAGATGCAAGATTTTCTCTACTTCTTATTAGCAGCTAGCACTGAAGAAAATATTTTCTGTGGTTTTCCTACTTTTATTTCAGTAACATTCTATAAAAGAATAGGAGACTTTCCTTAAACACTTGCTGCCTTTTTTAAAGTGTGAATTCTACTTCTCGCGTACAAATTTGTAGTTTTTTTAAAGGATCAAATCAGTGTTGGGACTGCTTGAGATGAACACTTTTTGGGGTTCCCCTGTGTCCACATGAGTAAAAGTTATAGAAGGTATGATTGAATACAATTTAAGCTATTGTTGATTTTAGAGCCTATAATGAGGGTAAAATGCTCAATCTTGTGATACTCTGTTTTTACCAAATGACCATGTGACATAGAATCCAAGTAACTTTCCTGCAAATGTCTGAGCTTACATGAAGGCATTACTTTAATGGTCTTCCCCACTGTCAAATGTGATGCTGTAACTTTGGTTTGTTCTTGCTTATTCTTACCTTATGTTGTACTGCATTTATTCCCTCGGGCCTGGACCCAGTATTCTGGGCCTGGTTCTTTCTTCAAAATACAAGTAACAGATTACAGTGCTTCTGTTCAAGGATATAAGGCCCAATTCATTCACTCTGCATCTTCATGGATGGAGGCTTCAGATACGTCTGAAATCATGGGCAAAATTATTTACGTTTTGACCATGTTTAGTGATATTCAAGCAACTAATTTTAAACAAGCCAAGGTTTTCCATTACCTTACAACGTATGAATCCAAAAGAAAACCAAAAACATCATGTGATGTCATCCAAAAGACACCTCAGCATTCGAAAACTTGAATATAACTTGAAAATAATTCATATTTTTTTCCTGCGATGATGGTACAGTTCTTGTAGCATCAGAAATGTCTATGCTAGGTCTCTTTTCCCTGATCAACTTAAAATAATGCTCAAACTAATAAAAGATTGGATTCTCAAGTTTCTTTAAGTCTCTGGACATTTCCACTTTCTCTGCTCCTAAGTTTTAACACAGCAATATGTTCTTGCAGGGAAAATATCAGGCAAGACAAGGGCAATCCGTACTGTTGGTGCTTTGAGTCTTATGGTCAGTACGGTTCTCCTCACACTTCAATAGGTAACCGGACCTCCTGGTTGACCAGAAGCCTAACAGTGCTAAACCGTACGGACCCTTGTCTGCCCTGCCTCAGTCTGTCCCATGCTATGTGTAGAAACAGCCAGAGTGTGGTAGTGGTGTTTTTGCGGTTATATTCTTTTTTCATGTTACCTGCCCATTTCCTCCTCATGGCAATGTGTTTGTTGTTGTTGTTTGTTTGTTTGTTTGTTTAACTCTTCCAAATGTCTTGCCATATGTGTCATGTCCCTGTGTCACGTGTGGAGGAGCCAGGTCTGCACAGTAGAAAGTGAAGTGGAAGTTGGTGATGCTGATTCTTGGTCCTGAACCATCCTGACTGGCATTTCTACCACACACTCAACCCCTTCAGGCAACACCAAATCTTCCACTTCACTTTGGCCTCGTCTAAAGGACCCAAATTGCCAAATCATCTGAACTGTGAAACTCTTTTAACAGTTTTCTAGCCATTATTTTGGCCATCTTGGTAACAAAACGGGTTGCTGCAGAGTTGATCTGACGCATCTGTGTAAAATTGACACTGAAGAAGGAAGAAACTATCAGATGAACCCAGTAGTGGCCGGTTTTCTTACACAGTATAGATGAGGCCTCACGCTCTGTAGACCCAACCACGCCAACACCAAGTAGTGTTAGCCCAGAATGAGTTCTCTTCATCTCTTGTCTTTTCCTTTATACCAACATCTCTTGCTGTAGTCTTTTGTGGGCAGTTTGTGTATTTTTTGGGGGGGCATTTCATGAATAAGCCCTTTATGACCTCATATCTCTTCCAAGAAATAAGTAAATATTTTGTTTTGCTTAGTGGTCAGGAGTGGAGATTATTACTTATTTGAAACGGATAGTGAAGAGGAGGAAGAGGAAGAATTAAAAAAGGAAGATGAAGAACCTCCGAGGAGGTCAGCTTTCCAGGTAATTTTGGGGTTGGGAAAACCAGCTCCTCTGCTAGTTGAAGAGCTTTTCTTTCTGGCAGATCTTGATTGCAGGCCTAGACTTCTGCCACTGTGTTCATGTGTGTCACAGCTTCCAGATGTTTTTGATTTCCACCTGAAATTGTTTATTCCTCATTAAACTCTAATGCTGCTTGCTGTCAACATCAGTATAATTACTGCAAAGAACACTGTTCCCACCAGGTCTTCATTCACTTGCATCAAAAAAATCTTCTGATGCTATTAAAAAAAAATAAAGCTTCCTGGGTGAACTTTATTTTTCTGTTACAAGTATGAGGTGAAGAAGACTTGTCTGTCATCACTTTGAACCACTTGAATGGACTTATATTTTGATATGTGAACTAGCTGATCATAAAAATGAAGCACTTGCTTTTTTTGGAAACAAATGGTCACTTAAATGGTACTTCAAATCTTGAGAATCCATTTCATTTGTGTTGCCAAAGGTTTGAGAATTGATTGAAATCCTGGAAATAGCTAGCACAGTTCTGATTTTTTTTTTTTTCAGCTTAATCGCCTTTCTTTTTCAGAAACTGCCAGATCATTCTTAGTTACATAGCTTAACAGCCCAGTATGGTGTATCCAGGGAATGTCTAATCAATGTTTGTTAAAGATGAGGACTGGTCAGTAGAGCTACATGCAGGGTAAAAGTTGGATATATATTTCTTTTATGAAGGAGTCATGTGTTAGGACTGTTATTTCTCAGTTATTATACCGCGAGACATATAGGGTGATATCCATCAAGCCTCATGATGTGTCCATGAAAAGGTCATGGCTCCTTTGCTGGCCAGGTCTTCTCAAACTGGAGGGTTACATCTGCTACTGTATTCCCAATGAAATTAAAGAACTAAATTATTTGTGGAGACACCCTGCTCTGATGCTTTCTCACTGGCCCATCGCTACCCGAATTTATGTCTTGAAGACGGCGTCTGTGTGCATGTGTGCGGCTGGCTTGTCAAATACTAATGACTCATTTATTTTTACTCTAATGATTTTTCTTATAACCATCACTCCTCATTCAGCAAAGGAGAGAACATGGTCACACTCGCCATGTTTACGGATTACATGCAAGGACTCTTTTCCTTATTCCTAACCTCTGAGAAGAGCACATTTGATTCTAGCTTCAGGGATGGGCACGTTTTAACCTAGTTGATGTAATTGTAGAGACGAACTCATACTGACATCATGTATTAAGTTATTAGTCATTGGTGTTTTTCTACTAATCACTCTTGCTTTGTCCTTCTTTGTAGAGAGCTATTGGGAAGTTTGCATCAGCCATTTTAGCCTTGCCAAAGTCTGTCATTAAACTTCCCAAAACTATTCTTCAGTATTTAATCAGAGCTGCAAAGGTATTTGACGTTTCACTGACGTGTGGTGTGTGACCCTCCGCTCCGTAGAACTTTAGACAAGCAGAATCCCTGTTGCCCTACATCTGCATTTTCCCTGTTCTATAGATCATACAATGGAGGAAGTATAAGAACTTACAATTGTAGGCAAACCTTTCCAAGTAGAGTTTCGAGAAGCCCCATTTCCTATTATTTGATTCTCGTTCTTCAGCTGATACCAGAGCCTGTCGAAACATAGAACGAGAAAATGCAGATACACTTCTACTTTGTCCTTCTTGTAGTTTTGCCTAAGTCACATCTCATTTTTCAAAAGGTCACATCTGGTTGCATGCATCAGTCGTGATGTGTAAAATGTATGATTATTATTCTCAGAAAGCTGGTAAAACTACGAACAAGCCTAATAAATGACCCATTTTGCTCCATCTCCTTGTTGGCTTCTTTTTCAAGGCTCCATCTTGCCTAGATTGGGTATCTTCTTCCATTTACTCTTCTGACTTTAGTTCAACCCCTCCAAGGCTGGGCTGTTGCATCAGGTCTGCGTGGCTTCTCACTCCCACGTCACCCCAGAGAGTGCAGAATAAAATGTGAGAATGCTGTTGGTCAATTTAGCCAACGCACAGCAGAAATTATCCAGCTACCCATGCTCTAGTCACTCCTTACCGAAAATCATAAAGTGAACTCCTATTCATGTACTTTATAGAAAGCTGGTTCTGTGGACATAATCTGGGGTAGGCATTTAAACTCTTAGGTCTTTATGCTCACATGTTAAACAGATGTTTGGACAGTGACGGGGGACCAGCACTTTTCCCATTTCACCTGGGATCTTATTTAAATGCAGGTGATGTAAAGAAAGCAGGTCCTGCCTATGGCACTTATAATTCTGTGTTTCTCATGAGCGCCCAGAGGTAGCTGCTGGTCCATCTTGGGTGGGGCCGGGGATTCTAAACTTCCAGGTTCCTCCCATTTTTAAAATGCTGGGATTCTGATTGTTAGTTTAATATTCAATGTGTTCACTGCCTTGGGATTCTTTTTCTTTTCACTTTTATGACTACCATGCAAGTCTCTCCATTCATATTTAAGAATTTACATGAACAATTGTAACAAAATTATCCTCCTTATTACTTTAAAAATAAAAACAAACAAGCACCTGCATACATCAGTTAAGCCTCTGACTCTTGACTTTGGCTCAGGCTCAGGTCATGATCTCAGGGTTGTGAGATCAAGCCCCAAATCGGACTCCACACTGGACATGGAGCTTGCTTAAGATTCTCTCTGCCCCTTTCCCTCTACCCCTCTGCCCCCCACCAACTCCCTTTCTAAAAAAAAAAAAAAAAAAAAAGGAAAGAATATATACACATATATATACATATATACAAGAATATATACACATATGTGTACATATACACATATATACACACATATATACACATATGTGTATATACTTCTTTGGTATTATATATATACATGTATATATATATGTGTATGTATGTGTGTATATATATATATATATATATATATAAAATTTAAAAAACAAACAAACAAGAAAACTTCTTACAGACAACATAAAATCCTGGGTCACACATGAATTAAAGGACAGTTTATTAAATTTTAGCAATTTCAGTGAAAAATCTCCATCCACTTCAATAAAGTTCTATCCTTTTTAAAAAATTAAATGCTTTTTGCATAGTACATTTTCATAAAGTGAACCTCATTTCCCCCTAAAATATATGATAAAACTTAAGATAAAATCACATGACCAGACTTAAGATAAAACTTAAGATGAAGTTAATAAATAAATAAATAAATAAAATTTAACATTAGTTATCTTATCTTAAGAATATAGACTAAAAAAAAAAAAAAAGAATATAGACTAATAGTGGCAATTTGAAGAAACCAAAGGTCATTTATGGACATTTTCATGTATTTTCTTTCACTTGGTTAGTGGTGTGTACACCCATGGACTTGGATGGTGGTTATAGTTACAATGTGAGAACTGAGAAGTTCCAGTAAAAAAAAACTGCTATTTCTTGACTCAGAAGTGGGATCTTTCCTCCTACTTTGTTACCATCATTTCCTGAAACAGTCAGACTGAGCTTCTGTCAAATATTCCTGGCACTCTACAGAGTTTATAATTCCAAACATCAACAGTAAGATAGTTTACCTACAAATAGGACTCTTCATAAGATTTTCTCCCCCTCTCTCGTTTCCCCTTGTTTGAATTATGTAAATTCTCATCTCAGTGAGAAAGCACTGATGGGCTTAATCATTTAGGGATCATAGGTAGAACAAGGAATTTCCTTTTAATAATGGCACTCACCCTTCTTTAAGAGTTCTACAATTCTGTCCTAAATGCCCCTTCTCTCTCTCCTTCTCACTCTCCCTCTCCATTTTTCTCCAGAACAAAAGCACTCCTCCAACTTATACACCTAATACATCCACAGATCCTGAGTTACTTTTTAATTTTCCATTTGGGGGATTCTGGCATTATCTAAAAGCAATATTTTCATAACTCTTTCTCTAAAGGACTTGTCATCAGATCTTGCTCTTAAACCTGAAAATTTCTTGTGTTTAGCAGTTCAGATTTTTGTAAAAGAATCAATATTTTTCTGAAGCAAGTTTGCTTATTAATGTACTAAACCTCAAAGTTATTTTTTTTTTTTGGTAGGTGGCAGGTTTAATAAGCAAGGTAATTTACACACTTGGCAAAGATATTCTTTTTTTTTTAAGATTTTATTTATTTATTTGACAGAGAGAGATCACAAGTAGACAGAGAAGCAGGCAGAGAGAGAGAGAGAGGGAAGCAGGCTCCCTGCTGAGCAGAGAGCCCGATGCGGGACTTGATCCCAGGACCCTGAGATCATGACCTGAGCCGAAGGCAGTGGCTTAACCCACTGAGCCATCCAGGTGCCCCTTGGCAAAAATATTCTTGATGGAGTTCCTGGTTAGCATGCTTAGTACACATCTACCATAAATTCCTTCATTTGGTCCTTCTTCCAGAGTCAGTTCATTTTCTCTTTTCTCAAAAAACATTTTGGCATAAAATAGGATTATTTTTTGCCTTCCAGGCTTATTTTTCAGAAATAATACAGATGTTCCATCATGTTAATTGCCCATATTCAGATTTCTACAGTGAGAAAAAAGAAATATTCTTCCTTAGTCACTATGACCTTTACATTTCTGTACATTGAAAAGTTGGATCCCCTTTTATTTTTACTGACATCATCATGCCAGTGGTTTGCCTACACTGTGTTTTCCAAAGATTTCAGAAATCTGAAAATAATATAGAATACAGTGAAGTGTCTGGGTTTACAAAGTGACCCCACAAAACATTCCTTTAACTTTATCATCGTAATAGAAAACCCAGCTTCCCTGAGACCCAGGTGTGTTTGGGTGCATGAGGAGCATGTCTGCTTGGCTTCGTGATTACATATGGCTGACTTTGTGTATCAAGGCTTTCTTTCAGTTCCTTCTGCATGACTTGGGAGACTGTTGGTGGGAGGGCTGTTGAAAGTTGCTCTATGGTGGTTATTGGTTTTGTATATTAATGTAACCATTTTCAGGTCTTGAATAAAAATGACAAAAGGCAACCAAAAGCACCACAGTTTTCCTTCCATAACATTCTGTAATAACTCTTTAACCTTGCTATCACATTATTTTTTCCTCTCCAAATACTAATCAATCTACAAAACCCTTTCCTAAGTTGTTGGTCATAGCTGTTTTTCGCAAGGGAGAGTATCAAATGTGCAAAGCTATTTTCCCAAAGTAAATGAGCAAAAGATGTTTTGTTTTTGATTTAAAGTTTATTTGCAAGGGGAGGAAAACTACTCCAGTGACACTTAGCAAGGTGCCCAGCTTATTCCTGTCATGTGTAATACAAAGAATCAGTAACTCTCACAAGTGGTGGTGGTACATGGGGACTTGGGAGAAATGGTGGTCACCCAAAGTATCTCAGGATTGTGAAACTAGAAGAAATATCTTCCTCCAATGTCTGTTTTCATATTTCATTTCATGATAATAGAAAGAACTCAGGTCAACTCAGGATACTGAGGGAAATGGGAGAAGATTTATTTTGTGCTGGGAGAAAAAGAAATGTATATATATATATATAAATATACACACACACACACACACACACACACACACACACACACACATACATATATGACTAAGGAACATATAAATATGTATGACCAAGAAATATATGTGTGCGTATATATATCTATATCTACATATAGATATATATATGACCAAAGTCTGGAAGCTTGGTGTTGGTCCCTTTTCTTTTCATTCAAATTATGAAAAAGCCAGAAAATAATCAAACTTTCCCCCTTCAGTTTGTTTATCAAGCCTGGATCACTGACCCTAAAACCGCACTCCGACAGAGACTCAAAGAGAAAAAAAGGTCTGCAAGAGAAGAACAGAAAAGAAGGAGAAAAGGATCTGGGGAGGGTAAGTGTTGTGTGAATGCAGGGTCCAGCCAGCGTTCTCTGTTTCTGTGGCCTTGGGCTACAGCAGGACAGAAGCTTTGGAGGAACATCATTCTCATATTCTCAGGAGTGCATACAGTTCTGCTTGCCCATCATTGCTCATGTCAGACCTTTGGAATAAGTAAAAACATGAATTTAAGTGAATATACATTTTATAAAATGAGAAGAGGGAGAGAGCAAAATAAATCCAAAGAAAGTAGAAGGAAAAAATTAATTTTTTAAGCAGATGTTGAGTCACAGAAAAGAAGTAACAGGACAAGATCTATCATTAAGTGAAAAGCAGTTCTTAGAAAAAAACTAGTAAGATGGATAAACTTTTGGAAATTGTATTAAGAAGAAAAGGAAAAACACACTATCAGTATCAGGAGCCAAAAAAGGAACATAACTACCAATGCCATCTTCAACATTACATGTGAAAACATACAACGGGAACACTTTTCTGAAGATAGGAAAAATTCTAAGCTACAACTATACACCAAAACCAAAGTGAAAGTGAAAGTGGGGCACTCAGAAAAGAATATTTTCATTATATATATATATCAGACTAAAGATTAGTATTCTGGATATACTAAGAACTCCTAAAGAGCAGTAAAAGAAAAGCTCAACCCAATAGATGAATAGATTTGAAAAATAATTCACAAATCAGGAAACAGAAGTAGACAAAAGGAGCCCAGCTTCACTCCTAATGTAAAAAACAAAACCAACAGTTTGACATCCTGTTTTCCTTGTTTGTGTGTGTGTTTTACCTATCAGATTGGCAAAAACCCAAATATTTGTTAATATCACTGTTTGGAGCTAGGGGAAAATAAGTGTTTGTATGAGTTACAACCCTACAACACGATAAATGGTGTAGTGGAGTAGTGTATCCACTTTGGAGAGCAATGTTTGGATATGTATAAAAATGTTGGGGGCTCCTGGGTGGCTCAGTCAGTTAAACGTTTCCCTTATGCTCAGGTCCTGATCCCAGGGTCCTGGGTTCAAGCCCCATGTTGGGCTCCCTGCTCAGTGGGGAGTCTGCTTCTCCTTCTCCCTCTGCCAGCTGCTCCCCCTGCTTGTGCTCTCTCACTCTCTCTCTCTCTGACAAATAAATAAAAATCTTTAAAAATCTAAAAAAATAATAATTTTTTTTAAAATGTTAAATGTACAGTTAAATATTCAAATGTTAAATGATCAGTCCCACTTCTAGAGGCGTGGCTTAACTTGAAACAATATTTGCATATGTGCACAAGACCTGTATCTACAAATATTTATCAAATATTATTTAATACCAAAAACTTAGAATCCCATTCAGTAGTTAAAAAATTAGATGGATTACAGTTGATCCTAGAACAATGTGGGGATTTGGGCACTGACCTGCACACAATCAAAACTCTTGTATAACTTTTGCCTCCCCAAAAACTTAACTACTAATAGGCTACTATTGACCAGAAGCCTTACTGATAACATAGTCAATTGATACATATTTTGTATGTTATATGCATTATATACTATATTCGAACAATAAGCTAGAGAAAAGAAAGTACTATCAAGAAAATCATAAGGGGACGCCTGGGTGGCTCAGTTGGTTAAGCAGCTGCCTTCGGCTCAGGTCATGATCCCAGCGTCCTGGGATCGAGTCCCGCATCGGGCTCCTTGCTCGTCAGGGAGCCTGCTTCTCCCTCTGCCTCTGCCTGCTATTCTGTCTGCCTGTGCTCGCTCTCTCTCCCTCTCTCTCTCTGACAAATAAATAAATAAAATCTTTAAAAAAAAAATCATAAGGAAGACAAAATATATTTGCAGAACTGCACTGTATTTATAAAAAAAAATAACCCTCATATAAGTGAACCTGCAGGGTTCAGACCTGTGTTGTTCAAGGATCAACAGTACTTTGAATTTGACATATTGTTAAATAAAAAATATTATGTTGCAAATGGCATGCACATTATAAAACCATTTGGGAAACAACGGAAGCCAACAAAGTTCCTCAAGACAGTGTTTTGCATTTTTAATGGACGCATATAATGTGTATAAATGCAAGAGAACGATTGGGAAGAATACTTAGCAATTAATAACAGTGGTTACTTCTGGGGGAGGAGTAGGAGAGGAGTCTCTTCTGTGGACAGACTGAGATTAAGTGGTATGATTTTAGGGAACTTTAGGCTTATGTGTTATATTTTGATCCTTTACAAAGGAAATAGACACAGATTTTTGTGAAATTAAAATGTCTTCAAAAGTCAGGAAGCATAATTACTCATGGAATTCTAACTACAAACTCTTTCTCCTCTTTGACTATTCTGCTCCCAGCTGTCTCCTGGTAGTTTTAATTTTATTTTACTTTATTGGTTCAAAAGACAAAATGAAGACACAGCCAATGAGTCAAGAGTCTTTGACTCAAGTCAAAGAGTCAAGAGGTAGATTTGATAATCTGCTGTGGAAACCCATCCCCTCAAGGGCCAAGTCCTCACTGTGTGTGGTACTCATGTCCACTTCTTACTGGTCTGTGATGTAGGTGTGTGCAGGCACCAATTCCTTTGTTATTTTTGAAAATGAGTTCATGCTCTACAGATCCCTCTGGTATGTTCATTAGCAGTGGGACACAAACATTTCTCCAATTAAGTATTTATAAAACTATATCATCCTTTTTTAATGGCTGCAGAATCGTCTACAATATGGATATGCATAATTTATTCAACTATCCCATCACTAATGGACATTAAGTTTGCTTCCAAATTTTTGCCATAATGAATAATGCTATCATAGATAGCATCGCACAAAAATGCACATAATCATACATACATATATGTGTGTGTATTTAAATGCATAGCAAAAAGCCAGGAAGAGCACAGACTTTCCACAGAATAGATCAAAAGTGGGACTTCTGACTAAAGGGATGTGACATTTTTTACTTTAATATATATTTTCCCAAGAGGTTTTAGAAATATACAGTCCTACATGTAAGGTACAGGAGCGTCCATTTCCCTGTAGTCTTATCCTACAGAATGTTATTCTTTTTTATCATTTGTCTTTCATAGGGATGACAAATGGCTTTTATTTTCATTTGAATTTTCCTAACTAATGAAACAGCATTTTTTATTTCCTATTTTCAGGTTTGTACTTCCAAATCTGAGATTTAAACATTTTTTATCATTTTCCATAATATCATCCTATTGGGTTGTTTGTCCTTATTGATTTAGGAGACATCTATATATTAAGGATATTAACCTTTCTCATGTGTTACAAGTATTTTTTACACATCCAGTGCTTATCTTTTTATTTAATTTTTGGTGTATGTTATCTAAACAATTTTTAATTTTTTCTGATATCAAAGAGGTCTCAATTTCTTTTTGCAATTTCAGGGTTTCCATGTTGCTTAAGAAAGTCTTTCCCCCAGATATTATTTTCTCTTATTTCCTCCCAATTTTATTTACATTTTGCATTTTTATTGTTCTGTGAAATAGAGACCTACTTTGTTTACTTTTACATAGATAGGCTATTATGTTATCCCTGTTTATTAAATTATTCTCCTTTTTTCTAGTGAATTTAAATGCTACTTTGGTCGATATTCAGCTCCCATTTATCCTGTGGTCTGTTTCTGGGCTCTGGACTCTGATCCATTATCCTACTGTCTAGCTCTGGGCCAGTGTCATCTATTTTGAAGTCCAGGGGGTATCGAGTTAGTTTTAATATTTAGTGTTGCAAATTCCCCCTCACTATCCCCTTTTCTCCCCCCACCACCACCCAACTTGTATTTGCTATCCTCAGCCATGCATTCTCACAAAATTATCTGCTGAGCTCTAAAAATGTGTTTTTAGTCATCTTGCAAATATCTCATTACTCTGTTTCATGAAGATGATTCCATGTGCAGATGTTTACCTCAGATCAAAGACAGCAATAATTAAAAGGTACTGGGATGAAAATAGATGTTTATTCATTCCTTTAATATTTATTTAGCCACTTCTTCTTTGGTGGAAGGGCTCGTCCTTTCCAGATTACTTCCAGACAGATGAAGCAAGTGGATTCCAGCCTTCCGAAATGCCAGGTGCTGCTCGAAGTACTTTGTAGGCTGTAACTCATTTGATCCTTATAACAGTCCAGGACATTTTATTCTTCCTGCATACAGATGAGGAAATGAAGTACCAGAGAGGGAAAGAACTGGCCTGAGGTCACAGAGCCATCTAGATGGGTCTGGAATTAATGCAGGCATCCTGACTCCAAACCTTTCTATCTTGACAAATGGGGAACACAAGTATAGGGGGAAAAATCCCTAATGATATAGAAACTGCAGAGTTCCATTTATAAAATAAGCATAGATAAAATAGTGTGGGACCAGAGGGAGAAAGGAGGACTTATAGCCAAGAGTATAAAGGAATAAAGTACTTCATGAAAAAGTATTTTAGTAGAGCCTGACATTCTGGCAGAAGAAAGAAAGGTTGTGTATGAAAATTAAAGAGCAGGTCAGCTTAGTTGGTAAAGACAAGATGCGATGGAAAACAGAATGGTGGAAAGTAAGTTTGGAAAGGTTCATTGAAGTCAGTTCATGAATGGTCTTAGTACTACCAGATAAATACACAGGGCCCAGTGATAGTTGGAGTTTTTAGAAAAACAACAAATAATTTTTTAGTCCAAGTATAATGTGGACATATTGTATGGGACTTAAACTAAGAAAAAAATTATTGTTTTTTGTAAATTCAAATTTAACTGGGTGTCCCATATTTCCATTTGCTAAGATCTGACATCTTTAGCCTGAAATAAGAGGCTAAAAAATAAAATGGGGTCCCATAATACCATTCTATGTAGTGACACACTAAAATATGTAACATTACCTCTAGATATTCAAAATTAAAATGTCATGGTATGTATCAGGAGTCAACATACTCTTTCTGTAATGGGCCAGATAGTCAGTGTTTGAGTTTTGCAGGCCATAAGTCTCTGCCAGGATGGGGGGAAAAGTAGCCACAGACAATACGTAAACAAATGGGTGTAGCTCTGTTCATTAAAATCTGAATTTCGTATCATTTTCACATGCCAGAATATTGCTGTTTTTTAAGATTTTTTTTCAACTATCAAAAATATAAAAACTGGTTCTGAACTCAGAGGCCATTTAACAATAGGAAGCTGGCAGGATTTAGCCAGTACACCATAGTTCACTCATTCCCAGTTAAAAGTGATTCTTACTCTGGAGTAAGCAGAATCTGAGAGCTATGAGTTCTTACAACTTTTCCCTGAGAACTCTTATATTAAGCAGAATATTCTAGATTTAATTACAGAATTCCTTTTAGCCCAGAAGAGTAGTGTTGACATTTAATCTAAAAGGACCTAACTCATGTTTATTGAACACACTTGGCAGGTCCTGTGGAGTGGGAAGACCGAGAGCAAGAACCAGTCAAAAAGAAATCTGATGGACCAGGTAACCAAACAAAGACAAATGTGAGCTAGGGGAAATTTGAAAATGTTGCTTTCCCAGAAGATATGTCATGGAAGGCTGCCTAAAAATAATTCATCAAATACTGTTTCCGGACTTTGACTAAATAATCAAGTGTCCCTTGAAACCTCATCTCTAGTGACATTTCAAAGTGGACTCCTTAGAGTAGATCTGACACTTAACACTGTTGGATTAAATGTTGGATTAGAGTCCATTTGTCAATTATCTTCCCCAAATATTTGTGAAAGGGGATTTTGGGGAGTAAATTACAAATGTCCCATGGAAGCCACCAAAATAAAAGCACAAAAAATATTCCCAATTAATTTAAAGGACATAGAAAGAAGGATTTAAATGAGAGGTAAGTACAGTGGGGGAAATCAGAGTTTCTCTAGAAGCGTAGGTCAAAGTCCTCACTTGACAAAGGGAACGTCTATCCCCAGTGAGCTTGCTCAGGACTCTGTAGTTACTAAGTGACAGAGTAAGGACCGAATCCCTGTCTTCTAACCCCTACCTCAGTCATGGTGTCATTTGGGCTTCACATAGATGTGACTGGGAGGAAGAGTTTTCCATGAAGGAAAAAAAAAAGGGGGGCAAAAAAAAGGCTTTCAAATGAAATGAACTTAAATGTCTCTGTAATTCCATAAACATGCCATTACCTCAATGTCATAGGGTTAGAACTCCTGCATGCGTTACTTACAGCAGGCCAAGATTTTCAGGCACTCTTGCTATGGACACAGATACTTCCAAGGATGCCATCTGCTGGCCCAAAATGAGACTTCCCCAAGGCTGTCTAACTGTCTTTGGCCCTGTTCTTAAACCTGAACCCCCACTTCCAGAATATTGGACTCACACATATGTGGAGCCAGATGTTCTATTCTTGCTGCGAAGCTACCTACAGTAATAGTAGCTAACACTTTAGCTCACACGTCTCTACCAGGCACTTCCCCAAGAGCTTTACGCATCCTCACTGGTTCCCTCAAAAACCCTCTCCCTCATTTAACAGATAAGAAACTGAAGCAGAGAAAGATGAGGTAACTTTTCCAAGTCTACACAAACACTAAGGGGTAGAATTGGGATTTGAACCCAAGTATGTGCCCTTCCCCACTGTGGGCCTTATTGCCTCTCTGGCTAAGAAATAAATAAAAATTAAAATGGCCACATCTCATGTTAGTTTGTGATCACGTGAGTTAAGAAAGTATGTGTTTTCCGTGTCTCCATTACCGCAAGTTTAGTCTTACCATCAGGACCATGCTCGGCAAAACCGTGACACAATCACATGTCTCCTCACCACCGCAGGTGATCATTGTGAATATGACAAAGTAAATAAATAAATTGTCCAAAATGGGAGATGCTGCTAAATTTTATTAATAGGTGTGACCCGCCCCCCAAGTCCTTCAGCCTCCAGGGCTCAGATTTTCTTTTTATGTCTACACGACGCAGCTGGAGATTCCATCGAAAGCATTGTGGGAACTTCACACCTGGCTCAGATTAAACCCAAAATGGGTTGGGGGAGGGGCAAGACCCATAGAGGGCCCCTGGCCACCTCTGGCTCAGAATGGCTCTTCTGTGGAATCTGCACGACCTCTCTCCATTCAGCTTCATGTAGCAGCTGGTCCCTTCCTGAGCTTCGCTCAGCAGAAGATACCTCATTGCCTTACTTCCTAAAGTACGCTTCATGGAAGACTGTTAGGTGTGACGGCATTTTATAGAGGCTTTGAGGGATAGCGGGGTGGTGGGGTGGCAGTGATAGCAGAGACAGGCAACAACGTCGGAGGGAAAGTCAGTGATCACTATTCCTGCCTCAGTGGGTTTCTCCCCAGCTAGTGCCTCTGGGGCCCGGCTCATTAGATCATTCCCGCTTTCTTCCCCAGGTACCAGCTGGCAGCTCCAAGATTCCTGTTCCTTCAGTAGGTAGAACTGTTCAACTCTTCTTTGTCTCTACCTTGCCCACCTGGACTCTGTCCTGAGGCCACACTGTCCATAGATTAAAGTTCCCTTCGATGTTTCTCCTTTTGAAAAGAGCAAACCTTTCCCTGAGAGAAATTCTGCCTTCCTCCTAGACAACCCAGTTCACAAATAACTTCTTTTTTCCCCTATTACAAAATTAAATTCAGAGTCAGCCTGGCATCTTTTGGTTGGAGGAAAGGGTGAGGGATACCAGTTGTTTTTCTTAGTGGTGCTGCTGGTGGTGTTTAAGGGTTTTGTTGATAAACACTAAGGCAGTTTTTAATTCATTACGGTGTTCACTAAGGAGTCGTTTTACTGCAGTCAATGTTTGAAATCGCTAATAAGACAAAATGTCTTAAATGCCAAATTAAAAAATTCACATGGATCAAAATTTGGTGGCTTGAATGGTTTCTTGGATACCAGCTGAGAAACCATTGGCTTCTGGGAATGGAGGTGTCAGAGAGACAGTTAAGACACCATCTTCCCTATTTGATTTTGATTCTGACCTAAAATAAGTTAGGTCACAGCCAGGGAACCCCCTCCAACCTTAACAATGATCAGAGAGCCCTTGTGGAATTCCCTGAGGGCACAAGACAGGCATGTGTGCCTGCACCCAGAGGGTGTCATAGACGGTGACAATCTGAGCTGAGCTTATCATGCTAGGCAGCTTGGCCCGGCTCCCCACGTCACAGCTGCAGAGAGGGAAGACAACCTGAGAACATCAGGAATCTCACAGCATCTGTTGGTTTGGACAGGATCAATCTCATGTGCAGAATTCTGTGTGGGCCCAGCTCAGTAGAATGAAATAGGAATGTTGAAGCTATTCGTAGTATCAGTATTCTTCTGGTACCCCTACTAAGCTCTTGACAGAATAGGTGGCAGGTGATGGAACTGAACAGCAGCTACCAAGCATCAAAAGTCTCACTGAATCAATAGAATTGTTTCCAAAAATAGTCATTCCTTAAGAAAAGAAGAAATTTCTAGAAAAAAAAAACATTAAAGGATCCGGTTTCCTGGATAGCTTCTATCCCTGTGTCAACAACAGAAATAACTTTGAATGCAACCTTACTCTTCATCAAACCTGTGTTCTGTCTATGGACCTATTCTGACTGATATTTTGAGCACAGGATAAAAATTCTATCCCAGTTTGGTTTTGATGCTGCCAGTGCATGTGTAGAAAGACCCACCCACAGCTTCCTATACTCCCTGTCCTCCTCCACACCTCCCACCCCCATCCCCATCATGCTGAGCATCATGGGCATCACTCCGTATTAGGTGTGCAGGTCTGAAACCAGGTCTGTCCTTGGTAAGAGATCGCTGTGTTACACAACAGCAAAATGGCTGATTTGGGCATTTTGCTCCTTTGAAACCTTGTTGCTTTTCTTCTTCCTAGATAATATCATCAAGAGGATATTTAACATTTTGAAATTCACCTGGGTTCTGTTTCTGGCAACAGTGGATAGTTTCACAACTTGGCTTAACTCCATTTCAAGGGAACATATTGATATATCTACAGTTCTGAGAATTGAAAGATGTATGCTGACCAGAGAAATTAAAAAGGTAACACTTGTGGGTACAATTCTTTTTGCTTCTTCCCTCATTATAAAGATTTTTAAAAGTCAATGTCCAGAACTCCAAAAAGGATAACACAAAATCTATAGTCTGTCTTCTGGACAGTCTTTATATAACCCCTCTGTTTTTCTGTATATTTAAATCTGTTCCATTGCTCAGAATTAAAATAACCAGACACTGTAAGCACACACATGTACACACGCACGTGCACACACAGTTCTGGGACAATGGCCAGTTTATTCACTCTGTTCCTTCCCCTCACCAGTTTGCAGGTGCACCGACTCTGCTGTCTCAGGAAGGATTATGTTGTTTAGTCTGGGAAGATTGATCTGAAACTTCTCGGGGGGAAAAAATCAAGATATATGCAGAGCAGCAAAATATAGGCACATACAGTTTATAGATAGTATTTAAACTTACTAGTTTGTTTCTGAAAAAGTTACTATCACTTAGCTAAATTACCTACATATAAGAAAGGATTTGATTTTTACTAGTTTTTATCTTATTTTTATTGAAATGTAATTGACAATGTAACATACTAGTTTCAGGTGTACAATACAATGATTCGATATTTGCATATATTCCAAAATGATCACAGTTAATCTACTTAACATCCATCACCACACATTGTTTCAATTTTTTTTTCTTGTGATGGGAACTATTAAGTTCTAGCCTCTTAGAAACTTCCAAGTATATGGTACAGTCACTGTGCTGTCCGTGACATCCCTGGGACTTACGTATTTTATAGGTGGAAGTTGTGTCTTTTGACTATCTTCACCCATAACCAAGAAGGGATTTCTTGTGAGCCTTCCCCAGTGATATCGGGGGCCACTAATGCAATGAGTTAACATCAACGCCCTCCTTGACTAGCTTTGTTTTCATCTTTGCGCAAGGTGGGCATGTCGACCGAGAGTTCTCGGTATTGAGAAGCGCCAGGGGCCTGCACAGACAAGTAAGAACTGTGGCGATGTCTCCCCTCCACAGGGCAACGTCCCCACGCGGGAGAGCATCCACATGTACTACCAGAACCACATCATGAACCTTTCCAGAGAGTCTGGACTGGACACCATAGACGACCGTGCTGGCGCCGCTTCTGCTGCACAGACAGCCCACAGGATGGATAGCTTAGATTCCCACGACAGCATCTCCAGGTACTTCATGTTCTAAACAGTGGGTTTGCTTTTGACCAAGGTGAAAGAGCTGGGCTTCAGCAAGATGAGAAATGGATGTGTGAGGTGAAAGTTAATCAAAAACGTTCATGGATCCCGCCCCATTCAGGCAACCTCCTGTGTGCAACAAAGCGAAAGGAACACTGTCCTCCCCTTGACTGAGCCAGAAAAAAAATCAGGTATCAGTAATAGGCTATGAGAGGGGCGCCTGGGTGGCTCAGTCGGTTAAGCGTCTGACTCTTGATCTCACCACGAGTCTCCATCTCAGGGCTGTGAGTTTGAGCCCCATGCTGAGCTTTAAAAGAAAAGAAAAGAAAAGAAAAAAAAGTAGACCATATTAGAAATACCAGTATGACTCATGGGCACAGGGCAGAGACTTCCAAGCCAGAGGCAAGTAAGAACGAGCCTTCCTGATCACAAAATGACTATTTGTGTCAAGGGCCACCATCTTTGATTCCTCTGAAAAAAATGCTGCCCCAAAGAGTATTTTCTATACTGGAATCTTCTTCCATCTGTTGCTATCTTTGATCTTTCTCCTTTCAGAATTGTTACTTTGTGATCCATAATAAAAATTTAAGAGGCGATTTTGTCCACTTCCATCCTCCCTGGCTTCTGTGATCACGTGCACTGTTCCACTACAGGGATCCCGCACTAGCCACCGGCCAGCACGACCCACTATGTATGGGTTACCTCACTGTATCCTTCCAAGACCCTATAAGATTCATGTTATCATCCCCATTTTACAGAACACGAAGTTCAGTTACAGAGAGGTTACCTAACGTACCCAGAGCCACACAACTAGGAGGTACTATAAAAGGGAGTCAGCATCCCAAACCCCATGGTTCAGCTCAGAGCCCAGGATCTCACCCACCATGATGTGCTGCCTCTAGTGGCCTCCTCTGCACTCCAGGCCAACTTTGAGAACTGACCTGTCTTTCTTACCACCTGTCCCGGTAGAGCCTCCCCCGTTCTCTGCCTCAGCATTCTAGATAGCTGCTGGGGATTGCACAGAGCTAGCCTCTGAGTTGAAGCAGAAGTTCTGTCTTTGGAGTAGGCCGGCAGGCCTAGGATGATTAGCTAGACTACATGAATCACACATTGTGTACATCTTCATAGGTCAGGAGCATTATCACCAAGGACATTCATTGCTTTCATCAAACAGGTTTAAAAGCACCTATTCCAAGCCAGACCCTGAACTCGATTTTGAGATAAGACACATATAGGTATATCATCTCTAAGTAGTTCGAGTCTGGGAAGAAAGACCCACTGGTAGGATTATCCATGGAACCCTGAGTTGGGACTCCTGCGGGGGAAAGGGTGGCAGACACGCCCTGCAATGCCTCCTGTGGTAGAAGGTCCTGGATGGTTGGCAGTATGTCTCCAGTCCCACATCAGACACTGTGCAGGGCCTCAGAGCCCTGGAGGAATATCTGTCCTCCACAAATAACGAATATATTACAGCACAAGAGAGGGGAGGGAGCTGAGACTATTTTGTTGATACCAAATCCCAAATAGATAACCACAAGTTGAAATTGCAATCTGAATGGGGAGAGCTGGGTGAAAAAAAAGGTTTACCTTGAAGAGCTATGTTTCACTGCTGCTGAATTGGTATATTTGAGCTGCTCCAACTGTAACTGTTATCTTGCTCTCCAATAATTTACCTATTGATGCAAATCTATATTTATTGATATGGAAAGATATTCACTGCATTGAGCAAAAAATTGGGGTTTAAAATAGAATATATGCCAAAAACCTCATTTTTATTTATGAAAAAAATATGTGTTCATATATTGATTTAAATATGATTTTTGTACAGATGAAATTCTGCTTGGATATATCCCTTCCTACCCTCTGCCCCTCCCCCAAAATAGGTAGCGATTCTTTTAAAGTCCTTTGAGGGATAATAAAAGGCATTATTCCCATAATTTGGGAGTAATCTTTGCTCATTTGTCAGTTCCAAAGAAACAGAAATGTTTCAGCTGTTGTAGATTTCAGTGAGAAGAGACACTGAGGCCAGAAACTCTCAAGACTTTCAAGGTCAAAACATTTATTTGCTAAGTGAGATCCTGTTCAAGATGCTTTAAATTTCTAGAATAAAATAAGTAATTGTTACAACAGTGGGCATGCTAATAAACGTTTCTCATTATCTCTCCACCCAAACATACCCACTTTTTTTTTTTAAGATTTTATTTATTTATTTGACAGAGATCACAAGTAGGCAGAGAGGCAGGCAGAGAGACAGGCAGAAGCAGGCTCCCTGCTGAGCAGAGAGCCCAACGCAGGGCTCCATCCTGGGATCATGACCTGAGCCAAAGGCAGAGGCTTTAACCCACTGAGCCACCAAGGCACATCCCCCATATTTCTTAATCAGCAATTTAAACAACCATTAGTAATGGCAAAGTTACAAAGTGAAAATTTAGCGTCATGTCCCTTGCTTGACAGACATCGCCCCCTTGTGTGCCTTCCTGAAAATACCCCATAATCTGCGTTTTTGAAAGAGGAGCTTCATTCTCCTTGAGCCGACTACATTGAGACAAAAAATCATTATGGTTTATGTTTTATTTTTATTTTTTTCAAACCATAAATAACCCTCCCATTTGGAAGCTGCCAACTTTCTTAAAATTGTTCTTGTTGCAACAATTTTCTCTATATAGATCAGTAATTTAAACAGAATTATTTTCTCTTTGATTCATTTTCATGCAAAAACTGAAAATCCATTTTTATCCACATTCTACCAAGATACTTCATGGTAGCTTTTCCCTTAAACATGAGTATGTTTGCAAAAATGTACAATTGTGTTGGCAGAGGCAGGGGAAGACAAGATTTGTCTGAATGAAAAAAAAATCGCCTGAATGTAGTCAATATTCAAGATGCTGACAGATGCTGTTTCCTAGTTACAGGTGTGAATGAGGGTCCACAGGGGGATCATAGAGTTTCCAGATCCACCCACTTTATAACCTATTCATGACCAAACAACTGGTTTTGGAAAAAAAAAAAAAAATTGTGGAGAATGGTAAGATGAGAAAAATGCTGAGATATACTATCTCCCAGAGGGGGGAAAAGTGCAAATAAATACCAGTTTTTCCCATAAAATTTCAAGGGTGTCACAAGCCTCCTGACCAGGCTTAAGAATAGCTGCTCAAGAACTCAACTCAGAATCAAATCAAAGAGAATATTAGAGAGTGAATTGAAAATAAATTGTCCAGGGGCCCCTGGGTGGCTCGATCGTTAAGGCCTGCCTTCGGCTCAGGTCATGATCCCAGAGTCCTGGGATCAAGCCTGGCACTGGGCTCCCTGCTCCTTGGGAAGCCTCCTCCTCCCTCTCCGACTCCCCCTGCTTGTGTTTCCTCTCTTGCTGTGTCTCTCTCTGTCAAATAAACACATTAAAAACAAATCTTAAAAAAAAAAAAAGAAAAGAAGTTGTCCATAATATAAACACAATTGACTCCTGTATTAGTAACTTTTAACTGCATAACAACTGACAACATGCCCCGCTAAGAAATTAGCTTAATGTTATAAGTCATAACCTAAGAGGGATAAAAAAGGAAGAAGACTGATCAAATAAAATCAAGTAACTGCCTTTAAATCAGACCCAAGATTACAATTATAAAACCGTACCCATGATCAAAAACCATGAAGTAGGAGTTATTGAAACCTATTGATTGTTTTTGAACAAAGACTATTAGAATTATCTCCCAAATTTAGAAGTGATCAATCAATTTACTAGTAGAAAACCAGTACCTTTAAAATTAGTTCCTAATGTATCTTTTACTTTTTATTTCAACCTAAAGAAAGGGGAGACACAAGAGGGTTTGTTTTGTTGTTAATAAATGAGTTAACACACTTGCCCTTTAAAAAAAAAAAAAAAGATTTTATTTATTTATTTATTTGACAGAGATCACAAGTAGGCAGAGAGGCAGGCAGAGAAAGAGAGGAGGAAGCAGGCTCCCTGCGGAGGACAGAGCCCTCAATCCCAGGACCCTGGGATCATGACCTGAGCAGAAGACAGAGGCTTTAACCCACTGAGCCACGCAGGCGCCCCACACTTGCCTTTTTCTTAATGGCTGAGCTCCACTTCTAGTTTTTTGCTTTAGGAAGCTATCAAATCAGTAGACAGTATCTGTTTACATGAAAGTCTACTGGAAGCCACCTGATTTCTAGAAAGGCAGGAGTCTTCCCAAGAAGGGATTCCCAGTGGAGACACCTATGTCATCAGCGAGGGTCTAGTACCATTCCCCCAGTGCGGCTGCACATGCTCAGTGTGGCCCCGCCCCCTGTGCGGGGACCCCGCCTGGCATCCCTGTCACCCATCTTCACCTTTGGGCATACTGCAGATGGGGTGAGAGCCTAACAAATGCCTTTATATTCCCTTTGACTTATTGCAAAAAGCACTCTTTCCTTTAAATCTGGCTGTAAAATGGCACTTGTCTTAATGGTTGTTTTATGAAATCAGATATCATCTACTTTCCCCAAAAATAAATTATTTTAAATTGTGCAAGAAACATTAAATGACAGTCTAAGGAGCATTCCTAGATACGGAGGGAGTGTTTATCCCTTGAAACATGTCACCTAAGAGGCTGCTGTGTGCCCTGGGGTGGCTCGATGTGCAGGCTGATCAGTGAGGGGACCCCAACTGTCCCTTCAGGCATGTCAACTGCGCCTGTTATCAGAAAACTCCTCTTCCCCTTTTCTTTTAAAACTGCCCTGGATTGGGCCACAAACTGGTCACAATACACATAACCCAACTGGGTGGGATGGTGTGGGGTGTGAGGGTCAGCTGCTGCGGCAGTGGACGATGGCATTAACAAGATGAGTCACACTTCAGGATTACAACAGTGGTTCCCAAGCAAAAAATCTGAGCAGGGCCACAGGGAAGGGTACACAGTATCTTTTTGCCTGCAGATCCCTAAAAGGCCATAGGAGTGCATCTCTAAAAATAGGAAATTAAATATAGAAGTTCCAAGGTCCAGATCCCCTGTCTTACAAATGAGAGAACAAGTTAAATATTAATAGGTCTATAAACATGAGGTCAACAATTTCTACTGAAACTACTTCATCAAATAAATAATTATATCTGCAGTTATTTTCATCATATTAAAACCTCTTCTGATTCTCAAAAAAAAAAAAAATTGAGATCTTAGAGAGGACAATTTATCTAAATGTCAACGGCCAGTTAACATTAGTGTAGGGAGGGACCCAAGCCCCGGGCTCCCTGTGCTTGGCCATTGAGTTTCCGCTTTGCCTTTTCCTCATCGCCTCATTCTGTCAAGGATTTGACAACATCAAATCCTAAAGGAGTTAGGGCCTTTCTTAAAAATCAGTCTCTATGTCTTCATCAGAGACCATTTGGTTGCTCTCCTGCTAGGCTGGAGGTTGTTACTTCCTGCATGGTTTGGGTTCTGCCTCCCAGTCACTGGCTGGGCACACCTGGGTGTGTGCAGGCCTAGTCTGCCCCCATGACAATGATGTTCAGCCAGAAAATCAGCCATCCTGGATCACAAAGACCCATTCCCCTGGGTCAGCCACTGGTGCTCAGGCTGGGCGATTCTTATTCCAGTAGCCTTCTTCAGAGGTCTTTAAGGTGCGTGTCCCCCTTTGGGTTAAACTCTACGTCAGCACTGAGATGATTCCTACGTGGTAACTCTGTCTGCTTCTTCTCCTCTTGTAGCTCACACAGTCCTCAGGCCTGAATCTGCCACCATTCCCTCCCCGATTGTTGCTCTGTGGGGTCATCATGAGGATTTTAGCCAGTGGGTTCTCGCCCTAGTGACATCTGCCAAGACCTAAAACATGATCCAGAAGGGAAAAAAAAAAAAAATCATTAGGCAAAATGAGAAGTTAACAGACAAAATGACCCTGCCATCGCTAGACTTCCTCTGTTATTTTCTTTGTATCATTTTCTTTCTTTCTTTCTTTCTTTTTCTTTTTTTCCCTCAGATGTTGGTTTATATCCGGTTGCATATCAAACCAGCATCTCTTTCTCCACGCAAGGCATCTAGTTTGGCTTAACTGAATACCACTCAGAAAACGGGGTGGACAATTCAGTTCCGTGTGGTTATTTCTGAGCTTCCCTCTCTCCTTGTTGGAGACGTATTTCTAAAACATCGAAGTGTTCTGTATACATTTTACACGGGCAGATATTTCTGCTTCAGCAATTGGGTTACAAAATGCTTTCAAGGAACTCAGGATGGGGAGCTCCAAATAAAACATATCTTCTTTAATGAAAACAGCAAAAAGCTCAGTTACAAAGTTATAAAGTGTGAATTCTGCTCTGCGCAAGGCATGTTGGGACTTGTCATTATTCCCGTTCCCCGCCCCACCCGGAGAGGGGACCATTCATGACTTATCAACCCGCCCATACATTGTGACCAATCAAGAACCGCTGTGTCTTATCGTCCGGCCAAACGGGACCCTCCTGACCTCCCTTCCGTGAGCCCCGCTGTGGTGCTCTGCATCAGCACGGTTGGTGTCACGTGTGGTTTGCTGCATGGCAGTGTACTGGTCGACTGATCCGTGTGTAAACTGATGTACCACTGGTGTTTTAACCCTGTGTCTCTGTGACTGTTTGCGCTGCTAGCTGCTACACCGAAGCAACCATGCTGTTCTCAAGGCAGTCTACCCTTGATGATTTAGATGGACCAGAAACTGTTCCTAAAACAAGTGAGCGTGCTCGACCTAGGCTTCGTAAAATGTTCAGCATGGATATGTCCTCCTCATCAGCTGACAGTGGCAGTTTAGCATCAAGGTGCTTAACTCGTGCATGCTTTGTTCCAGAATTTTCTCACTTGTTCCCTTTCGTGTCATTGCAAATATAAGTTCTTGTGATGTGTGTTTGTTTTTGTTTGTTTGTTTTTGTTTTTAACTTTTATGCTAAGAATTTGCATGACTCACCAAAGCATCACTGCCCCTCATTCTGGGACATAACTGCTCAGTCCCAGGACGGCATTCTCTGAAACTAACCGCTCTTCAGTTTTTGTCTGTTAGGAGTTTCTTAAAAATCCTTACCATAAACATTGTCCTCCATTTTGTAAGTATTTTGCACTTTTCCTTTTTAAAGAAATAAGCATGCTTCCTCCTTGATTGAGAGCTCATGTAGGTAGTCCTCATGGGGGGAAATGTGTCAGGAAAGATACCTGCAATAGAAAAAAAAAATTATGCCATCAGTAGTCCATTTTCATTGGTAATAATAATTCTGTAAAAGTTAGAATATATTTTGCCATTGGTTTTAGACAAGAATATTACGATGCAGTAGAATAGATCAACTTTATAGATAGTAACTTGTATTGCTTTGGGCTTGAGTTGTCTCATTAGATCCTACCATAAAAGCATAATAATTCAGAAAAGAAATTATGTATATATGGTTCAAAAGTTCTTTCTGGAATTGCCTTTTAGAATGGCCCACGGAGGCACAGAAACATCAGCTATATTATGTTCATCCTCACACCAAAATAACCCAGTCCAAGACAAATTCCAATTTTGACGGTACATAGTGGTAAATCAGAGGGGTGTTAACTTATTTTTGTTGGCACCTGTATATCTTAATACAGTGCTGCAGTATGCTGGAGCCTGGCATTGATGGGAATGCCTTGGCCGTTTAAGGTGTCCCCTGGCAGGCCCATGCTATTCTACTCCACTTGGTTGAGCCTTGAAGGTCCCAGGACTTGCTGAATCCCTTCCGGGCCAGACCTTTTCCAAAACCACAAAAAGCATGTTTGTAATTGGTTAAAGTCCAATTGGAAGTTAGACTTGATGTGGGGTTGGCTCTACTGCTCTGAAAACTGTCTAGGGGATCAATTTCATGACCTTCCTACGAGGCTGTTTAATGGAGGTAAGTCCTAGAAAAAAAAATCCAGTTTGTCTTGACATTCTAAGAGCTTTCTTTGTGGCATCCATTCGGAAGGCCAAGGTCCTGGGAACATTAAACACATGAGTGGGCACCAAGGGCTCACACAAATGTCCTTCAGTCTCGGGATGTCACAAAGGGCTCTGCCAAGGTCTAGTCATCCATCCATCCATCTGCCCATCCATACCTCCATCCACTCACTTATTGACATGTCTACATTGGTGTCTATGATAAGAAAAATGAGTACAATCTGTGTATTTGAGAATCTCAGTGTTTGTGGACCCTAGCTGCTCATGATATGCCATTCAAATAACAGTACAATTTTGTAGTCTAATACAGTATGGCTCTACATCCACCAGATTCCACAACTCCAGAACATCTTTACCCTTCTCCCCTTTGGTGGGCTGGGGTGGACAATAAAAACAGGCATGCCATGAATTTCCCTGGCGTGGCTGCTGTTCTTTCATTTCCAAAGTCTCCAGCAGGGACTTGACAGAGAAAGTGAGGAGATTAAGGACTAAAGAAGGAGAGGTACAAGAGAGATGGACAGGTCGCCAAAAACAGAAGATAAAGCTATGTAGGGAAGCTTAGAGAGAATGAATACCCCCGGGGGGGAACAGGTAGAAGAAAATAAATTGAAGTCTTTGGCGGGGGGAGGTGGCGAGAGCAGGAGTACACCCTGGGTTGAAGTGAACAGTTCAAAGGGAGAAGGGCTAAGGGTCCACAGCACTGGGGAGAAGAAAATAGAGGTGTTTGCATGTACCAGGCAAGGAACCCAGTGTGGGATGGCTGGGAGCTGGAGAGATGGTGAAACTTCAGTCAAATGTGATAAGCACCAGTAAGAAAAAGGCAAAGGATGGGAAAATAGGGAGGAGGAACAGATAGTCAACAAGAATGCTACTTTTTTCCATAAAGAATGTCATTGTTTAATTTAGCCAATGTTTTATGGTTCCTATCTTCCCCCTTATGGGTAGGGGTTGACCTGTTGTGTGGAACTGAGAGTAGAGTACCTCCCCACCAACACCCACAGACCCAGGCTGGCAAGGCTTCCTGTTTCCATGGGCACCTCCTTTAATAGAATGCTAGGTGTGCTATGCTAACTCTGTCTTGATTTGGAAATAAACACCAGAACCCATGGCTGTGAGTCCTGACCCAATTCAGACAACCTCTGTGCATAGGTGGGTTTAGCAACTGAGGAGTCATGTCGTGGGACTCGCTCAGGTTTTCAACAATGATGTGTGAGCCCTGTCGGCTTTTGCATTTAAGAGCCTGCAGTCTGCAGGCTCTGAGGACCAGACTGGGATATCCTGAAGGAATAAAGCAGGTGGAATGCAGCCTTGGGGTGGGAGTGGGGAGATGGGGTATTTAATTTTCTCTTAATGTTTTTATTGGGGAGTGCTGAGAAGGTGTCTTGAGAGTCCGGAGGATACTAAGACCGGGTGTGTGCCGTCCCTCTCTCTGGACAGCGAGCCCACGCAGTGCACCATGTTGTACTCGCGCCAGGGGACCACGGAGACCATCGCAGAGGTGGAGGCCGAGCAGGACGACGAGGCGGCGGCCGGAGACGCCAACCAGGCCGGGGAGGCCGCAGCGGACATGGGGCCGGAGGAGGCCTCTGAGGTGTCGGAGACCTCAGAAGTCGGCCTCACCCCAGACGCCGAGCTGCCGCAGTACTCCACCGAAGACGGGGACGTGGAGGCCCCGCCGTCCTACAGCAAGGCAGTCAGCTTCGAGCGCCTGTCCTTCGGCTCGCGGGATGACTCTGCAGGCCAGAGCCACATGGCCGTGAGCCCCGACGACAGCCGCTCGGACAGGCTGGAGTCCAGCATCTTACCGCCCCTGACTCATGAGCTGACAGCCAGCGAGCTGCTGCTGAACAAGTAAGAGCCTGCGAGGGCTTCTCTGTCCGCTGTGCTTGGAGATAGAGAAACTCACGGAAAACCATCCACCTAGACCATCAAGCGCACAGACCCAGGGCTGGATGCTTCCATCATAGAAGGATAGAACTAGCAAAAGCGGCCCAGAGTAGACACTTGTGCACACATTTCTTTCTGTAATAGACTATTAGGTTGACTCCACCGGAAATCTGGGGAACATGGGAAGGTGGGTCATTCGGGAGGGATCATGCGAGGTGGAAATCAGTAATTTGGAGACATGAAGACCCATTTCGTATGGTGTTGTTCATTTTAACAGGATGTTCCATGATGACGAGCTTGAAGAGTCCGAGAAGTTCTATGTTGGCCAGCCCCGGTTCTTGCTGTTGTTCTACGCCATGTACAACACTCTCGTGGCGCGCTCAGAAATGGTGTGCTATTTTGTGATCATACTCAACCACATGGTCTCTGCCTCCATGATCACCCTTGTGCTCCCCATTCTGATCTTCCTCTGGGCCATGCTGTCTGTCCCCAGACCCAGTAGACGATTCTGGATGATGGCCATTGTCTACACAGAGGTAAGCTTGGGGTAAAACCTTCCTGGAAATCACTTTTGGCACTCTAGACTGGTCTGCCCTGTCTCCAGGACAGTTTAAATAGGACATTCAGCTAGATGGATGCTCTTAGATAGGCACTCAATTATTACTCACAGCTGTTTAATGCTAGCAATTGCGTATCTTTTCACATTACACACCTCACACAAGATAGGTGCTACTGTCATTCCACTTAACAGAGAAGGAAACAGCTTTAGTGAGACTAAATAATTCACCAGAGTTACCCAGCTGGCAAACGGTGGGGTAGGCTTTTGAAATCTGCTCATGTATCCTGTGATATTAGCCACTGAGATAATGTGTTATGCAGAATTAAGTGTGGTGCCCGGTGCTGGTGGATGTCCAGTGACTGGACACTGAATTATACAATACAGTAATCATTGTGAATATAGTTTGGTACAACAGGTATATTTGCTTTAATGTATATTTGGCATATTTGGTACAACAGGTATATTTCCCATTTTTAAGCCTAAAAGCCAGTGTCCACACACCTAAACACAAAGCCATATAAGCACCTACCTAAAAATCTGAATGACACAAGGGTAAGATACCTTATTTCCATCAAATGTAAAGGGACAGGAGACAGTCTTCCCAATTGTCTAAACCTGCTTTTCAGTCCTTCCCCCATTAAATATATACAAGATCGCAAATTCCCATAACAACAATAAAACTGGGAATAAAATAGGAGACTTGATAGACTTTGTGCCTTGGGTTATTGTAGTTCTTTGTGTTCTGAGAACTTCTCAGAATCAGTCTGAGAAGAAGACTGATTTTCTTACCTGGCTCATAAGGGAAAGTTTTTGCTAACGATGATGCTATGATTGCTTCTTAAAGGAAAGAACTCAAGATGGATGTACATTTAGATTCTAGAAATTGTGTTGGTTTATAGGTAGTTCAATAAAATGAAACAAAGTTGTCAAATCATCTCAAAAGCATCAGTTTAAACTATCATGTATCTCTTTTCCATAATAATTATTTAAATACATTTAAATGCTTATAAAAATAAAAGATGCAAAACCAAATTTGTGTCTATTATTTTAAGTAGGCTGTCCATCACACTCTTGTCAAAATAATAGCTTGTAAGTATTATTTCCACTACATCACTTTGTGATCTGGGATGTAAATGACTCCCCATTGGGGAATGGGTCTGTTCTCTCTAACACCTCTGAGTGGGGGAGTTTCTAACCTAGAAGGGGAAGAAGAGCAGGTACTAAGAACTTAGAAAAGGGAACAAGAGCTAATTATATGTAGCTTTCATCATAAAATAAAATCTTCTTTTTTAAGTTAAACTGGGTTCTCCATTTTCTCCATCACACCGAGGAGTGAGGAAGTGGAAAATTAAGTTGGTGTTAATTCACTCTACAACTTAGACTGTGTGCCAAAACCCTAGAACTGTGCTAGGCATGAGAAAAGGACAATAAGTTTTGTTTTGTTTTGTTTTTTAAGTTGTTTTCTGTTTCTCAATGGCTCACAGACCAATGTGGCAAAATATGTTGTAAACAAATAACTGCCCTATAATATGACACAAAACTGCATTAGAGTATACAAAAAATGATGGATACTGTGCCTCATGCAGCTTAATGGGTACAGGGAGGAGGCTATCATGGCCATTTATCAGCAGAAGGCATCTTAGACCTGAGTCTTAAGGGATGAATGTAAGGTCACCAAAGGATGGAAAGCAAAGGGAGGTGCAAGTCATTGGGAATAACCCATGCAAAGAAACAAAGGCATAAGATATTCTGGCATGTGCCAGGAATGACAGCTGGATGTGAGGGCTGGTAAGCAGGCTGTGAGTGAACAGCACAGTAGCAGGATCTCAGGAATGTCAACACAGTTTATGCTCAGGACTTTCTCCTCTTGGTATGGGAATATTTGAACAGAGGCATGACTCAGATATGCTTGTCTTTAGCAAGGTTTTACACAAAATGAAAGTGAAGGTATGGAGACCAGCTAGGAATCCGTCTTAACCATCTGGGTGAGAGGTCATAGGATGTGAACTTACCCAACGGCGATAAGGCTAAGATGAGTGGGTAAATGAGAAGTTTTAGTAAATGACTAAAAGAGTTTGGGGTGTGAGTGAGAATGGGAAAGGCGATGTGATCTTCAGATTTCTGCTCTGGCATCCGGGATATGGCGGTGCTGCTCAGCACAATAAGGAGCATAAGACCGTTTCTGCTTTTTGCAGAAGCTTGACTATAAGAAGGAGAGAGACAGGAGAAGAGGCAAAACTAAACTCTAGGTCAAAAGAGGACTTTTAAAATATTTTTATTGATGAATTGCATATATTGCAATTAACCTCTGCTGACACAAATGTTAGAGGTATGCTTAAATGAGACACATCAATTTTCTCATGTGTTTTTATCGCAAATAACCTCGCTACAATATTTATATCCTGAACCAGTCACCATAACTGGCAAGTTTTTGTTTTATTTACTTTTATTTCTTCTTGAGGAGAACTTCCAGGGAGCAATAAAACGGTGAGAAGAAAGAGGTCAGAGGAAAGTGAAAATAGGCCTCAAAACTACCTTAGATGCTCAGAAGGACAACAAATTAAAGCAATACGTAAAATATGAACTTCTTTTTGTTCAAGCTTTTCCTCATTACCATTTTTAATAACTGAATAATTATATAAATATCTCATTAAATCAATATGAATTAGCCAACTCTTCAAAAGTAGAGAAAGTCATTTAAGTAGGTGTCATGGGTAACCTGATGGGGCTTCATGTATGTGCAATGAGAAGCCTTAATGAGAGTAAAATACTACTCTGGGTCTAAAGTCCATGTGAGAATGATAATGTTATTATTCCACATAATTTTGTTCGTTCTTATCATCAAAACTATGAAATAATATTTTAATTTTTATATCACTGTTTTTCATATATAACCATTTTTAAAAAGGAGTAATTTTTTTTTTTCATTTCCATCATGTGTGTGTAGGTGGCAATTGTGGTCAAGTATTTTTTCCAATTTGGGTTCTTTCCCTGGAACAAGAATGTGGAATTGAACAAAGATAAGCCTTACCACCCACCTAATATCATAGGAGTGGAAAAGAAAGAAGGTTATGTCCTTTATGATCTCATCCAGCTCCTGGCTCTTTTCTTCCATCGGTCAATTTTGAAGGTATGGCCCATGAACACCTGACCAGCACATGTTGATAATTGCAGCCACCTGTGATATTCCTGGAGAACCTGAACATTAGGATTGGTCATGAGGCCAGGGGGCCAATGAGTGCATTTACTTGTATGCTCTTTTTCTTTTTTTTAACAGTTGTATTCATTTAGTGGACATTTTCTCTAACACGATGTGCTCAATAATGGAACTTGTAATAAATTTGGGAGAAAATTCCCCCATATTTCTACTTCTATTATGAGCATATCCTACTTAATCCATATTTGTGGGAATTGCTTGGATGGTGTGAAAAATCTTCATGCCTAATACATTAAATTCTGCTCCATGTTTAAGCCAGAACACAAGAGAGCTACAATTTAGGAAGTGTCATATTGCCTCTCATCTCAAGTCTAACTTCTGCCTAACTTCTTTTAGTAGAATTGCTTTTGTTTGATACTTCTTGCCATGAAATTATTAGCTTCAGTGAGAGGCCATACATTAAATGGTTGAGTGAAGCCCAGAGCTGTACTTCTTGTAAGCTTATTGAGAAAGCCATTCATTACACTACTCTGGGAAGACCTATCTACAGGATGGCCTGTCTCAGAGTCAGCAACTCTTGTCATCCCCCTGAAAAAACCATGTGGGTCTTTCTTCTTGTACACTGTGAACTATAAGCTAAGCTTTCAAATGTACTGCTCAACTCTAAAAATTAGAAATTGCTGCATAATATACATTTTATGTATAAATGAGCCAATTGTCACTACTTTACTTCCACCTCTTATTTTAACCTCGTCTCCTTTTATAAAATATTTCAATTTCATCTTATCAAGAAGTATCTTTATTCATTCCTGTTTATTAAAGATTTTGTTTAGTTATTTTACAGGGAGACACACAGCGAGAGAAGGAACACAAGCAAGGGAGAAGGAGAGGGAGAAGCAGGCTTCCTGCTGAGGAGAGAGCCCAATTCGGGGTTTGATCCCAGGACCCTGAGCCAAAGGCAGATGCTTAACAATTGAACCACCCAGGCGCCCTATTAGTTCTTTTTTAGAACAAGCAGACATAAGTTAATACACACACACACACATATACAGACATATGTAATAGTGTGTTTGACTTCTGTCCTACTCAGTATGCTATTTCAAACTGGGCTTCCTCTACATATTGCTTGGTCAGGATCTTAACTCTGTCTTCACCATCTTGCCAAATGTGCTAGTCTCTAACCTTCCACTCAGGGGGAGTCTTACCTGGGTCACAGGAGAGTGGTGGGTTTGCAAAGGTATATTATCCAAGGAAACCAGTTAGCCAGAATTGAGTTTGCCTAAAATTTCCAGTTCTTCTGATAAATTATCTGAATTCATACAGTTTACTAATTCTTGTTCTGAATATATTAACAAATATAGTAACATCATTATTTTAGTTCTAGAAATTGAAGTTTAAATTTCTGCATTTAAGACATGGTGGCATTATGTTGTATGTCAATTATACCTCAATTAAAAAAAAAAAAAAAAAAACGACATGACCGTATAAATCTGGTCACTTCAGAACTCCCTTGCAACTTGCTATATCCTTTTGTGCATCATTTTAAAAATTTGTGGGAGCACCCGAGTGGCTCAGTTGGTTAAGCATCCAACTCTTGATTTGAGCTCAGGTCATGATCTCAAGGTCGTAAGATTGAGTCCTGTATTTGGCTCTGAGTGGAACATGGAGCCTGCTAAAGATTCTGTCCCTCCCCCTGGACCCCTCCCCTGCTGCTCACTCTCTCTCTAAAAAAATTTTTTAAAGTTAAAAATTAAAAAAATTAAAAATTTTTATAAATCTTTGGACATTTGTGCTGCCTTTTTACTAATATTTAAATGGTTTAACAGTTATAATTGTATATTTAAAGCATACAATAAGCAAAATGTTGGTGCTTCATATTGATATACTTACTCTGATTTCTTCTTAGAATATATCATATTTATGATGACTGTATTTGAAGTACTATTATGCTAAAATTTTGGCTAATGAAATGAAAAATGGTTTTTGGAATGACAAATCTTTTCATAAGAAGACAAAACTACCCTACAGCTTTGCAAACCTATTAAGCAATGCTATGGAAACCAAACAACTCCAACCATATGGAAATTTCAAAAGCAGTTAAAACTATCCTATTTGGTATGAGTTTCTAGAAATTTTATAAATAATTGGAAGAGTTCACTAACAAATATGCTACTACAAAAGTAGTAAAAGAATCTAAGTATGCTCAAATGTTGGCAAAAGAAGAAGCAACTTTTAAAATGATTTAAAAGAAATTAATAGAAGTTGAAAATTCCCATTATGAAAATCTAGAATGTTTGCTATGTTTATAAGAATAGCATCCATTGAATAACTTTTAGAAATAATGTATTTATATATATTTAAGAAGTCTGTAAATTAGATGACTTTTTCTCTTAATGAATTGATCATTTTCCAAGTTATTTTTTGACCAACTGAATTTTGGCAAATTGGCCTGGAGCTCTTGTCCTCTATAGCCTGTGTCAGAGGGAGGACTGGGCAAGGTCTTAGGGAATAAATGCATAGCTTGGCAGTCTGGGAACCCAGAAGACAGTGGGCTCACTGGGTGGCTTTGAGCTGAAGCAGGAAGTTCATTGGAAGGGGAATTTTCTATCCAGGTAGCATCTTGCACCAGCAGCGTCCCTGGTTTTTCTCAGCCTCTTCTGCTGTCCTTCCTCCTATCTGTCCTACCAGGCCCCTTTGCTTATTCTTTGAAACAAAATCCAGACTCTGCAGAGTGCATCATAATCCCTATCTAATATGAGGACCAATATTTTTTGGGTAAAGCATTTGCAGTACTGTTCCTGACTCAGCCATGTGTGAGCCAGAGGTTCACATCTTACTGTGTATGTTGACAGAGGGAAGCATCATTATTCAAGTGTAGATACTTGGTGAACATGCGGCCATGGAAGTAAATTCACCCACTGATATTTAAAATGCTACTTGTAAGCACAGAGAAGGATGTTCTAGAAAGTGCTTTCACTCAGGAACATGTCAAGTGATTCTAATTTCACCTTTACTCCATCTGCCAAACATTATCTACCTCCATGTCAGTTAATGAGCCATGCTCTTATGATCTACACTCTCTCATTCCCCTTCTACTGCGACCATCATAAACATCTAGATAAAAAGCTTTCTTAGAATCCATTGATTTTCTAATCTTTTCTCCACTTTACTGTATGAATGACAAAAAAATTATAGTATATTTAAAGTGTACCCTGCGGTGATGTGATTTACGAAGACACTGTGAAAGGATCCCTTCCATGGAATCCCATCACCTCCCATATGTATTTGTGTTCTTTGGTCTTTTCCTTTATTTATGTATTTATTTATTTATTTGACAGACAAAGATCACAAGTAGGCAGAGAGGCAGGCAGGGAAAGAGGGGGAAGCAGGCTCCCTGCCAAGCAGAGAGCCCAATGCGGGGCTTGATCCCAGGACCCTGGGACCATGACCTGAGCCGAAGGCAGAGGCTTTAACCCACTGAGCCACCCAGGCGCCCCTATTTATTTATTTATTTATTTGGTAAGAACATTTAAATTCTAACTCAGCACATGTCAGTTATATAATACAGTGTCACCAACTACAGTCACCATACCTCACGTCTGGCTTTCTAATCATGGGGGATGAAATACTGTAGGGAAGAATGTAGCTCCCTCCCTTGGAACGCCCCCCTGAGTTGTCCCTTATGCTTTCTCAGTGCCATGGCTTGTGGGATGAAGACGACATCACCGACAGTGGCACAGACAAGGAAGAGTCAGATGATGAGCTCTCCCTCAGTCGTGGCAGGAGAGCCTCCTCCGATTCTCTGAAATCCATCAACCTGGCTGCATCGGCAGAGTCGGTACACGTGTCCTTCCCAGAGCAGCCTTCTGCCATCCGGAGGAAGCGATCAGGAAGCAGCTCCCAGATATCCCCCAGATCCAGCTTTTCTTCCAATAGGTCCCAAAGAGGTATCTGTCACAAGATATCTTTAGGCTAGAGTAACTCCTGAGTTTTCTGGTTCTTCTGGTACTAGTGATCTGGGTCTCCAGTAAAGGGGTTTACTGGGTGCTGTCAAAGAGATATATTGTGATACGAAAAGAAAGTACTTTGAAAACAGACAGACCCGAGTTCAGATCCTCTCTCAGCTGTGTGACCTGGGACGGTCACTTCATTCTTCAAAATGTCTGATTCCTTCCCAGGACAAAGACTTCAGGTAGTTGTGCAAAAGTGCTAGGACACTGCCCATGTGGGCACATGCTAATTTTTAAGTCATATCCAGAGAATTCTGCTGGGTGTGGCCAGAATGCTATAAAGCAGAATTCATTTTGAAAATATTTTTACATTTAATCAAGGGAACTTTCAGCAAAACTATCTATTTATACTCTCGTTCATTTCTTATAAACTAGTGAGTATCACCAGCAGATAGACAGACCCGATAGTTGCCACTCGTGGAGAAAATGGGTTTTTGTATGTATAGTGCTCCTGTCTGAAGCTTTCCAAGCACCTGCGTATCCATCTTCGGAATACACTTTTCAGGCAGACACCGGCAGTCGTCCGATATCCACTTTGCCGTTAGAGAAATATAGACATGAAAAAGGCTTGGGTCACTGACCCGATCTGGAAACCCCACAACCTGGGGTCCTTTCTTCCAGTCTCTTTCTTCTGGGGATAAATATCCCATAACAACCTCAGAAAGAGTGAGTGTTGGGTGTAGAAGCCCACAGATGCATTTTACTGGGGAGGCAGAGGTGAAACTGCAGGTTCCCATCCTTAGTCACTGTTCTTACAGGCACCTGTGTATGCGCACCCTCTAAATCTACTTCACGCCATCCCTCCGCCCTGGGGGTCCCAGGGGTTTCTGTGGTTCTTATGTCAACAAACCCGTAACTCAGAACATCTTGGTTTCTTTGTATTTCTAGGCAGCACAAGCACAAGGAACAGCAGTCAAAAAGGAAGCAGTGTTTTAAGCATCAAGCAGAAAAGCAAAAGGGAACTTTATATGGAAAAGCTTCAAGAACATTTAATCAAAGCAAAAGCATTTACCATAAAGAAGTGAGTGCCTGAACACACTTGCGTGGCGTGTTTTATTTTAGGGTGAGAAAGCTGGTATAAATTGCTTGATATAAACCAGGACTAAAGGGCAGAGAAGTTACTTCTCATATCGCAGATATCATCTGCTTAAGGCAGAAGAAAATGACCAGTTATCCTATTGTTCTTAATGGAGATATAACTGACATATAATATCAGGTTAAGTTCAGGTGTACAACATAATGATTCAATATATGCATATGCTGGGGAATGATCACCACAATTGTCTAGCTAACGTTCATCACCACGTATAGTCGCAAATTTTTTTTCTTATAATGAGACTATTTAAGATTAATGTACAGTACAGGATTAATTAACCGTTGTCACCATGCTGCACATTACAGCTCAGGACTAACTTATTTCATAACTGGAAGGTTGTATGCTTTGACCCCCTTCACCTATTTGCCCAGTCCCCACTCTGGCAATAACCAATTTGTTCTCTGTATTTATGAGTATGGATTTTTTATTTTGATTTTTCTTTAGATTCCATATATTAGCGAGATCATATGTTATCTGATAGTCTCTGACTTGTTCCATGTATAATACATATATTTCAATGTATGCCATTGTTTGTTTGTGTGTGTGTGTGTGTATACACATTTTTGTTTTCCATTTATCCATCAATGGACACTTAGGCAGCTTCCCTATCTTGGCTATTGTAAATAATGCTGCACTGAACCTGGGGTGCAGACATCTTTTTGAGTTAGTAGTTTTCGTTTCCTTCAGATAAATACCGAGAAGTAGAATTGCTGTCTCATATGGTAGCTCTGTTTTGAATTTTAGGGGGAGCCTCCATATTGTTTTCTACCATGACTGCTCCAATTTACATTCTTACAACAGTGCACGAGGGTTCCCTTCTTTCCACATCCTCACCACCACCTGTTATTTCTTATCTTCTCACAGGTGTGAGGGGATGTGTTGTTTTTAAAAATCAATTTTCAGTGTGATTCATTTTTATATCCATTATGTTTATAAGCACAGTTTTCCTATTTGAAGAATAAATGATTTCAGGATACCTGGTTCAGGATTTCCCAAGCATCATCATGCTAAAGCCCAACCAGACAGACAGGGGTATGATGTCAAAGTTGGAAGGGACTTAGAGAAACACTCTCAACCAAGAGAGTGGAAACTAAGGTCCTATGTCACACAGCTGGTCTCCAACAAAATGCTCGCCATCCCATGTCCAAGCGCCAGGGACATAGGGCAGCAGATGAGCCACAGGAATGGAGGAGGTTCTGGAGGGATAGCCCTGAATGTGGGCTCCGAGACCAGGTGGGCCATCCAAACTGAACATGGCCTTGAATTGAAGGCAGAGGCTGGACAAAACAAGGTGCAGTCAAAAGCCCAAGGCACCACCTGGGAACAAGGACCCAAACAGGAGAAGAGCAGGGACTACCTAATGTGTCCCTGGTGTTCGGGTCAGACTCCAGGTCTAAGCACCACCATGTAGCCCCATACAATTCTCACCCCATCCCTGAGTCTCAGGTCTGCTTCCTACCCCAGTTTTCCAGTAGAGGAAATAAAACACAGAGAACTAGGGAGCATGCTTAGGAACTCCCAGAGAGGGAGTCATTGAATCGGGTGACAAACCCCCCACCTTGAGACCTGAGACCACTGTTGTGCTTCAAGCATGAGAAGAGGCCTGTGGTCTCATCAGCAAAGAGGGCTAGAGTGCCTTCCTTGGCAAGGAATTTGTCTATGCTCTCTGTTAGAGCAGGAGGCCCCTGTAGCTGACTCTGCTAAGCCTGAAGAGGGAGGTGTGACCTGCTTGAAAAAAGAGGGATGCAGAGGAATGGAATGATGGCAGTATCTGGTCATTCCTCCCATCCGCCCCTCCTGAAACAAGTGCTGGGGGTCTCTGTTTTGCAGGACTCTGCAAATATATGTGCCCATCAGACAGTTCTTCTATGACCTCATCCACCCAGACTACAGTGCTGTGACCGACGTGTATGTGCTCATGTTCCTGGCTGACACTGTTGACTTTGTCATCATCGTCTTTGGCTTTTGGGCCTTCGGGGTAGGTTGGGGACAAAGGTCACCACGTGTCCAATGAGTAAGAGGGATGCTGTCCTGTGAAATGCCACTCATGGGTGAACCTGTTGTTTCCTTACCAGAAACACTCAGCAGCAGCAGACATCACCTCTTCACTGTCGGAGGACCAGGTTCCTGGGCCGTTTTTGGTGATGGTCCTCATTCAGTTTGGAACCATGGTGGTGGACCGAGCCCTATACCTGAGGAAGACTGTACTGGGAAAGGTCATTTTTCAGGTCATTCTCGTGTTTGGAATTCATTTCTGGATGTTCTTCATCCTGCCTGGTGTGACTGAGAGGTAAGGTGGAAGCCGGAGATGTGCACCCACTATAATGCAAATATATTCCAGGTTATCATCCCATAGGCATGGCCACAACAAAATCACCAGGTACAGACGGAAGCATGACAGAACAGCACTATGGGTTAGAAAAGTGAGAGGTCTTCATCAGCATTAAATTCAGTGTGACTCCAAAATGTGAACTGATTCCTCAAAAGCATTTTATTGCATTTCCTTATGTATTCATGGAAATAGGATATTCAGAATGAGAGAAGAGATCTGAGTAAACCAGGGTTCTCCCATTGTCATTGTCTCTATACCTTAGTAGACAGAGATGAACTGAGACATGGTCTTACAGGCATTCCTAAAAGGATGAGGGGATATCAGACTATGTCATATGAATAGTGGATGAAAAAAAAATGGGAGACCATTTAGTAGAAGAAAATATAGAGGGGTGGTGGGTGGCAGAGGACAGTAGTGTCTGCCACATAGGGTAGTTGTAAACAGCAACGTGACAGTGTTTGGAAAGCACCTGACAGGAAGAGGGTAGGAGAGGGAAGCGTTCATCTCCATGACGCCATGATGCTGCCATTGTTAATAAAGCTATTGGTGCTGGTTAAGATGCACTAGAGATGAGGTCGGAGTGGGAGAGGCACATAAAAAGAGGAAACTAATGGTCGATGGGGAAAAGGCTAGTGAGATCCTTGGAAATGGCTGGCTCCTGCCTTTCCCTCTGTGTCCTTGAAATCTAAGCTCTAGCCATATTGAACCTCTTTAGTTACTAGAGGGCACCACATTCTCCTGCACCTCAAAGGAGGCTTGCTGCTCTTCTGACCCACAACCAACCCACTCTTTTTCCTCACTCTTTAGATTTCCCAGGCTGCCTCCACTGGAAACACAACTTGGGACCAAACCAGTGCTTAATGCATGAGCAAATGAGTGGGTCAGTGGATAGAAGAGAAACAAGGGGGACTAGTATAAATGGGAGGTAATGGGAGCAAAGAGTCAGCACAAGAGCACGTGGGAGCACCCCTATAATGTAATAATAATGATCAATTTAATTAACATATCATTAAAAGTCTTCACGTTTAACAGGAAAATTGATCTTTTTATCATAACTCAAGGGTCATTCCTGGCCAAGCCTCATGAATAACAAGCCAATCAGGCTGGCTAATGCTTTTCCAAAGTGTGACTAGAAAGTAATGAAAACTTCTCTCATTTATGTGCTTCATAACTTGACTCAGTTGTCATTCCTAACAAGGAAATTCAGATCTCTTCTGACAATGTTGGAGCTACATGTCTGCTCTCACCCAGTGGGCTAGGCTTTGACCTTTTGATTTCAGTGGCAATGCAAATATTTTAAAAGGGAGAATGGAATTAGGATAATTTTCCATGAGTCTGAAGTAGAACTAAGTAAAGAAAGGATTTTTTTCCCCCAGAAGACTACCAACAGCCCAGTAAGTTTTTCATGCCACACTGTGTATGGAGAAAGTGAACATAGCTTGGCTGATAAAATGATTCAGATTAAGGTGAACTTTTTGTAAAAATACTAGAATTTGTTCATGAGAACATTGTGGATCTTACTTGTTAGTCTTTAAAACAGAATAAACGTGATTTTCTAAATAAACCATATTCAACACCCATGGTAGTTAGATGATTAATGTTGATTATTTCTGTGACATTTGAAAACATCAACACACATTCTCCATCAGCCTTCCTAGAAACTCTTAATTTCAGAGTGAGAGAGACCTTTAAAATATTTCTAGACCTACTAATTCTACAGATGAAGGTGGGTGAAACCAAACAGAAGAGGGATCTCCCAAAGTCACTCAACTAGCTAGTAGTGAGATCAGGTCCCAATCACAGACCTCCTGACTCAATTGTTATGCTACACCTCTCCTCCCATGGGGAGCATCCTATACTCACTTCCAAGCAGTTTTGTTATCATAATATAACCTACTATTCATTATGCACTTATGAAAAGAATTTAATTTTTTCACCCCCAGAAGAGAGCTCCAGAACATTGATCTTGCCCTGTCTCGATAGGACAGTCCTCAACAAAGACTGATGCTTCCAGGACCATGGCAATGGCGAAGCCCTAGAGAAACCTTTAGCAGGATCAAATCACCAAATAGTTGGGTCGTTCCCACTTGTATGAGTTTCTTATTGATGCTGTAACAAATTACCACCAACTAAGGGCTTAAAACAAAATAAATTTATCACCTTAAAGTTGTGTAGGCCAGACGTCTGAAACAGGTCTCACTAGACTAAAATCAAGGTGCTGGCAGGGCTGCATTCCTTTCTAAAGGCCCTCGGGTGGGTCACCGGGATGGCTCAATTGGTTAAGTGACTACCTTCAGCTCAGGTCATGAGCCCAGGGTCCTGGGATCAAGCCCCACATCGGGCTCCCTGCTCAATTGGGAGCCTGCTTCTCCTCTGTCTCTGTTTCTGCTCTCTCGCTCACACTCACTCTCTCTCAAATAAATAAATAACATTTTTAAAAAATAAAATAAAATAACAAAAAAATAAAGTCTCTGGGGGAGAATCCCTTTACTTGCCTTTTCCAGTTTCTGGAGATGCCTTCCTTGGCTCATGGCCCCACCTTAGCCTTCAAAGGCAACCTCAGTGCATGGAGTCCTCCTCTTGTTGCATTACTCTGAACATTCCTCTGCCATCTTGGCTGCTTCTGAGCACAGCTGAGAAAGATTTCTCCCTTGAAGGGCTCATTAACTAGATTCAACCCACCTGGATAACCCAGGCACTCTCTCTACCTTGAACACCTTAACCAATCTCAAGTATTAAGTCTTTGCCATGAAACATGACATATCCATAGGTTCTGGGGATTAAGCAATAATACCTTCCAAACCAAACAGAGCTGGAATGTTTGTTAAAATGACTGAATGAATGAAAACTTCTTTTGTGCATATTGAATTGCATAATCAATTCAATTTTTCATTTATTGAGCACCTGCTAGGTCCAGGGCAGTAGACCAGGTGAAAAGGGGCATGACATCCCTGTGACTAAAGCAGGGACCTGGCCCCTTGTGGGAAGGACCATACAATGGCTTCCATGGATTGAGGCAGTATGATAAATACTAAAAGTTTGACTGCAGTTGTACACCTAAAACTAATATAATGTTGTATGGCAATAATATCTCAGTTTTTAAAGTAATAAAAACTTAGAAAGTTATCAAACAGTTCCATCATCCAGAACTCTTCTTGTCCATTGTAGGACCCTTCTCCCTCACATCTAGCTTCTGGGACATGCATTTTCTGTTCTGTTACAATTTTGCCTTTCCCAGAATGTCGTATGAATGGAATCACACATTCCATGGCCTTGAAGGCTGGCTGTTTCCACTTGGCATAGTGTATTTGATATTCATCCCTGGTGTGGCCTGTGTCAGTACTTAATTATTTTTTGTTGGTCAGTAATATTCTATCATATAAATGTTCCAAAGAGTGTTTAAATATAGAAAAGTTTAAGGACATTTGGGTTGTTTTTACTTCCTTTTTTAAAGATTTTATTTATTTATTTGAGAGAGAGAGAGAGGGAATGAGAGACAGAGAACATGAGGAAGGAGGGTCAGAAGGAGAAACAGACTTCCTGCTGAGCAAGGAGCCCCATGTGGGACTCAGTCCTGGGACTTCAGGATCATGACCTGAGCCAAAGGCCTTCACTTAACCAACTAAGTCACCCAGGTGCCCGAGTTGTTTTTACTTCTTTGGCAACTACAGATAAAGCTGCTATAAACATTTTTTGAGAATGGCCGCAGAGATCATTTCTGTCTCATCTCATGGCCTCACCTCAATGGTCATTCCTAATGCAAAGGATTGCCCTATCTTTATTTTTGGATATTTAATTCAAGATATGTTAGGATTGGTGAGCCTTGAGTCTTCATTGCCAGCATGTCTGTGACAGCATACATTCATGACATTACAAGCCCTATGCTGCCATCACTTGTTAACATGAAAATAATTCATTTTTTCTCCAGATATTGTTACTGAAAACTTAATTCATTATTGTGCAAAAGAAAACATTCATTAATAGCCATATTGTCTAAATCCTTTCAAAACAGGAAAAGAGTAAGGGAAGTTACACTTTGGAACTGGAATTTCTGTATGGCTCTAAACCATACAGAAAAAAATTACGGCTACTGGTTATAATATTGAGCATCAGGAAGCTCTGGTGTTTTGAATAATTAATCTGAAAAAAATGACATTTCTTGTGTATATGCATATGATTTAGTGCACAGACTTTCATTAGGTGCCTACAGTCTACAAAGCCCTGTGTGGCTGGTGCTCTGGGCGATGGAGAGATGAGTAAGGCATGATTCCAGCCTCCAGCAATAAAAAATGGAGAGATTACCAAAGAAATAGGTCTTTCAATATGGGACAAGCTTAATGTTCTTAATTAGATCTGACACAATTACTTTAGTAACTACAGATTAACTATGATTTATTCCAACTTGATCCATTTAAGGTTGTAGGAAGGGAAAGGTTTGTTTGTTTTTAAGTTTTTATTTAAATTCCAGCTAGTTAACATACAGTGTAAAATGAGTTTGGAGTATACAATTTAGTGATTCAGCACTTAACATACAACACCCAGTGCTCATCACAATATGGGTTGGTCCTTTTATAAGGACTAGAAGACAATACAGTTTTAAGTCTTTGATTATAATTTTGATAAATATAGAGTTTCTCCTCATGCAGTTATTGTACAAATTATTTGTAAAAGCCAAGGGCATTTCCCTGCAGAGTTAAAAGAATGTTCTTTCCTACTACCATATCAATAGATACAGCCCCAGAAAGGCACAGGAAAGGGATGGTTGAGATGGGGTCTCTGTAAAGTATCTGATGTGTTTATTAATAACTTGTCAAGTGCTAGATCATGGTCAAATATTTTTAATTTATTAGGAACTGAAATACCAAAGCTGGTTTCTTCATAGCAGAGACACTTACAAGCAGTATTTTTGAGATTTCTATGTATTGAGATCTACATAGAGCTTACCAGGCCCCTGGGACACAAAGATTCAAGCTTTCCTGGACGGTTCTTAGATCTGGTCAACTAAATAGCTATTTTAAGCAAAAAAAAATAACACATTTCAAAATTAAAAGTTAACAAGACAAATCCAAAATATAAAGAGTAATATACTACAGGTGTAAAAAACTTTAAGTGCTGCTCTTAATTTTAAACCCAGGGAAAATGATACCTAGCTAGTGCTTGCCGAGTCAAAAGTCTTATGTTTCATTTCCTTTTAAACATGTATTGACCATGTTTAATATTCTTGTAGAATTCTGCCTTAATCCAAAGTTAAAAATGGTCCTGTGGCTCACCATCCTTTGAAAAGTGTTTCAGATTTGTTTCTGGTGTGAAATTTAGTTCCACCAAGTTTTTCCTCCAACTTATCCTAGCATTTATGAACTGTCCAGCACTATGGGTTTCTTCATCAATTATTCCCCACGAGAAGGGACTGCGATCTCTCTTGTTGGAGACATCATTAAGAAAAGAATGTTAGATCATGGAATCATAGATTTTCAGAGGTAGGGAAAATCTTCAAATAAAGTCATGGATGTCTTGAGCATGATATCTTGAGGAGAAGTTGCTATGGTTTATAAACACAACTGGAACCCACATCTGGGTTTTAAAACTTTGTTAATCCATGACCTATCTCTAGCTCATTCAAAAACAAAAACAAACAAACAAAAAAATGAGGGGAGGAGGTAATTCACTTCTCAGAATACTTTCTCCTACATCTTCCATTTATGGGTCCTTTGTAGTAAAAAAAAATGCATTTTTTGATGAGCTTGATTTGGAACATGGTAGCATCATCTTCCATGTTGGGAGAAAATATTAGTAAATTTGCTTAAAAATAAATGAGTTTAATTATGGTCTAAAAAACTGAATAATGCACTAATACATTGGAGGCACCGTTTATATATATATATATATTTTTTTTTAATTATTAGATTTTCTTACCTTACTTTTTGCCTTTGAAGTGATCTATGTACAGAGGATTCCTTACAATTGGCTGAATTGACTCTAAGCGCCAGAGGGTCAATTAGGCTTTTCTTTTTTTAAATCCTAAACTGATGTGATGTTGTAGCATTATTTCACTTTCCTGTGTTTTTACATTTTAGAAAGTTCAGCCAGAACCTGGTTGCTCAGCTTTGGTACTTTGTGAAATGTGTTTACTTCGGGTTGTCTGCCTACCAAATCCGTTGTGGCTACCCAACACGAGTCCTTGGAAACTTCCTCACCAAGAGCTACAATTATGTCAACCTCTTCTTGTTTCAAGGGTAAGGAAGGACACTCTGTATTGCCACAGTCACTCACGGAGGGGAGGCTGGTAAGAAAAAGGCATTCATTTTCCTCAGGAAGAAACAGGAAGGTGCAGAACGCTGATATAGGAATATGGAGCATCCCAGAACTCTTCACGATGTTCAGCAAAAGACAGATATGCCTCTTTAAATACCTTTCTGTGGATAATTGACACACATCTGGCCAGTATATCATTCTAAAATCAGCCACAGGGCTTAATTTTCTATTGCTGTATCCTGAGTAATTACTGTGGTAATATTTCAGGATGAAAAATAGGGATATATGATCTTTAAGTATTAATATATTTCTGGGCACAATAGAACAGAAATTTGGAATCTGGACTCTTTCAAAATACCGTTGGGATTTTGTGTTTACAATAAGTGCCTCCATTGACAAGGGCCATTTATTCCACCTAGCGTCAAACTAAATGCCACATGGCTTGCTTGTTCCTGATAGTAAGTTAGCTACTCAAATGAAGCATATTGGCTCTTTGTTGAAGATTTCTTTGGTAGTAGCTCCTCTCTGTTCCCTTGGAAATTGTACCACAGCATAAAAGGCCAGGCTGCTCATGGCACTGCTGGCTTCTCGGTTGTACCAGACCTAGGGATGGTGACGTAGTCACAGAAGAGCTGTCGAGCATGCTCACTGAGTCACTTGGTGTTGGTCTGAGGATGGCCTGGTATTTCTTTCAGGTGTTGGATTAGTGTTCACTTGGCAGAGCTGAGTGGCCTAGGGGAGAGGCCCTGAGGTGGACCTGGGTTCTCCAGCTGGAGAGAAGCTCTGTGTTAGTCAAGAAACAAGAAACAGCCTCCAGACCCAAGAGGAGCCCAGGCCAGCCCATTCCTAAATACAAGAAACAAAACCAGAATCTTATTAAGTTTGGGCACTGACTAAGTCCACCAGGTGTGGGCTCTACTGTGTGCCACCAAACACTTGTCCTGCTCCCTCTTGCAGCAGTCATTTGTCCTCATCTTTCAGGCACCAGCTACCTAACTTTTCCTAGCTCATTCAGCGGCAAAACCCCAATGTTCAATAATCCTCTGACCAACAAATTCTAGCAAGCAAATGTTTAAAAAAGTAAAATTATGGCGTTTCTTTGCAGAAGATATGTTCCTAAATATAGAAAATCCTAAAGACTCAACCAGAGACCTGTTGAAAGTAATCAACAAATTCAGTGTAAATTTGCAGGCTTTAAAATCAACACCCAGAAATCAGTGGTGTTTCCATATGCTAAAAACAAAATATCGTGGGGGGGGGGACAAAAACAAACAAACAAACAAAAAAACAAAGAAAACTATCTCATTCACAACATCCCCAAAAATAATGAAATATTCAGAGATAAATTTAATCAAAAAGATTAAACCCCTACAAAGCTTTGGTGAGAAAAATTGGGGAGGACACCTTCAAATGTATTTAAAAAGGGAATCCTGGGGCACCTGGGTGACTCAGTCAGTTAAGCATCTGCCTTCAGCTCAGGTCATGATCCCAGGGTCCTGGGATTAAGCCCTGGGATGGAGTCCCTGCTCAATGGGCATTCTGCTTCTCCCTCTCCCTCTGCCCCTCCACCCACCGCTTGTGCTCTCTCTCACCCTCTTTCTTGAATAAATAAAAAAAATTTAAAAAGAAAAAATAAATAAATAAAAAGGGAATCCTAATTTGTTAAGACCATCAACAAAAAGAAAAAAAAATAGAAAAATGAATGGGCAATACTAATTTATACATTGACTCATGATGGAAAGAGGTTGTAATTCCCAGTTGCATTTTACCATAAGGGTCACCCTGAGAATTGTTTCTGAGTCATAGGGCTAAGACGACAGAGAACTACAAGAGCTCCTGGGGTTGAGAGGCTGATGGGGGCCACCCCACAACTATCTGTCTAAAAAGATGTGGCTTCTGGCAGGTTCCGCCTCGTTCCATTTCTGACGGAGCTGAGGGCTGTGATGGACTGGGTGTGGACAGACACGACCTTGAGCCTTTCCAGCTGGATCTGTGTGGAGGATATCTATGCTCACATATTCATCCTGAAATGTTGGCGAGAGTCCGAAAAAGTAAGCCAGAAAAACGCCTGATCCTTTTTTGTTTCCCTTCCATCCAGGCTGGTTATGAGATTAATGTGAACATCTGCAAGTTTTGTAGCCAAATAAAGGGGGACAGGGGGGCAGAAATAGTGAGGATCTTTAAGTGTCCCATTGGTTTCCACCCCCTGGACTTGGGAATTTTGGACTCACTGTTGCCTTTAGTCAGCAATAGCGTCCAGATGTCTTCCCCTTTTGGCAAATGTATATTGTAGTTATTTTTAAAAGAAGAAATGATATATTGCTGTGTGACCCAATAATTCTTAAATGGCTCATTGGGGAGCAGAAGGGAATGTGGTACGGTAGAGAAAAGTGAGGTCAGGTGGCTTGGACTCAGGCTCACCCTCTGACTCATTCTTTGATGAGCGACAGGACAATATGACTTCTTTGTACAGAGGAAATTGAACTACACATATTTGCTTATTCTGTTAGATTGAATATTAAGATTTAAATGTGGATAGAATTACTGTTATTTATTGGATTTTTTCACAAGTTTAACATCTGAAACAGGAGTCTGTTGAATAATAGCAACAGGACCGCTCAACGATAATTAGCTGAGGTGGTATGAAATGTCTTTTTTTTCTCTTCTCCGTAATACTTTCTTTGGAAAAGTTTCCTCTAGTCTATATACTTTCTAGTATGTTCTGTTGCTGCTTCTGGGAATTTCAGCTTCACAGGGCAGGGGCCCACTGACCTGTGGGCCCTGTGTTTATGGGGTTCGTGGGAGTGAAGGAGATAGGGCTGGCAGTAAACTTAAAATCATAGAGCTTGTACTGATTTTTAAGGAGCAGAAAAGCTGTTAAAATGTCAGAATGTGGTGGGGTGCCTGGGTGGCTTAGTCAATTAAGTGGCTGCCTTTGGCTCAGGTCATGATCCCATGGTCCTGGGATTGAGCCCAGCATTGGCATCCTGCTCAGCAGAGAATCTGCTTCTCCCTCTCCCTCTGCCTGCCACTCTGCCTACTTGTGCTCTCTCTCTGTGTCAAATAAAGAAATAAAATCTTTTTTAAAAATGACAGAATATGAGAGATATGAGAGATGTTCTACCAAAGGGATTTTGAGGGTAACAATCATGGTGACAAAGGACCTGGAAAATCATGACAAATGAAGAAGAGTAGAAAGAACGAAGAATTGTTCTGTCTGAAGTAGAAAAAAATGGAAGGAGGCAAAAACAATACCCATTTGTAACTATTTGAAATACTGGGAAATAGAGGAAATGTCTGAATTTATTTGTAAGGCTCAAGATAACAGAGTTTAAGACAAGTTAGGGAGGGTACATATTACATGAAGCACTGGGTATGATGCATAAACAATGAATTTTGGAACACTGAAAAAATTTTAAATTAAATTAAAAAAAAAAAGACAAGTTGGCAAAAGCTCTGGTAAGTTTCAGTGGGATATGAAGAACTTTCTAATAATTGAAGCTACCCCATCACAGCTTGGCTGCCTCAGGAGGTATCCATGTATACATGGTGACACTAGGAGAACTCACATCCTGGACCCTCCCTGCTGGGATGTACGGGTTCATCTCTAGCTCCAGGAGCTATTCATTCATTCAACAATTACCATATCAGTTGTCTATTGCTGCAATCAAACAGCCTCAAACATAGTGGCCCAAAAATATATATATATTTATTATTATATATTTATTATATATAATATATAATAAATTAATATGTATTTAATTTAATTAACTAAATATATATTTTTAAAATAAATAAATTAAATAAATATTATATATAATATATAATAAATATATATGTGTGTATATATATACATATATATATATATATATATTTTTTTTTTTTTAAGAGAGAGAGAGAGAGCATGCAGAACAGGTAAGGGCAGAGAGTGAGAGAGAAAGAGAGAAACTCAAGAGGGCCTACACCAAACACAGAGCCCAACATGGGGCTTGATCTCATGACCCTGAGATCATGACCTGAGCTAGTCCCTCGCTTAATTGTCTGAGCCACCCAGGCACCCCAAACTCAGTGGATGAAAAATAACAACCATTTCCTTTGCTCGCAATTCTGCAGGTGGGCAGTTTGGGCTGGACGCCACTGAACAGACTTGCCGATAGGTCATCCTGTGGCTGCCCTTTCAAAGGGACCGAGCACAGGCAAGAGAAAGGCCAGAGAGAGAATCAGTTCAAGGGAGAGGCAAGTTGAGAGGATAATTTTAGAATGGAGAGGATCTGTACCTCTATAGGTATCAAGGAAAAGAATAGTAGAAAAAAGAAAAGCAAAAGTTCTTAGTATTAAAGCCAAAGGAAGAAGGTCCGGGTGGGGATCAGGGCAGGGGGTGTGTGGCTTGGGGGGCTCTGGGGCCTGGAAAGCATGGAATCAGAGCCCTGGGTGAACAAGTTAGTAGGGAAGAGGACCAGCCATCCTACAGGAAGCTAGAGAAAGATGAGCAGTGAATAAACACACCACATAACTCGACTTCTCCACGAAATAGATGAGTTCATGTGTTGACAGCAAGGGGGAAGGACGACATCCCAAGACCCAGGGCCCGACCCCAGGGGCACCGGAAACAGTGAGATACTACTTCCGCTGGATGAATGGGTGGGGAGTTCTTATGAGGTAGTCTCTCCGTCAGAGCTCACAGGACTGTCCCATGTTGATACGGGGTCACTTTACATGGAAGCAGCTGTTTCTGCCCCATTTGTTGGCTCTTACAAGTCTTTCACTGTCTTTGAGTCAACAGGTGACAATCTTCTTAATACCATAGTGAGAGGTGACACCCATTGTCCGTCCTCCATGTGAACGCTGGTGTTGCTCTGTCCTGGAACACTAGGCATTCCTGCCCATGAAGAGTTTACAATCATTGCTGTTATTTTATTTCAAGAAATAAAAAGCCTTGTTTAATGTATCACCCCTACTTAAATATATACTTCTATCTTATGCTAAGTCAAAGGGTATTTCAGAGTATCAATATTTTAAATCACACCTGGTAAAACTTTCTGAGAACTTACGTGTTGGAGAGGTCAACACCAAGGGAGTCTGAGCAAATCTGGGACTCATTTCCACTCTGTCCCATCAGACACTGAAGCGTTACCAGGGACAATCTCTTGTCTAGTGTGAAGCAGAAAAGTAAACTTCTTTTAACAGTGACTTTTCTTGGGAATTACTCTGAGTTGAATATACTGTGCTCCAGGGGCTTTATGAATATGCTTATGAAGCCAGAACAATTTCCCGAAAGGCAGAGTGTTGGCATATGAACACCCACAAATGCAGGCCACTTGGTCCTAGTCATAGTTTACTTTTCTTTTTTTCATTTATTTATTTGAGAAAGAGAGAGAGCGTGAGTACAAGCGGGGGGAGGGGCAGAAGGAGAGGGAGAAGCAGGCTCCCACTGAGCAGGGAACCCAATGTGGGCTCAATCCCAGGACCCTGGGATCATGGCCTAATGACCTAAGCCGGTGGCAGACACTTAACCGTCTGAGCCACCCAGGCACCCCCACCCTCACACACACAACAATTTTAAGGAAAAAGTCTGTCAGGTCCCATTGGTCCCTCATGGTAACACAGTGGAAATGTGTTGGGAGCTCATTTCAGCTCATCACATCACCACCTAACTTCATAGACTGGGGACAAGGTTGCTCTCCCCACTTCAGGGTGAGTGAAGCAGAATCAGGTCCCAGTCAGGTCCTGCGGGAAGAGCAAAGCATCCTTCCCCTGCCTGCTTCCGGCACTGGAAGCCTGAGCCCTGTGTGACTTCTCTGTTGCAGAGATACCCGCAGCCCCGGGGGCAGAAGAAGAAGAAAGTGGTGAAGTATGGCATGGGAGGCATGATCATCGTTCTGCTCATCTGCATCGTCTGGTTTCCCCTTCTCTTCATGTCCTTGATCAAATCTGTGGCGGGGGTCATCAACCAGCCCCTGGACGTCTCGGTCACGATTACCCTGGGAGGGTACCAGGTAACTGCTGTGTCCCTCCCCCCAGGTCTGGCTCCCCTGCCCATGTCTTTCCTGACCACCAGCCACAGGATGTTCAGTTAGCTTTTGCGGCCAGATTCCCTCCCCCTGCATTTTAACTGGTCAGCATATGCGTGGCGTATGAGATAAGGCACAGAAGACATTGAAAGGGTAGTTCTGTTCTGGTGTGAGGCACTGGAATAATTACTTCCAAAAAGAGATCCCTGAGGCCAGTTGCCATTGGGTACAGAGTGGGTGATGATATACTGTATAAATATTTCTCTTTTAACCCAGGATGCAAAGACGAGCCTCAGGAGTGTTGACAGCACTATTTCTTTGTTTTCCAGCCTATTTTCACAATGAGTGCCCAGCAAAGCCAGTTGAAAGTTATGGATCAGCCAAAGTTTAATAAGTTTATGAAAGCTTTCTCTAGGGACACTGTAAGTAAATGCGTGTTGTAGATGTCTGTGAAGACCTTTCATCTAGGTGAGCTTATGGCTTGTCACTTTATTCACTGTTCTGCTGTGGCCTGTGGTGGTGGGAAGAACTCTTCAAGGATTACCAGTGGCCACTGGCCACTTGGATAATCTGAGACATTATATCTGTATTATTGGATAGAAGTGTCAATAAACATAATTTTAATTCAGGACATTTTAATGTAAGCTCAACAGATGTAGGTCCTCTTTTATATTTTTAGATGTTTTTAATTGCAGTAGATACTGATCCCTTTGACGGCTAGGTCTGTTCTGAGAAACTTATCTTCAGGGAGTAATTCAAAATATTGGTAAAGCTCTATGCAGGTACCTGCTTGTGATGGTATTCTTAGTATTGACAAAAGTTGGAAGCAGCTGAGGGCTCAGTAAGTAGAGGCTGTTGAATAAATTATGGCAAATGTGTCCAGTGAATCTGATGGGCACTGGCTTCCCTAGGGTGGTTGGCATGGGAGAAGGGGGGCTACCGCTTTTCATTTTAGTTACACACTGTGTTGTCTGGATATTTTCCAGGCAACTTCTTTTGTAATACAAAATAATCATTGCAAAGACCACACATGGCATGAACATGTCTCAAGATAAGACATAAATGAAAAAGAATATACACTATTATTTTTTAAGTGATGTTTAAAAATCTGCATTTCCTACTGCATATAATAGTGATAATGTCCTGTTGGCAAAGTTGTGGTTGATGTATTCTTTTCTCTCCATTGTAAACTCAGAATAATATGAGAAATTGATTTTTCATAATTAAAATTTGCTTTACAAATAATACTTCCCTCTTTAAAGAAAATGATTAGGCAGATGGAGGCTTAGCTCCTTTATAAAATTATCAGCCTCTAATGCACACTGCCCACACTCATCTCAAGGGATGTGCAACTGTGAAGGTAGGACCAAGATGTTGTGGGTGGATTAAATTTGACTGTCTCATGAGAGGGAACACCCCAAGAGTTGATAAGTTTCCTGCTTAGTGGGGAGGAAAAACGACACCAAATCCTTTGATTTGTCTTTATTGATTAATTGAAACTATTCTGTACCTGTACTGTACTGAGATTGCTCTGTGTCACTGGGGCTGCCCATTCCACATGCAGAGGGGAAGTAGTACCATGGAGCACCAAGCCCATCCACTGTAGAAACTGTCCTTCCATAGGAAGAAATCCTCATTCAGCAGTCAGTTAAAAGGAAGAGCAATTGCTTTATTTACACATCACCATGTCTATGATATATTTATGCATGTGTATTTGTGTGCATACAGGGTGCTATGCAATTTCTGGAAAATTATGAAAAAGAAGACATAACAGTAGCAGAACTGGAAGGAAACTCAAATTCTTTGTGGACCATCAGCCCTCCCAGTAAGCAGAAAATGATAGAGGAACTCATGGACCCCAATAGTAGCTTCTCTGTTGTTTTTTCATGGAGTATTCAGAGGTAGTTACTGTCTTTCCATGTATGATTTCCCCCTTTCCCCCCAATCTAAACTCGGGGCGGGGGTGGGAGGATAGAAGGACAGAAAAATTCAATTGATGTGGGTTTTAGTTGACATCATGCTTTGGAAACATTCATTTGATGCTATAGCTAAACTTTTGTGTTTATTAAATAATGATCTGCCTGAGAATCTTTGGCAAAAAATAAGAACCTAATAGTTTTCCTTTTTCCTGCTAACTTCAGTCTTTAAAGAGAGGCTGGCAATGAGTTCTGTGAATGAGAGAGAGGCAAAGTGAAAGGGAAATGGGTAAGGACTCATAAAAATGAAATAGTCTGGATGGTGGTAAGATTTCCCTGAAAGGGTGAAGTTTGTTCTTTGGAATTAAGAACTGGCAGCCTCAGGAACCCCAGTTCTTACTTGCATCCATCCCCCCAACATGGGGAAACCCTAACAGATTTTTTTCTCCACACATAGTGTGTGCGAGCAGCCGGGCAGTCCCAGGAGGCGAGAGCTGAGAGAGACTCCTTCTCACCTAACCTGAGCCAACGGCAAGCATGAGGCCACTACTTCACTCATTTTTTTAAGTTTTTATTTAAATTCCAATGAACATACAGTGTGATATTAGTTTCAGACGTACAGTACAGTGATTCAGCACTTTTCATACAATACCCAGCGCTCATCACAAGTGCCCTCCTTAATCCCGTCACCTACTTCCCCCCCTCCCCTCTGATAACCAACAGTTTGCTCTCTATAGTTAAGGGTCTGTTTCTTGGTTTGCCTCCTTCTCCCTCTCTTTTTTTTCCCCCTTTGCTCATTTGTTTTGTTTCTTAAATTCCACACATGAGTGAGATCATATGATGTTTGTCTTTCTCTGACTTGTTTTGCTCAACATAATACTCTCTAGCTTTATCTATGGCTTTGCAAATGACAGGATTTCATTCTTTTTGGTGGCTGAGTAATATCCATATATATATATGGATATAGATATAGATATAGATATAGATATAGGTAGATATATATCTATCTATATCTATATATCTATATCTATATCTCTATCTATATATCACATCTTCTTTATCCATTCCTAAGAGCATGTCTTAGGAAAAGTTCTTGCATTCAAAAACCCAGTGTGTTAGTGAAGTACTTGGGACACCTTGACAAGATAAGCTAGTTGGAAAGGCTTAGTGTTTGTTTGTTTGTTTGTTTGTTTGTTAATTATCACGGTCTTGTGATTTCAGGATTCTTTGGCGGCTTGTTTGGGAAGTCAGGTGATAGGTGCATTTGGGTCCATGATTCCTGGTTTCTAGGATGAAATTAAGAAAAAAATCATGATAGGTACCTAGGAAGCCTTCTCCAATCTAAAATGATTTCAAAGGGGGCTGTTCAGAATTGAAAGAACTCCTTCTTGAATCTTATTTTCTCCTTTAGAATTTACATCCCAAGTTCCTCACACGAAATTCTAGACTGCCAAAAATTTATTTTCTAGCCTTTTCTTTGAAGAGCTGCCAAAAAATTAACAACATTAAAGGTCAGATTTTGATTGAATGTTCTTTTAAAAATGTGGATTCTATTAGTCAGCATAGAGACTAACCTCATTGGATTAATATAAGAATGTTGCAGAAATTCATATCAGAGCATCAAGACAGTTTCTCTTTTAGTCAGCAGACTGCCTCCTCATGTGCCGTCTGTTTTAAAGGTGTTTGTGGCCTCCCTGGGGTTACTAACTTTGGTTGTCTATGAAGCTGGACATAAAGGTGAGGTGGACAGAAAAGGTTGGGGTTGACAGTTGTGGACCCAATGAAGACTTGGTGAGATTAATAAAATAGTCAAGTGAATTTTTGAATCTCTCTTCCAGACTTCTGACTAATCACTGACATTGGGCCCTTTTATCTTTCTTCACAGAAACATGAGTCTGGGTGCAAAAGCAGAAATAGCAACCGATAAGCTATCTTTTCCTCTTAAAAATACTACACGTAAGAATATAGCTAAAATGATCGCTGGCAACAACACAGAAAGTTCAAGAACACCCGTGTAAGTGATTGCTCCTGTTCATTAGCTTTAATAGATGGCTATATCTGGTACAAAATTTCCATTTGCAAATTCACATATGCAAGAAATACAACTTTCTCCATTCTCCAGTAACCCAAGTGAATCTCTACTTGGAAATCTCATTATGTTACATTAAGACAGCTCTGTGTTCTTCCCCTCTCCCTCTCTGACCACCTAGCCCTGGGAGCCCTGATCTTGTCTCTGGGTAGCAGACCTTGCTCTTATCTGACCATAATCACCAAAAGCCAAGGAGAGCCCCTGGGAAACCCCTCTTTTACTCTTACTCCTGACCTGGGCTCATTGAATGCCTGGCTACTGGATGGGGGTACAGGGAAGACAAGGAATAAAGGGAAATTTGGCAGGGGTTTGGGGGGGAACTCTATATTAATATATTACTTGCCATATAAATACTCACTTCAAACAAATCCAAGTTGGGATGTTTAGATTCTAGTACGAGAACTAGGAGGAAGGGGTGAAATGCTATGGGTGCAAAACCGCTAAATCACATTCACTGGCCAATGTCTAGTTCTGACCTCCAGTCTGCCCTGGCCCCACTGTGCTGTGTTGAGCATCAGAGCTGCCATGATACAGTACTCACACTGTTTTCCCTAAGACAGCATTTTTTAATCACTACAGTTAAAGGAACCTCAAAGATTGTCAAATCTTCCCTCATCATTTCCCCATGAAATAACAGGCCTACAAGGACAGAATGACCTACTCACGTTAATCAGTTCATCCTCTACAGAGGGAGGGTCAGGTCCAGGCCACCAGCTGTCTCCTCGAGCCTCAATCTTGTCACTAGATAGATTCATGCAGTCCACTTGATTATGGATATAATTATATATCTACAGAGAGTACAGACATAGATCCTAGCAAGAAAGGTAGCCCCTTGCTTCAGAAACAGTCGCAGGTAGTTTTTAAGGCATTAATAAGCTCATGTACAGAGTTTGCCTAAGTTTTTGAATAGAACCACTAAATTTGTTTGGCTTCAGAAATTTCTGATTATAATGGGGCCCATAAATTGTGATGACATCACATTGCGTAGAAGTACAAAGACTCACTGTTATTTGTTTGAGTTGAGGTAAAAGATGGCAACAAAAAGTCAATTTTATGTGGATAAAACAACTAAAACGTCATTACCCTCCCCCACCCTTTTTTTTTCTGAACACACAGGACTATAGAAAGGATCTATCCATATTACGTGAAAGCACCTAGTGACTCGAACTCAAAACCTATAAAGCAACTTTTGTCTGGTAAGGATGAGAAGGAATTGTTTCATAACTCTTTTTAATTCTTTTATCAGTGGCTACAGTTTGCATTTTCAGCCTTTCTCCAGCTGCTTTCCAGTTTTCTTTCCCTATGAAACGCGGCTTACAGAAGCCAGAGACTCCCAGCTATAGTCACTGGCCAGAAGGAGCCAGTCAGGCACTGGGAACCATATTCCTCATGGTTTTCATTGATATAGAACATGATTGGCTTAAATCTGTGTTCTAGCAGCTTCTGTTACTGATTCATCAGTCTGTTCACTTGTTTCTATTAACGTCCATCTCTTAGGCAGAAAACGGCCTAACACAATATTAAATATGAAAGTTCTATGATAATAACAATAAAAACGGAGCACGAAATGTATTTGCTTCAGCCCAAGGGTGGTTAAGTATCAAGGTCAGCCTCTAGGGACTGTATGCACCCCAAAAAACAGTGATGGTAGCATGTTGATGCTTGGGGATTCTTAAGCATTAATTACTAAGCATTATTTGACTTCATCAGTTGTCTGGATCAGAGCAGATGGGTACATGTGGTAAAAGTAAAAGGACAAAGCAGTTATCCAAGTCATGTTCACTCCTTTGCCAACGTGGGCCGCTCATGGTCATCAGACAGTGTTTCAGGCACTGGACACCAGGCTCCTTGAGGCTCATGTTTACCTGGAAAGATGGAGATGTAAACGAACAGCTGGAAGGTCCCATGGAGACCAGCAGAAGTAGAGGCAGGATAGAGGTTCAGAAGACAAGCATGGGTGGGTCCCCACATCTCTATGCTCTTCTTCCTCAACAGTCAGTAAATAATACATATGTATTACATGGTAATTGTGAGATTCACTGAGTACTTTGATATTTCCATTTCAGCCCAGATAGCTCTAGAAATGCTTAGTCCAAGGGCATAGATTGCTCAGCGATCAGCCATTCCCTCTGAAATACTACTGTCCCTCAGTGGGCTCTTCACAGCTGCTGCCCCCCTCATCAAATGATCCCGCAAGCCTGCCAGGGCCCTCCTTCAGCTGCCTCCTTCTCCCTGGCAATGGGCTGAAATGTTCACCAATCCCCCCACTTCCTTTCAACTTCAGGAAGATGGGACTCCTCCCTCCAGGGTCAGCCTCACCTTGTGCCCAGATTTCCAGCCCTTCTCCACCCTTATTTTCCCCTTTCTCAGCCACATGCTCTGTACTCCCCAAACATAGGCTCATTGGCGGAGGGTTATTTGAGGTCCAGTCAATGAAGTCCTTCTTCCCCAGACCACACGGTCTTGTGCTCTTGGGTCTTGCCAACACAATAGCTTTTCTGATGAGCTGCTTTACTTAGTAACATCTAATCTTTAGCATAGGTTGGTGGTTATCAACAATTTATGAAGGAGGAAACTGAGGCTCAGGGTGTGAATTACTCATCAGAGGTTATACAACTGATATGTGAACAAACTAGATTCAAACCTAGTCCAGATGTCCCCTCTTAGAACTCTCTAGACTTCAGAACCAAAGTTCTTTTTGTTCCTGAGCATTCTGAATGGTTCACATTCAGGCTGGGTAAGGATTTCTTTATCTTTAAGAGCTTCCTACCTCACTCTCCATCATTCCATCCATCTGTCCGTCCATCCATTCATCCATCCATCCAATCCATCCATCAAATAGACATTCATTACCAAGCACTGTCCCAGATTCCTCTGATCCAGGAATTTAGCAGGAAATAATGCAGATGCGGCCCCTACCCTCACAGTCCACCACCAGAATTCTCAGCCGAGGCCCTATTATCATTGGCGGGGGTGGTATTTTCTTAGAAAGACCTACGCAAAGAACTCCAAGCTTTCTTCCACCCTTTCACAATTCTTTTATATTGACTCTGTGCTCCAACAAAAGCAATCATTAACCACGCATCATGGATTTTCAGAACTTTACTGAGTTTCATGCCATCAAGCCCTCCTGAAATAGCCTCCTCTCCCTGACCATCCCCACTTACTGAAGTTCTCACCCTGCAAAACTCAGCTCAGAAGCCGTCTCCTCTGGGAAGCCCTCCTGGATCCTACCAAGGAGAAGTAGTCTCCCCATGCTAACAGAACTTGTGGGTGCAGGTCCTGTAGTGGTTGCCTCATGGCCATAAGTCATGCTTGTATACATGGCCTGCTCCTGTTGAGATATGGAATCATGCTGTATGCAATTTTGTAACCCCTCATCACCTGACAGAGGGCCTTCTTCTCAAAGACACTTAATAAATGCTGGTAATAGGATTGAATTAGCCAATTCACTAAAAAGTTGGTGATTTTGGATTTTTAAATGTCTAATTAGTTGTCTGGAATTCTCAGCAAAGACACTTAGGTGATGGGTCATCTTTCTCTCCTGTGACGTGTCTGCCATGCTCACTCAGCAGCAGGGAGCTACCTGTTTAGTGACAAGGAGAAAACATGCACACCTAGGGCCCACTTTTCTTTCCCCATTCACATTGGTACCGTGTCCCTGTGTCCTACTCATCCAGGCACTATACACCATGCTATGGATAGTAGTAACCAGGGTTTGCCATCTGAGGACTGCTGAGCCTAAATCCTAATAGTCTCATGCTAACATAATTTCATTTTACTCTTCTTCCAGAAAATAATTTCATGAATATCACCATCATTTTGTCCAGAGACAATACAACTAAATCTAACAGTGAGTGGTGGGTTCTCAACCTGACTGGAAATAGAATATACAATCAGCATGCCCAGGCCTTGGAACTGGTGGTCTTCAATGACAAAGTCAGCCCCCCAAGTCTGGGGTTCCTGGCTGGCTACGGGTAAGAACTTATTTCATAGTTAACATTTATAAGAGTCTACTTCTGTATCATATAATGTTGAGGATGGGAAGCCTTGTGTCTTCCCAGAATTCTTGAACTTAATAGATGAACATTAAAATTCATAGGTTATTGGCCCTTTGACTTCCCAAAGAAGTCAAAATGCCTGATGTGAGTAACACCCTTAAGGACAGGTCTAGAAGTCATATGTCCAGTTTCTTTGCTCTACACCTTCCTGTTATGTTTGAGGCCATTCAGTGTTTAGACATAGAAATTGATGCTGGGTTACCTCTTTTCCATTTAGATTGCCTTCTGACCTTAGCAGACATGGTCTTAGTCAGACGTCACAGTCTGGGATATGGTCTGATGTCCAGAATGGTCTGAAGCTACCATTTCACAGTGTTCTGATCCTTAAATGCTAGGACACATACATCCCCAATAGGACATGAACATCTGTTAAGAAATCATTGTCTATGCAGAATTGTATTTATAAAAATAAAGTGCTGGGTGCAGAAAAGTATATATAGTACAGTGGCATTTCTACCAAATGTATTATGTGATTTCTTTATTTAATATATGCAGTAAAACCACCTGAAGTTCATCTGTGAAACTCTTAACATCGGTTATTTCCAAAATTTGGCTTTTTTTTTTTCATTTTCATTTTTCAAGTATTATAGTTCTGTCAGGGAAAAACTTTAAACTTTGATCAGTTTATCATATCTTCTGTGGAGTTGGAGGGAAATACTGTGTTTTTTTTTTCTTTTAGATATGTTCTATTAACTGTATTTAACTGGTAAATACAATTTCTACTCGATTTTTTTTTTTCAGTATCATGGGATTATATGCTTCAGTTGTCCTTGTGATTGGGAAGTTTGTCCGTGAGTTCTTCAGTGGCATTTCTCACTCGATCATGTTTGAAGAGCTTCCAAATGTGGATCGAATCCTGAAGTTGTGCACAGATATTTTTTTAGTTCGAGAGACAGGGGAACTGGAACTAGAGGAAGATCTCTATGCCAAATTAATATTCCTGTACCGTTCACCAGAAACCATGATCAAATGGACTAGAGAAAAAACAAATTGATCATTTAAGACACAGACTGCAAGTCAAGTTAACATTTGAATTTTTTTAAAAAAGCACAATATTCTCATAAGAGCTAAGCATTTCTAGTTGGATGGAAATGGTTTCTCTTCTGACAGGTGGTCAGAAGGAGCTGACTTCCTTTTGCAATCTAAGCTCTACCTTGCAAATGAAGGCGCTGTTGAAAAAGTTATTTGTAATTCCATTTCTCCAAAATCAGGGCTACTTGTTTTATGTTTTAGTCAACAGTGTCTTGTGTTCTGATTGACTATGCAAAGGAGTCATTTATGGATCTCCTCTCTCAGAGAAACAGGAGAGAAGATGAAGGGAGAAGGAAAGACACCCGTGTTTTTCTGCACAGGGACAGCACCCTTCCTGAAGAGATGCTATAACGGCGGACACTGCGCTCTGTCACCAGTGGGGAAGCTGTGGTGAGGAGAACAGATGGGACTCAGCACACCCCAAAAATATGCAACAGCAATAGAGGCTGAAACTCCTGAATGGATTTCTAGGGGAAAATGAGAAAGGGAGCTAGAGACCCATGAAGATACCAGAGGAAGGATAAGCCTCATTCTAAGCAAAAAGTTAACATTAGTGACACTCTTACTGCCTTATCTTAACTGAAGACTAATAAAAAAATCTTTCCATTAAACACCAGTGACTTCTCAGGAAAAAAAAAAAAAAGCAGCAAAACAAATATGTGGACCGGCTTTGTTGAGGCCCAGCTCATGACCCGCTTCCGTGACGGTGGCTGTTCTGCTTCAGAGTTCCTGCTCCTCGTCAGACACAGGCTCCAGGTAGAAAGATAAAAATGGCGCCCAGCTGGGTGTGGAATGAATACTCTGACTTTGTAACTTTTACTAACTGAGGTCATGAACGCTCTTCTACCTTTCCCCCTCCCCCCCAACATGCTTTTTCCCATTTCGATGATTTAAGGCAATGGTGTTTTCCAGTATGTGACATTTTCCTCCCTGTTTTTCAGGTATATCAAAGAGTTTACATATTCCAATTCACATTTTTACATCTGAGACGGGTTTTTTAAGTTCATAATTATGGAAGAAATATGTATATTGAGCTTGGGGAAATTAAAAAAAATGGCCTTTTCTTAAATTATTATTATTGGTAATACAACCTCTTCATTAAATAACAATGTAGCATGAAAATTTATGATTGAAATGTAGTTTTCATTCCGTATTGTGAGGAATCATTGAATGGAATAGAATACGTCAAAAAAAAATGATCCTATGTAGTTTGGGTTCAGGACTGATTTAAAATAAAGCACATCTTGCAAAGTCAGTTCAAGAATACTCTTCATTCTGCCTCTTTTGCATGAAGTAGGAAAAACGACTGTTTTCAACCCTATGTAAACAAGGTGTTAAAAAAATCATCTGAGGGAAGAATTCACTTCTTGTTGGTTTTATTTGTCTTTCTCATGTGAATAATGAGATTATATTATTCTATGTGATTAATATAAGCAGGATGCATCCGGTAACAAATTAATTTCCAAAGAGTTACAGTGAATCCGGAGCTGTTGAGTGTCTTCTAGAAAATTAGTACATATTTGTTCTTCAAATGTGAAAGCCAACATACTTCCGCCCTGAGGAAATCAAGTCCTCCAGTCATCGTAACAATAAGCTCCGACTACTTAGGGGAACTCTTTGGACCACATTCTGATTCCCCAACAACAGCAAGAATAATTGTGCATATTTCTGGTTGTGAATTCTTTCTTTTAAAAATGTCAACTCAAGGGAATTTCCAGAGAGCTCATTATGACATATTTAGGAAAGAGGAGAAGGAAGCAATGTTCCTGAGAAGAAAAGTGTAAAGTCAAAGTACACCAGAATGCCCAAGTTCCTCAAGAGAACAGTTTCCAGGGTTCAAGAAAAACCTTCCGTGCATCAGAAGGGAAAATGTCAAAGGAAATTTAAAAACTAGAAATAAAGAAATGTAGAAGGGATGTGCTTCCTTTAGGGAGGCATGTGGAGGCTAGAGGGGACATGGCAGAGAGTGAAGAGATCTGCCGGCTCCTGTGGGGTGGGGAAGCTCCAGGCCAGCAGGTCACTTCCCCTCTCAGCCTCGTGTATGTGACAACATGAAGGGATCACCCTCCTGTACCAGCCACATTCTAAGCCCCGGCCCCGTAGGCGCCCCTTAGATTGCTCTCTCTGGAGATAGCCTCTGAAATGAAGAGCCACAAAGGACATTTGGGCAGTGACCCAGGAGTTACAATGGTCAGCAAGGCAGGCTCAGGCAGAGGGACAGGCTGTCCCAGCACGCAGCTGCAGGTGAGCTCTGGTCACAGCTGCTGTGTTTCCCTCTTTACTCTTCAGTCTGGGTGTGGGTCACTGAGTCCCCCAGGGACCCCGGAGCACCAACATATTCCTCCCACCCCTGCGGTACAGCCACAGCCCTCCCCTCTCTGGCGGCCTGGGTCAGTTACCCCTGTCTGTAGGGTGACCTTGTGCATAAGGTGACCCCATCTATAAGGTGACTCTGTCCCTTGTCATAACTGTCTTATTGTCCTTCCAGTTTATGTTTTTATTTTACTTTTTTAAAATAGATTTTATTTATTTATTTGCCAGAGAATGAGAGAGAGAGAGAGTATAAGCATGGAGAGGGGCAGAAGGAAAGGGAGAAGCAGGCTCCCCGGTGAGCAAGGAGCCCAATGCGGGGCTCCATCCCAGGACCCTGGGATCATGACCCAAGTCAAAGGCAGATGCTTAACCAACTGAGCCACCAGGCGCCTCCCCCCCCTTTTTTTTTCTTTTAAAAATTTTATTTATTTGTCAGAGAATGAGAAAGAGAGTGTCCTTCTAGTTTAATTGTCCTTTCTAAAAGAATTATTTTTCAAATCCTGATTTCTATTGTTCTTTAATATCATTTCCTTAATCTATTCGAGTTTATCTTGAAATACTGGGTTATAGTTTTTATCCTTTTTGTGGGCACGGCTTTCTGGTAAACTTTTTTTTTTTTTTTTTTTTTTTTGTCTCTAAGGACCTGACCCTGCCTCTTATTTTTTCTTACTGATAAGCATTTGATATCGTATTTAAGTGCAGCCCTTTTCAGGGGCTTCCGTGTGTGTGACGTTAGTTTCCCTAACTTTTGGGTAGGGGGATGGTTTATCTAGCTCCTGGACTCTGGAGCCCACAGTCCTGGAGCATCACAAATGTGCCCTCCTTTTTGAGGTCCTGCACGCTGCTCTCCCCACCCAACCCTCCATGGGCCTCTGTCCCCAGGGGTAGCTGTTCCATCTGCTCGATTCCCAGCAACGTCCCCACGTCATGGGGCCTGGTCCTGGGAGGCAGTGTCAATGAATTCTTTTTGAGAGTTCACAGGTCCAGCCTGCCCTGCTCCTCCAGTCCATGCTGCTGAGTCCCCACCTTCACCCCCGAATGGGGACTTGCACAGTCCCCTCCCGGGGTGCCCGGGCATCATCAGTGTTGCCAAGAGGGGCTCCAGATTCCGGCTCTGCCAGACGATCTTTGCTTCTCTCCTCTGCCTTCTGCATCTGGGCTGCTCCACATCACGAAGTCAGTGGGGTTTGTCCTTGTTGGCCCAGTTTTGGGGGCAGCAGGGAAGGAAAACAAGGGTGACTGAGGAAAAACCAGACACCAGGCGGCTCCTGCCTTTACCTGCCCTAATTCCTCTAAACACAGCCTTTCAACACAGTATTAACAAGGAAGAACACATTTACTTTCACAGCTAGAGATAACAGACTGACATCTCATTGGCCTCCTGACACAAATTATTTGGCAGAAAGGTGCTTTGGAGCAGTCAGTGTGCACAAGTGATTGGTTCTCAGGAGCCTACATTGTTTGGAGTAAGAGGTATTTAAAAAAAAACAAAAACATTTTAATTGTTTTAAGTAGTAAATATCTGTGGTTGTGTTCACACATATTTTCATTAACCAAATTTGCTGGTCCATCTATCCTACTCATATTTTCAAGGCATGGTTGGTAATCTTCTCTCTTGTGTATGTGCTTTTTACTTTAGAAATCTTGACTCCTGCCTTTCTTGTTTTTTCTTCTTTCTTTCTTTCTTTTCTTTTCTTTTGTTTCTTTCCTTCTTTCTATGTGTGTGTTATTCTTTATTCTGATTTCCTGGGTTAGGTATAGAGATCCTTATTTTTCTGTCCGACGGTACTTATGTGAGGCTATATACAGGGTCTTCCAGATCAGAAGTGGAAATGCTCCAAGCTTACAGAAATTATCAGTTAAAAGCTTAATTATTTAAATATTGCACGCGTGGGGCACCTGGGTGGCTGAGTCATTAAGCATCTGGCTGCAGCTCAGGTCATGATCCCAGGGTCCTGGGATTGAATCCTGCATCAGGCTCCCTGCTCAGGGAAAAGGCTGCTTCTCTCTCTCCCACTCCCCCTGCTTGTGTTCCTTCTCTCACTCTCTGTCAAATAAATAAAAATCTTTAAATAAATAAATAAATACATACATACATACATACATACATAAAATAAACTTTTAAAAACTCAAGCCATGAAAAAAGAAAAAAAAAAACATGGAAGAAACTTAAATGCATATTATTAAGTGAAAAAAGCCAGTCTAAAAAGGCTACATACTGTATGATTCCAACAGTATGACGCTCTGGAAAAGACAAGATTATGGAGATAGTAAAGAGATCAGTATTGCCTGGGGTGAGATGGGTGTGGGGTGGAGTGGGGAGGGGGCAACGGGTATAGCAGAGAGGATTTTCCATGCATGAAAACAGTTTATGATGCTGTCATGATGGAAACAAGCCATGATACATTTGTCCACATCCATAGAATGTAAAAACCAAGAGGGAACCCTAAGATCAATGAAGGATTCTGGATGATTGACAGTGTGTCAATTTTAACCAAGGCACCACGCCGGTGGGGGGCGTGGATAATGAGGGAGCATGCGCCTATGTGGGGGCAGCGAGTATATGGGAATGCTATTGGGTGCACTTTCTATTTGAGTCACGAAGCAGCAGTGTTCATCCTAAGTTAGAGTAACTGCTTCCGCTGTCCCTTGTCGTAGAATTATTCAGACCTCTGAAGTTGGCCACCTGTGCCGCTGGGGATCTTCCTCCAGGGGGTTAATTATGCAGATGATGGGAGGGGTCAACTCCGCAGTAGGCGGAGCCGCTACGTGAACGTGAGGTTAGCCCCTGCACAGCCCCGCCCCAGGAGCCAGTGCAGACCCAATGCTGAGGCAGCTGATGCTGGCTGACAGAGGACCACCACCATATGCACATGTGTCGCTAGCACTCAGTGGCGCCCACAGGATGGAGCTGTTTTGCAGGTCTAAAGCAATGCCTCAAGAAACATCTTTTAGGGTAAGGGAAACTGGCAGATTTAGGGAAAACTTTTAATCCGTTGCATGGAGACTTTCTCCAAAGTCTTTGTTTAACTTTATTTCCACAAATCCACTTTTCTAATTCTCATTTTTCAGGCAGTACGGGTTAGTAACACCAGCCAGGAGGACATAAGGGGACGCATGAGGGACACGGCTCCCCAGCCCCAGGAAGGGGCACAGCCCTCAGCCAAGCACCTGCCACACATCCAGCACCCGCAAGTCAGGCCTCCCCACTCCCATCCCTGTTCCCCCGCCCCCGCCCTGGCTGC